CTCGGTGGGGTATCTCTCTCGCATCTCCCATTCGAATCACTCGGCTCCATTGCTGTTTTTCTTCCGCATTCTCTGAAAAACTTTTATTACAATGGCGGAGTTTCCCTTCCCTCTCTACTCTCCTTTAATTTATGATCCGTGCAATTTGCGGGCGGGCATTCTGTGCATTCCATTCCACTCCATCCCAGCGGCGATATTTTCCACTCTTTCGAAAGTTATTACGGGAATATGAATTATCAGTCTAGTGTTTCCTTTGGAAATGGCTTTCTGTTGGCAGGAAAAAGTTCCACGTATAAAAGGGCGATGTGGGGGGGGACTTGGCAACGCATATGAAAAGTGTTTATCAACTTCTAAATCAAATTGCTGCCTGCAGGAGCCTTTTGGGGGAGCTGCAACTCTTTGAGCGAGCAACTAGATTATTTACGTTTCACTAAGCTCCGCCTCCAATTAAATTGAATGCCACACATTCGTGTGGCTCGACGAACCTATCTCCACATGGGTTCGTTCCTTCCAGCCATTTCCCTTGCTTGCCATCCTTTTGGCAACTCAAACTCTCGCTTGCCTTGCTTTTACGTTGTTAACACGTGTTCAAATCATAAAGTTTTACTCGTTTTGAATATCCTCTATGGCGTGCAGTGCGCACGCTATGTACATAGCTCCATTGTTATGCAATGTCTTGATAAATGGCTTTACAGTGCCAACTCTGGGGCATCCACATGGTGTTGCATGCCCCTCCATTCATGGAGCCTTTGTGAGTGTCTCAGAACCACTCGCCCTGCCTGTCTGCCCCCTAATGTTGGGTAGCATTTGCATAGAAGGTTGCATGCTATTTTCCACAATTCGTTCCTTAAATGGTTGTTGCATGTGGCCAACAGCTCACAGAAAGAGCGCTCCAGAGCTTGATCAAACAGAACACACTTTTTCTTTAAGCTACCTATGTTCCGGAGGTTCTACATTGTAGTTCTGTAGTATTTTATTACATGTATTTGATTAACGCTTAATCTTCCTGGCATCTCCTTTCTGCGAGTATCCTGCAGCTCAGTGCTGAAAAATGTAGATGAAAACAACGACATTTTCCCCGGAATTTTAATAAACATCGCGGATTAAATGTTTAAGCAATTGCGTGCCCTGCAAAAGCAGTTGTAATCTGAGTTTCGTTGGTATTTAATTTCGTGTTCGCGCTATGCAAAGAGAGATTTTCCGCTCTGTGCGGAAGGGGGCGTTTGCTTTGGACCCATTAACCTAATTGGCAAGGAGTCCCTTCTTGGCTAATCAAATTGTTTAAGGATTACATGGGATACTGTAAATTGTATCTCAGCATCTTCATCTTTGGCATGACATCTTTTTCAGCGTTTTACCTTTTGGGCCCCACCTTGCCCACAAAAGGTACGCCCCGAAATGGAGCAGGGCCCTAAACCTTTGAAATTGCTTCTTAATGGATGGATGGATGGAGGGGTGCTCCTTCTCCTGCTACATGGATGGGTGGGTGTTGGGTGCTACAGTTCCATTCCAAGTGGATTAAATATTTGGTGAGGGCCAACTTTTGCGGCAAAAGCTGTCGTCAGTCTATTAACACCTTTGCTTATTGTTAATTAATCTTGCTTGCTAACTGATATAATCCTATAGGTATATGTGTGTGTGTGTGTCTCAACTGCGTTAATTACTAGCTTCGAGTGCCACTGCCTAGACATTAATGGCATTAATTAACTGATGTCTTTGGGGCTTAAACAATTTGGGACATTCAGCGAGTGTCTTCGGGCCAAGAGGAAGAGGGGCGCACAGAATTGATGGCATTCAAACGAACAAGCAGCAAATGAAGTAGCACTTAAAGCACTTCGTTTGGGTTGGCTTTACGCCTAATTTAATTCAATTAAAATTGATTGATTAAATGGGTATTATCCATCCTCTGAGAATAGAATACCGCAACGATGATCTGTTTAAAATAAATAAGTGTGTCCGAAGAGCAAACATTTCTCGTAAGTGGCTTTCCACTTCTTTATCTTCCGTTTCTAACAGTTACAACTCATTAGACCAACGAAATGTACAACAAACAAGAGAGTTCTTCATTAGGTTTTTCCGCTTTTAAGTCTCGTTTTTTTAGCTTTTTCGCAATTGCATTTCATGGCATTTCTGGTCAATCCAAAAGCTTTCTCATAGCTCAGCTTAAATACTCACATATTCCATTTACATGACGATGTTTTGCCAAAGTTCCATCCCATCATCCCATCCGACCCACAAATTCCCCAACAAAAAGCATAAAAATATGACAAACACAAAGTGGTACCGCTCCCGCTCTGGGGAGTAAAGAATGTCATAAAAAGACGTCTACATATGTGGCAGGATGGGGGACAGGCGTGGTGGCAGCGCGGGGACCGAACAGGACAGCAATAAGACAGGTTCCATAAGCCAGATGTTCGGATAATGGAGGCAGAAGACGCGTCGAAGCAGACAGAATAAAATCACATTTTTACTGCGAAAGCATTTACGATCCATTATGCTCTTAGCCAGCGTCTGTCGGCCCGTCCCGGCTTTTGTTTGCGCAAATAAAAAAAAACATGAACAAATATAAGCAGGAATAATATGTGGATATTCATAAGAGTATGAGTATGCAGGAGGTGCATTCAAGGTCAGACACATGGGGCATTCCACACATTGCCGGAGACTTTAATGAATGAATTATCGAGGCATTCCCCATGGGACTCAGCTATTTGTGCAATAGTCGTACTACTCGTTGAGGATTCCTAGCATTCCCATCGATGTATTTACTAGGACATATTCCAGTGGCCTGTGGGTTGAATAAATGAAATACTTTGAGTGCAACAGACTCTCAGGCCACACTGCATGCACAATATTTGATCGAATTGCAATCACTTGTCCTCATGTGAATACAATGAATATGAGTATGAGTGCACCCGCATCAACGGGTGCGGGTGAGGGTGCGGGTGCCGGTGAGTGGAGGGGCTTATTGTCGACACATTTTCAAGTTGCACACTGAAATGTGAATATCAAATGTGGGCATACGGGATGAATGCTACAGGCAAACCAAGAGGATGACAACAGACCCAAGGGCAAGGAGAAGGAGAAGAAGAAATGTTGTTGAATGATGATGCTGATGCATCTATCCTTTGCGTGTGTGTGTGAGAGGGTGGGTATAGGTGGGTGGTGTGACACTTGAGAACAAAAAACGCTTAAGTGGTTCACTGTCTGACAGCTCCTTACCACTACACACCTTACCCAGCCTTTCCAGTGGCGTTGGCGTTGACGTTGGCGTTGATTGTTGAGTGATAAGAGTGCTGCCCTAATGACACTTTGCCCCGAGTCCATGAGCCCTGAGCATCCTGAAGGGATGCCCTTCAGATGTTTGGGGTCTGTCTATATAATCGTGCAAGTGGAGCACATTGACGCATCAGATTACATTTATGTATGTATGTATATTTGTGCTGGTATTTAACCACTTTTACCCGATAAATAGTGCTTTATTCATGTTTAATTCATGGCATCCATATCCACATATCCACATAAATCGCATTAATCATTTAATTATGGCCGCAAATCTTTACCGTATTAACAATCAATTAATGCGAATCGATGAGCTCTTTTTTTAACTCTTCCCATCTGATTATACGGGCACCACATATGCCATTGATAAATGTACACAATTTAATATGAAAAGTAAACTAATTAATGAATGCATTTTTTTTTTTTCTTTTATTTAATTTCTAACAACAACAGAATGGGAATGTTTTTTCTGTCCATTTCAACTTTAATATTAATGCCAAATGAATGTCGCATATTTTCCAGCTCATTGGAGTGGAAATGAAGCCCATTATAGTGCTGGCCAACATTCAATGGGCTTACCAAACGGCACTCCATGGCCGTGATAATTCCACCGATGACAACAGGCGGCGAGGTCGTTGAATGCAAATGAAATCCCCTTTCTCGACTAACAAAATGAACAGCACATGAACTAAAGTTCTTAAATACCAATAAATCAGGTTTATAATCGAGCATAACTAATTAGGAGGCAACGAGCCGTCAAATCAAATGTGTTTGCCAAATGAAAAAATTTCGAAAGGTTGTAAAAATGTGAATTTCCATTCAAATTAAATGCATATTTTGCTGATTTTTAAATTAAATTAGTAATAATGCACAGGCGCGTTATTTGGATCACCGCAAATGTTAATTCCGCTCAAGTATGCATACCATGCCGTAATTAATTAAACGGAGTTTATTTTTGAAGGTATTCGCTGAAGGGAATACAAACATACACATGCATGTACAATGTACATTGTGCAATATGTGCAATATGCGCAACATACTTGTACATATGTGTATCTGAGTAATACATAAATTATGCAAATGTTTTTGCACATCACAGGATACGCTAGATACGCTATATTTGTTTTGTATTGCTTGATAATGTGTTATTCCAACGTTTAAGTAATTGTGCAGAATGTGCTAAAAAAATACAGTCTATCATCAGCATACTGGGAGCTGGAAGGAACTCTTTTTCTAATGCAATTTCAGATGCCAATTTTGATGCAACTCCTGACTCCTGGCTTTCTTGCCGGCCAGGGTAATATTTCATTCATTTATGACTTCAATCAGACTGCGCTTCATTCTCGTCTCCACTGTGCTCTCCTCTCTGTGTCTGAAAAGTTTTTGCTAATGCTTTTTTGTGTGTGTCTATGCTTCCATTCCATATCCATTATTGTGGCATATTGATGGAACATTGGATTCTTGCCACATGATTGCCCCCCAGTCGGGCAATTGAGTTGCAATATTGTCGTTTGGTAAATTAGAAATGATTGCCCGGCACTTTTTGGATTCATTTCAGACTGCATTCCTGTTCCGGCATCCCGCTGTCGTGGTGTCGTGCAAAACAGGAAAACTATGCATTTCCTGCTTGAACTTTCCTGTTTTTGTGATAGTTTCCCCCTGAACAGTCCCAATCTCAGTCACCTTTATGCTCTGAATCACAGAAAAGGTGCTGTAATTTCTCAGTCTAGTTCTCAGTTCTAGAAGTCAACACAATTCGTTTGCTTAATAATTTTTTAAAATTCAAGTATAGTTTCTACATAGATTTTTGTTAACGAAAACACTACCGACACCGACTCGCAAAATGTTTCTTCGCGGAGATCCGAAAAGAGCCGCAGCCCGAGGCGGCATTCCGCAAGACGTCGCCTCTGTGGCACCTTATGTGGCAGCCGCCAAGCGCGGTCCCTTCACCATGACGAACCCCGTCTTCAACAGCAACAATCCCTACCAGGAGAAAGGCGACGGGCCGTCGGTGGAGATCCAGCACTCGTTCAACATCAATCGCCAGGCGCTGGAGAACAACCACCGGCACCACCAGCGACTGATACCCGTGGCGATCGGGAAGACTCCGATGCCCCAGACCCGATCGCATGTGGTGATGAACGAGCAGCGCGAACTGTACCGGCAGCACCGCGAGCGCCTGACGACCATCAAGGGCAAGGTGAACACCTGCCTGCCGCCGCCCAAGGTCAAGGTCAGTGGCAACGGCATGGAGCTACCCTACATGGAGATGCTGACGGCCCTCTACAAGCGGAGCAACAACACGCTGCGGACGTTTACCCGCTCGCCGGAGCGACTGGCCGCCGGCCGCTGGCGCCACGTCAGCCTGGCCCGCGACAAGGAGCAGAAGCTGCTGGAGAAGAACAAGCAGTTCCACAAGGGTGGGCAGCTCTTCGATCCGCAGGCGGGCAGATCGCGGCGCAACAAGCCGAAAACCTCCCACACCTTCAGCTACGAGATTCCCATGCACATCCTGCACCGCTACGAGAGCCTCATGGACCAATGCGATGTGGGCGATCTCTGCAAGCTACTGCGCCCCCAGATCTACCTGGACGTCGAGGTGCGTGGCACCCGCATCCAGGGCCGGCTGTCCATTCAACTCTTCACCGAGGCCTGTCCCCAGGTGGTCCTCGAATTCATGCGCGCCTGCACCACGGGCAACACGGAAGCTCTCACCGTCACGCGCACTCTCACACCCATGTGGCTGGAGGCGCGCCTGGCCATGGGCCCTTCCAGCGTGCGCGACCAGGATCTCCGGAACATTGAGCACGACTTCGATGTGCTCAATCATGGCGTCGACGCTGGCATCCTCTCGTTCCCCAGCCGCTATGTGCGCGGCCATCCCCGGTCCGCCGTCAACTTCACCATCAGCTTCCAGCCGCTGTCGATTCTGAACGGCAAGCGGATTGCCTTCGGCAAGGTGCGCAAGGGACTGAATCTACTGGAGCGCATTCAGGACGCCACCGGCCACCTGGCCACGGCTCAGGGCCATATCTTGATAACCGACTGTGGAGTGCTCTAAATCATTGATCGTTTGAGTTGAAAATTATACGTTGTATAAACGTTCTTCTTCCCCCAAGTATGCTAAATATAAGTTGCCCCTGAGAGTTGCGTCAGTCTTAGTCGTTCAGCTTGAGCAGCTTCATCTATGAATATTTCAGTTTTATATCCTACTTCGTGCTGTGTAGACGTACAACTACACACAGAATATATACAAGTTTGAGCCTGTAGCTTAAATTCACAATTTCCGTGTGAGTACTTTGGGGGCATTCCCAAAAACGAACCGCCACTTACGGTCTGCTTTCCTGCCAGTTGACTGATTTCTGTGGGAGATGCCCGCCGACGGATTGAACAGCCCTCGGGTGCAGGGACGCAGGAGTGGAGGAGACCAGAAGAATGGATCACCGTTTCCGGACAAGTACGACATGCGCGGCACACGCGCTCTGAGCATCTGCAAGAGCAAGATCACTGAGGTGCCCATGGAGCTGTTCGAGCAGGCGCGCCTGGAGCTGGTGAATGTCGTGCAGCTGGAGGACAACTGGCTGAGCGACGTGCCCAAGGATCTGGACATGCTGAGCGAGCTGCTCACCCAGCTGGATCTGAGCAAGAATCAGATCTCCTGCATTCCCACCAACATCTCGCAGTTCTCGCGGCTGGCCTTACTCAAGGTCCCCTGCAACTTGCTGCGCGATCTGCCCATGGAATTTGGGGGCCTGCAGTTGCTCTGTGAGCTGGACATCTCCTTCAATCGGTTCGAGCGATTGCCGCGCTGTATCGCCGATTTGCAGAGCCTGGAAACCCTCTTGGCTCACGATAATCACATCAAGGACCTCGACGCCAGTGAGCACGGACTGGGGGCCCTAAAGAATCTGCGGGTATTGGATCTGAGCAATAATGATATTCGCCAAGTGCCGCCCATTCTGGGTAACCAGCGGAAGATCATTCGACTGAATCTGATGGGCAATCCGCTCCGACAGCCGCGTTACTCTATTCTGAGCTCTGGAACGGAGGCCATCATGGCGTACCTCCGCACTCGCATACCCCTTGCCCAGCTGTAGCTCCCATCAAATTATCTGTCATTGTTGCTTAATAAAAAAAACAAAGTACCCCTTGGGATAGTACCCCTGTGGATAGTACCCCATAAGTACTCCATGAGTCTGTCATTTAAACAAAAATAGTCGTAATACAAAAAGTCGCACCAGAAAAATGTCTGCCGAAAAAAAAGGACACCCAGAAAACGAGCAGTGAGTAGCGATGATCATGCCACAATTAATGTGCCCCGTAATGTACAGCCGTATCTATAGCATCGACAGATCCTACGATGGCGATGCCTTCATCAACCATTTCGCTCGACGGGGCGCGCGGGAGATCATCATCATGGATGCCAGTGGCAATACCCTGCGTTCGACTGTCAGTCCGCGGCGCACCCACATGTATGTGTCCTCTCTGAAGCCCCTGGTGACAATGGCGCGCAATGTGGTGAGGGATCTGAATCCCTCCAATGACATAACATTCATGCGCCTCCGCTCCAATGGGGGCGAGGTGCACATCACACTCGGCACCGATTTCATTTTGATTGTCATACAACGCATCAAAAGGAAAAGTACACCCAAAAACTAATTGATAATACGCGTAAATACTGCGAGTGTGTGTGTTGGTGTGTGTGTGTGTGTGTGGGCCATGCTATGTACACGTACATATACAAACACAAAATGAAGATTAAATTGCTGGCGAAGTGAATCATGGTCGAGACTCATTTTAAATGCAAACTGCAAGGGAAAAGCAAACAAATCAAGTATTTGCCACACCAAATGCGGATCAGGGCGTCAATTATGCACATGGTGCACATCGTATTTGGCGTTTGAGGTCTCCAGGATAGTGGGGTCTGGTTGGTTTGGTTTCCGTCAATGCACCCACAATTAAGCCCGTCACATGCATGTCCTTTGATGGCAGATTGCTTCATTAAGCGCTCGTCCGGGCGGCTGTTCATTTCGGGGAATATTCGGTTAGAGAGTCCCATCGACTTGAGCAATATAGTGTCTGATTTGAGCAGAACAAAAATTAAACGATAGTGGCAATTAAATATCACACGTCGTGCAGCTTGTCGCCATTATTCATTTATTGCGACAAAATGCAAACAATAATGTGTGGCACATGGGACCCCTGGGGCGAGACAGGAAATAGCAAAAGCACACAAAGTATTTGTGTGTTCGACTCTTCCATTGTTTTCGGTGGATCTGTGCGTTTTATTCAATATTTTCGTGGTTCGCATTTGTTTAGCGGCTTTATAAATAGAGTTCATATCCACACATATGTACGTATGTACATTGTACATATATAGATTTTGTCGCCATTTATGTCTGCCAGTTACATATGCTTGTTGGTCTTTGTTGGGACCATCGCAATATTTAATGAGGCACAAATATTTATGCTTTTCCTTCACCAAATCCGCTGACCAAATATGGGATTATTTTCCAAAATAAATACCCAACAATAGGATGCGCTGTACAAAATCCCCAAATAACCAAACATCAATTCGGTTTAGAATAACATTCTAACATTTTTATGGATCAGATTTGATTACTCCAAAGCACTTGTACTCTGCCAGTGCAGGGTATCAAAAGTACTAATAGTATGAGGTGATTCGATCGGATTATTGCGACTATTCACGATTCACGTCCATTATGATTCAGTGGAGTGTCCGGAGGTCATTATGGCAGCTCTTAAAGCGGCAATAACGTGATTAAGTGACCAAAAAGGCAACGAGAGCGCCACATGCTGTCATTTAATTTATTCGATACGCTTCAATCCGATGCCAACGGTGTATACGAATACGGAATACGAATACTGCAAATTGTTGACTTTTAATGAATATTCGAGAGTTATAAATAATGGACAACGCGTGAATTTGCACTGCATCCACTTCAACAGACTGTAAATGCCAGCGCAGCGGCTTAAATTGCATCGCTTAAAGTCAACTGCAAGGGGACCGACCCCCAAGGCCTAATTGAAACGTGACCTGCGTCAGCTGTCTTCCGGCAGTGTCTGGCGCGAGATGAAACGTGAAATTGCGCAGACATATAGTGCACATATTTATGCACCATCCTGCGGCTATTTTCATAGACGATAGACACTTGAGCATTATCAAAGCTGCCCCCGGCAAATGGGGCGAACCCAATTCCATAGAATAACAAGAAATTCGATACCCGCGAATACTCGTACTCCCTTGTGTTGGCTCGTTAGCTGGGAATTATAATTGGCGGCAAAACCGATTACAAACTGAGCAGGGCCTTTAATTTGTATGCCTCCTAATTTATGCGTAATTCTGTTACAAATACAAAAAGGGCAGAGAGAGAGAGCTTTGTAATTATAGCGTTGCAATTCAAATTAGCTGAAAAACGGAAAATCCTTTATCGTCCCCCGCGTGTAAATTGTCAGCAGGTTTCGTAAATTATCTGTTAAGTGAGCTGCAAACTACTTTCGGGCGGAATCCAATCCCCTTGACGGAATGATGTCCACTTTGGTCCGCACACTCGTATGAGTAATGGTCTTCCGGGTTTTTCCATTTCGGGGCATTCATCATCATGGCCGCTCGTTCAACATGTGTTGTCCCTAATTAGTTCCATTGGCGCTGGAGTGGCCGCTCCAGCTCCACAGCCCTGTGCGTGTGATTAAAAGTGCTGCCAAAAGTTACAAATGGTGAGTCATTTATGAAAGAGTTCGGTCGTCACTGGTGCGAATATAACAACGAATATAGCAACGAGTAAATGCGACACTGATTGCCATGCTTTCGAGCTGGGAATCAAATGAGCGCTAAGGAATATCCTGGCCCTGGCCCTGGCCCTGGCACAGTGTCCACCGCGAAAGTACGTCCCATATTAACCAATTTTTTTTTGTAACTCCTTTGCAATGCGAAAAGCAATTAAAACAAATATTTATATCGAGAGCAGGGAATGTGTCGCGTATGCGGCCGATGCATTGTTCGGTTTGAATCCATGAAAATATTTTCATTGTTTCTTGGCAAAGGAAAGCGTGGACCGCCATTGTTCCGCAGTACAAAAGCTGCCCGACCGCCATTTTCCACTCACATTTAATGAATTATTAATTTTAATTACTTTCCAATTAAACATCAATTAAACGCTATCCTTGAGCCTCCGACTTAAAGTCTGTGCATCTACGCTGTCGTGATTACAGCCAAGTGTCTGTGTGTGTGTGTGTGTGTGTGTACGTGTGTGCGTAAGAGGACACATCATCCAATCAGGCATCATTAGGACCCCATCCGTTTGATCCGCATGAGTGTGCGTAGTAGTGGGGGAGGTGTGGAGCATCTCGTCAATGCACTTAATTAATGAGAACTCGGTCCGGGTGGGTACAAGTCTCTTTGCATTAATATCCGCAAACCCCGTAGTCAAGTTGAATGGAAAACACCTTCCGATTGAGCATTAATTAACTGCAACTTTTATTTAGCCTCCAGCTCATCCCGCGTTTGGCATAATCTGCCTTCGTCTCTCGTCAAACACAAACTTCAAAGTCTCGACTCGGCTCGAAAAACGCCCAAAGGCTTACTTTAATTACATGCACCCACTGCAAAGGGGAAACTTGGCCGACAACACGATCCAAATGAGCCGCCTGCCCCGCCTTCCCATGCACCATGCAGCATGCAGCATGCTGCATGCACCTGCCGCCAAAGGCAGACAAACCACAGCAGGAGGGAGCAGGAAAAAGTAGACCATCAGAGGATGCTCCTCTTATTTCGTACTTGAAAACGTAACATGTGCAGCCCCACCATCGCACCCAGCGGCCCAGAAACAAGGATACCTGTGTACGTTGTGGCTGGCGCCGCATGCCACGCCTACTACTGTCCGCTTGCACGGTACCAAAAAACCAGATTAATAATGTAGTGAAAGGGAGATTTAAGTAGAAGTCAGGAATTAATTAGAGAAATGGAAATGAAAATGGATGCTATAGATTCGATAGATACAATAGAGACCCATGTTTTTTTTTTATTCCTATTACCTTTTTCCTTCTGCCATTCCTTGGCGCTCTGCTCTCACACTTAACAAAAACTTCGAATGTTGCTGCTAATTTCTTTTGACTTTTCAACGTGCACTGCGCATCTTACGGTGCTGGTGGAGGGGGGGCATAGGTGATAGCTGAGCGGGGTTCCAGGGTCCATTGTCTGATGCTTTCATGCGATTTTTGTGTGTGCGCCGAATACTTCATAACAAGTTTGATGCAACTTTTGAAAACATTTACGCCATTTTAGGTGTACGTGAGAACGCATATGGCAAACGGAAAAGTTCTTCCAAAAAACACACACACACACACACAGAGAGACCGTTAGCGTTAGGGAGAGAGACAGAAAAGGCTCATTGGGGATTCGCTTTATGGCTGCGGCGGGGAGCTCTTTAATTGCAGCCAAGCGGGCGATTATTTTGCAAAGTTCTTCGCTTTTTTTATATTTTTATTTTTTCAGCTTTCAGCGAGCAACACAGAATCACAAATGCCGTGCACGTATTTATTAAATTCCGTTTGCACCGTTTTTGGGTTAAACAACTTTTTAAGCCCCGCCTCCCGCCCTCCGCATTTACGAGTATATGTGTGTGTGTGTGTGGAGGTGGAGGCGGAGGCCTTTCTGAATGCCTCTGTATGGTGGTGCGGGTGTGGCAGCATCAACTCTCAGTCAAATTCTTTTAATCTGCATTATTTGGATTATATTAAATCTGAATCAATAATTCATATTAAGCCTGATTTATGTGCCACCCACCGCCAAGGTGGGTGAAGGTGGGCAGGGGGTAGGTCTAAGGGCACGTAATGCCAATATATAGACATAATGTTGGTTAATTTGCATCGACTGCAGCACAAAGGAGCTGCTTATCAAAAGTTTTCACGTACAACTCGTTCTACTGGCTGTGAATGGGGCATGAGGGGAACATTAAATGAAAACTTTTCGTATGTGCAATAACCTCGCAACCTGACAGCCTGGCAGGAGGCCAAAGGAAGTGCTGTAGTTGGAGTAGCCCAAGTAGACTGTGCAGATAATATTTGCCATATATTTAAGTAATAATAAACACACTTGAACAAATGAAGTGAATTTTAATTGAAATCCCAAAGGCAAATTGTCGGATATGCATCATAAAAGTATCAACGTCTGACAACAGCTTGTCTTGAGTAATTAAATACACATACTTCTGGCAGCCAATGTTTACACTTGAAACGACAACTTCTTGGGGAAAATTCATTTCGTATTTCGTGTGCGACAGGTTGGCTTGGAATAAATTATCCACTTTTCAGTGGCAGCAGTGGCAGCAGTGGCACGACATTAATTAGCGCATCTGCTGCTTGGTGTCACTGCCTCAAAATGAAGTTAATTAACCCCAAAAATCCTTACCAAGGCAATCTGTGGCTATAACTAGTCGATTTACGCCATTGCCTCTGCTTCTGCGGCTGAGTGCACTTCATCCTTCCTTGGCTGCACGGATGGGGATGCTTTCGCTCACGACTCTCGCTCTCTGGATTCTACAGATTCCACTCGACCACAAATTCGCTCTAAGCACTTGCCATGCCCCGACAAACCAGGGCAATCAGTCAACGGGCTGTGCCTGTGCTGGAGCATTTTGTCAAACAGAATCAGCTTTGACCCATGTGTGAAGTGAGCTGCTGGCGGGGGCAAATCTTATAAATAAGCCAGAGCTGGCTGGTTGTATGCTGCAAAAAAATAGCTCGTTGCCAGCAAATTTGCATCTGAAGCACAGTTACCAGCTACCAGCTCCAGGACACACTCTGTGGCACACGCACACATATTGTGTCCTGTCAGCATTGGCTTAAGGACAAAGCAGGAGCAGCAACCTTATATGCTCCTTCTGCCATGTGGTGCTGCGTGTAAATGTGCACGAAATGAAATGCATCGTCAGGCAGGAGTTGCCTCTTTCTGGGGGGATGGGCTGCCACAGTTTCGAGCATTAACACGCACGCATAGAGAGGCCCCAAACACAGACACACACGCACTCCCTTCAGTTGGGTGAAATTCCGAATCGGTGTCCTTCCTTCCTGTCCCGGTGCCGTCCCGTCCCCCGTGGTGCAGTTTGCGTCCTGTGTGTGCCGTGTTCCTGTGCTGGTGGCGCCAGGTGCCCATTGTTTTTTATGCCCAACCGAAATTCGGGCACGAGAACAAATACCTAGTAGTCCACTTCTATGCGCAGGAGGTAGTACTTTTATTTCTTTATCATTTGGCAGGGAACAATAAAGCGGGCAAAGCGAAGCCAGTTGTCATCCGTGGCCAAAGCCTGTGCCAAGTTGCTGCTATAACTTAAAGCCCGGATTATGCCAGGCAACGACAGTTGCTGTGTGGGCGGCGTGGCGTGGCGTGTCGTGTCTGCTGCATCAGCAATTGCGGCTGCTGGGGCTTGTGCTGTTGCTGTTGCTGTTGCTATTGCTATGGCGCCTAATGATATGCAATAGTTCTGCCATTCAATGCCACTAATGGAAGTAACTTGAGTGTAAATTCAAAAGCGGATTGCGGCTCTCTAATCCGGCAACTAAATTATTTATTCAGCATTTGTCTTTTGTCGATTCTCCTCTATGAAACATTGTAACCACTACAGTCGCTGCCGCTGCCACTGCCACTGCTGCAACTGCTGCTGGTTGCTGCACTGTCCTCAAATTTCGTATGGAAATTTCGTTTATTTTAATGGCATTTTCCATGTGACCCATCGATGGGTTTTTACGATGATGGCGCCGTTAGCGCTGCCATTTTCTCTGTGAATTTTAAAACAATTACGAGGTCTGGCATTTGAGTCCTGGATTCGGTTCGCTTTCTCCCCATCAGCGGCAGAGGAACTCTGCTATTTTCGTTCCCTCTATTTCTGTGTGTGTTGCGGGGACTCTGCTTCGGTTTCTGTTTCGGTTTCGGTTTCTGTATCGGTTTGCAGTTGCAACTCTTCGATTACGCCAGACTTAACAATGCGAGGAATTAAGCGAATTTCCCATTTTCATTACTTTGGAAATTGAAATTGGTTTTCCCATACTCCCCTGCAGCCCCGCATCCCCTGCAGTGGCCGAATGGTAGAATGTTTCGTGGTGGGCGAGAACTGCTACCTCAGCCACAAGCCAAATCCCTAATTGATTCAGACTGAATTGAAGATTTATCACCAGAGCTCTTCCAATCGCTTTGATAATGGATAAACCTGAAGCTGAGGCCAAAGCTGGGGTTAAATTATGAGCTGCAGATAACTTGATCGTGCGCATAGGACAATCTTTGACAGCGCAAGGAGACAGGTCAGACAGGGAGATGGTCGGCCGTCGGTCCCCCACATTAGCGTACTAAATCCACTAGTCGGCGGGGCTGGGGTTGGTTTAGCTTAATGTTTTCCAGTTCGGTTATATATCATGCGGTGATTTGTGTGGACTTTTGCAGGGCGGCCGACTCTCTGGCGACCCACAGACAGCCGACGAGGCACTATAAATCAAGGGGCGCGCCGTATCCGGGGAGCTCTGGGATATGGCAGGCAGACTAAGCGACTCGTATGCGTGGCGAAACTTAATAAGGAATGCGACAACAAACAAATGATGCAAATAGCTACCGAGCGACAGAGCGACAGAGCGACACAGTGAAAGCTGTTCCTTTAAAGCTCTTCCCCGAAACATTTCTCAGTGTCATTCTACAGACAGAGCCCCGAGACGAAGACGTAACCATAGAGATATAGATTTGCAAAGGCGATATGTATGTACGCGAAAAGAGAGAGAGAGAGAGAGACATCAACGTCAGCGTCAGGCAGGCAAAACAGATGGAACGACAGGCAGGCAGGCAGTCAGGCAGATACGAGTTTTCTTTTGATTTATCGCGAATGCGTAGTAAAACAAAGACGGCGGAGCGAAACCCGAGGGAACTCTCAAACTCATCCAATTATCCAGTTAAGTTTCATTATGTCAGTGTGCTATTTTCGGGGGGCAGGAAGTGCCGCCATTGTTCGCCATTGTTTCTGCTGCAGAGTGCCTCTGTCGTCTCTCTTTGGAGTGACAACATTGCGGTTTCGCCTGGATGTCATCGACGTCATGCGAGAACCGGCCGCAGGACAGCCGCATCCTATGCCCTATTCTCTCCTCTGGCTGATAAATTGTCAGCGCGCGGCATCGCTTTCACATGCTTTGACTTGATTATGGCGTAACAAATTGTCGCCATTTTGCATTTTTCGCTGCGGAAAATGGGGGAAACGGAAAGAAACTGTTCGCCTGCTCTGGCTGGCTTTTGTGGCTTTTGGGGCAACCGAAAAGGCAATCAAATACCAACTAAGCGCGGGACAACACTAAAACCCCTTTCAGAGTTTTCCAGACTACCATTTTTCAGGCATTCTGATTCATCGTTTCAGCGCTGCAATGGATCTGAAGACTGGCACACTACTGGTTGCACCCGCCGTGAAGAACTCCAGCTGCTCGCATCCCCGCTACTCAGGCCACAACTTCATCGCCCACATCGGCATTGCGGAGACCATAGAGGCGGTTCTCATTCTGGTCCTCACCCTGGGCGTCATCGGAGCCAATTGTCTGGTCATTTTCGTCATAAACAACCGTCGCTATGCCGCCTACATCCACCAACAGGTGAGAGGGTTCATGTCCAGCTGTCCATCCATCTGTCCCTGGCAGTGCAGCCCAGTAATCCGTTTGTATTCCAATTAAGCCACGCTATTTGCTCACCTCTCTGGCACTGAATGACCTGACAATTGGCCTGCTAATTACACCGTTTGGGCTAATGCCGGCATTGTTCCACTGCTGGCCATATGGCGAGATCTTCTGTCAGATACAGGTGAGTGAATGAGTGAGTGAGTGAGTGCGTTGACCAGCAACAGGTGGAAATGGCCGGAAATGCATAATGCTGCCAATTAAGCCTCTGCCGCACAATATGATGATGAGGCAATTAGAGCACGCAGACACAGACACAGGCAACAATTAGAGATGCGATCGAGTGGAATAACAATGTGTGTGTGTGTGTGTTCAAGGCATATGGCATATAATGCGTTCAAAGGCCCCTGGAGTTAATAACATGAAATACCAAAGAATTCGCTGCATAACTCTTGGTTACGTGTATTTTAATACGACTATGTCGGGGAATGAACAAATTCCATTGCAAGTATTTTCATTCGATTTTCCACTCGTGCGTGCGAGCAGATGCAAGGGGACAGCGGCAGGGAAAAACGTGCAATATTTATTACAAAAATATTATATTTATATAAAATTCAAAACTATCTAACTATTCTCCTCCTCCTCATCTTCATCTCCTGCTTAGGCCCTGCTGCGTGGAGCGCTCTCACAGCAAAGCGCCGTGATACTCGTGTGCATGGCCGTCGACCGATATATGTGTGCGTTGCATCCGCGTCGCTACTACCAGCACTCCAGCAAGAAGGTAAGTGTGTGTGGGTGGGTGTGGGTGTTTCGCTCAGATAAGGCACGGATCTGGGCTATCCTTGAGATAGCGATTTATCCGCGAAACGAAACAAAAGAAATTACGCGCCAATAAAAATCAGCAGCAGCTACAGCGACAAGAACGTTTTTCTAGAGGCCAATTACGCCGGCATAAATAAGGATAATGGGCTTTAAGCTCCATGCCAGTCATTAAAAAAGCAAACAAACAGCCAGAAAGCGAGGCCGAACGAGAGAATGAAAGAGCAGCGCAAGCAAAACAGAAACCGGAACCCAATAGACATTCGAAAAGTGTATAAAATAGAGATTAAAAAAAAAAAGAAAGTGGCTAAAAGTTGGGCGGGTGATTTTTTTACGCATATTGACTTTTTCCTAAATGCGAGGACCACAGCAAAGTCCTGGCACCCAAGGACCAAGAACCAAGGAAAGCAGGCAAATGAAGCGGCACCTCCCACGGAAACCGCAGGCAGAGCGCCAAAGAGCAGCAAACGAAGCAGCATCCAACTCTCCATTTTCCCTTTTCCACATTTACATCATAATTTATGGGACCCCACTGTGAAAAAGAGAAAGCAGAGCGCTTCTGGACAAGAGCAAGGGAGAAAATGCTCTTGCCAGCAAGCGTTAATTACCCTTCAAACGAAAAATGCCTTTAAATATTCCGAGTGGCGCAAATACAATGATAAGAAATATATTTTTCATAATTATTATTTGAACATACAAATGAAACTGCCATCAATGGCACTCCTTCCCATCCCACTGTTAAAACTAAGGAAACTGTTTGCTCCGCATTCAAATTTATATGCTCCGAATATAATAAATTTAAGGACCCGCACATAAAATAATGTTTCTTGCTAATATTTACATAAAATTGCCTTGCATTCGGATTTTGTTGTTCGTTGTTCCGCTGTTTGCTCTCTGGCAATGCGAAAATTGGGCAAGCGGCCAAAAATTGGCGCACTGCCACGCCCCTTTTGCCATAAAATGAGTTTGCCATATCGAAAATTAATAAATGGTTCCCGAATGTTGAGCAAAATGAAAGCAAAACCTCGTAATGGCTGCAAAAAAAGTTTGAACTTTCATTTTTCATAATTTTAAAAGTGCCATAAACACCGAACATTTTTTTGTGTGGCTTGAAAAGCCAAAAAAAAAAAAAAAAAAAAAGATAGGTCTATCGGTGAAAAAACAGAATTGAAGGAACACTTTAAATAAACATTAAAAGGCGTATTTTTGCTCTTTCCTTTTCTGTGATGAAATACAAAATCGCTTTACCGCTTTTTTCGCGTGCCAATAACGGTATGCCACGCCCAGATACATGGCGTATCTGGTTTGGCATTCAATTAAAGTTGATGTGTATGCAGCAAACAGTTGCCAAGTCTTTTTGCTTTATAATATAATACCATTGTACCCCTGCAAATGCACATAATTTTTGGTTCTTTTCGGTTTTTCTCAATGTTGATATTCAGAGCCTCACGAAAGTTGTAAAAACGATAGGGTTGTAAATTAAATAAAACAGGGCAAAGTGAAAATGCGAAAAGTTTTTTGTTGCATTCCTTTTGTTACGCTCCCTGGACCCCGGAGGAGGGATATTTTCGAGTTACTGTTTTGAGGGACTGGCAAATGGTCACTAGCTCAGTTAAACAGTCACTCAGTCACTCAGTCAGTCAGTCAGTCAGTCAGTCAGTCAGTCAGTCAGTCATTCAGGCAGCTATGATTGTGGCAGCCTTTTACCAAAAGTTGCTACCTCCTCTGGCTTTTGTGTGCCTCCTGCATGGTCGGTGTGCTCTTTGGGGCAATATTTTGAATGTAATCAAAAGTTTTTAATTCTATTTATGGGATTTTTAGAAACTGTTTCATTTGATTGAAGAGTGAATGGTTGAGTTGTGCACCGTCTGCATCTCCTGTGAAGGTGAATTGTGAGGCAAAACCACTCTCGAAAGATTTAGCACAATTAAAAGTGCTAGTGCGGCACGTATTGCTGCATTGGCCAAATCATTTCCATACCCGAATCATACAAAATCTGCATCAGAAACGTGCCGACAGTCTGCACCCAAGTCAAAAGTGCAACAGGAGGAGACCCAGAAATACATGTAGCTAAGCACACAATCTGTTTGTATATCCCCATGTAATTTGCAGGGTTGTGTTGCCATATTAAGTCTAACCTGGATCATCAGCCTCACGGTGTTCGGCTTTCTTGTGCTGCCCAAAGGTGAGTTTTGCTGCCGCTATCCAGCAATCTAATATGTATATACACACACACGTTTAAACGTCTATATCCCATCCACACAGGTTACTACTTCAACAATACAGGTCTAATGGCCTGCGAACCCTTCTATAGCAAGCCGTCGTATAGAATTTTATCCACATGCGCCCTGTACTTCCCCACCACCATGGTGCTGATGTACTGCTATGGGTCCAGCTTCCACATGAGCCGGTTCCGCCTGAATGATCCGACAATGCCCCTCACGGCGGCCGCCCACCATCCGCATCCGCATCTTCATCCGGCCCAGCAGCAGCAGCTACAGCTGCAACATCAGCATCAACATCAGCATCAGCACCAACACCAACAGCAGCATCAGCAGCATCAGCAGCACATCTACCATGGCCACTCGCATCATCCGCACCATCCGCATCATCATCATGGGGCACCCGTAATGGGGCACCACCTAAGCATGGCCATGAGCATGGGACTGGCCGGGATGCCGAGCATGACAAACAAGATTACCAAAAAGGTGGGTAAGGGTAAAGGGGCCGAGTTTTTGGATTAAGTTCGGAGTAAATAGAATCAACTTTGTCTGCATCCACAAGTGCTATCAATATGAGCCCCCTCCAGCTCACACTCGTACTTTGAAGATATTAATTACATTGTCCAATATTTCGCAGATGGTTCCCATCCAGGAGAAGAACTCCACAGGGTCCACGTCACGTTCGATGGCCGCCATTTCGTTGGGATTCATTGTTATGGTCACACCATGGACCATACAGGAGATAGTCACTGCATGCACTGGCTCCAAGGCAAGTGGTTCTCTATTCTCTCGTCCTTCCTTTCCTTTGATTCGCTGCCAGACATACGTGGCGCATACGTAATGAATGTTGAATGTTGCGCATACGCCACGTCTGCCGCATAAGCTTTGATTTCACTCTCTCTCTTTGCCTGCAGTTGCCGCCGTTTCTTGATTTTGTCGTCACTTGGACAGCACTGAGCAACAGTTTATGGAATCCCTTCATGTATTGGCTCCTCAACTCCGACTTCCGCCGTCTCAGTCGTCAATTGATGCCAAACAAAGTAAGTGTCTGCCTGGGGATGGCCTCCTGAGATCGATGTGTGCCAGCAAATGCTGTCATAAGTCCTGATTGATTGATTTGCTTATCCCTTGCTTTCAAAACACCTAACTAAAGGCACATCCGGGGCTGGAAGCTGCAGCGCTTCCATATTTTCGGTGAGGATTTGAGGCAGCTGCATAAACTTTCCAGCAGTAAAAGAAATTTCCTGAAAAAGGTGTAAGACCCAGGAAGCTCTCTCTGGCTCCAGCAGCAAAATATCCACAGCAACGGCAACAATAACGGACTGTGTAAAGTGATTTTGAATTATGAAAGAGAAAATCCAAAACAGCATTTACGTCGTTTGCCCCATGGCCCCATGACCCTGTTTCGTCCTCTCCATCCATGAATCTATTTTGGGTAGGAAAACGCAGTCAAGTTGCATGATTTACTTCCGCTCGAAATTCTAAACTCCAACGAAACTGGAGGTCAGTCTGTGGAAAATTTATGGCTATCATTTTTGGGGGGCACAACCTTGCTGGATTTTTGTTGCAAGTTGCGAAATCCTTATTAATTTTTGGCATAGGAAAACTAAGCGATGGAAATTTATGACGCACTCGTTTTCGTTTTCGTTCTCGTTCCGTTTCAGTGCTTCCCCAACGAGGAAACGCCCGAGCACAAATCAGCCTGTTGTCACATCAATGCAAACGATTTCGAAATCACAACTCTACCCGTCCCACCGGAGCCGCCCGCCTCTCGGCCGCCGGGCAACAATGGCGGGATCGGGGGTGCGGTTAGTTCTGGGACAGCCGGAACGGGCACTGGAGCCGGTGGAATTGGCAGCTCCATTGGCGGTTCTGTGCTCGGCATCTGCGGACGCTCCAGGGCCAACAGTTTGAGCCGCAGTGCCTCGCAGTGCATCCGGAGCACGATGGGAGGCGGACACGGCTACGCGCACCAGGCATCCGCCAACGATGCGTACCCCACAATGCGGCCCGACATCGAAGGCCTCTCCGAGAAGTACTGGGGCGAAATTCTCGAACGTACCGTAAGCTCGGGCAACCTCAACGCCATGCAAAAGAGCTTGCCCCACTTTCCCTACCACCACCACATGCACCAACTGCACCAGCCGCAACAGCACTATCGCCAGCAGCAACAGCAACAGCAGCAGCAGCAGTCACAGCTGCAGACCACGTCCTTCAGCAAGGCCAGCGATCTGCAGCTGAATCTGTGCAAGGACTCAACTTCCGCCTCCGATCTGGGCAAGTTCTCCAACTCGGAGCCCAAGCTGTGCGAGCACCTCTTCCACGACGTCAACTGCGCCAAGAGCAAGGCCCTCGGAGCCGGCGGCGGTGAGGCTGAGTCCTCCGGCAAGTTGTCTGCGGGTCGCAGCATTCCGGACATTTAGTACGCAGAGGACGTCATACTCGCCAGCCAGAGGGCCCGTCAGGCCATCAAGTGCTCGCACCATCCGCTGCACCAGCAGGCCCGGCTGCACCATGGCGTCCACCATACCAGCAGTTTGCGGCTGAATCGCATCCGCGTCTCCTGCCACAGTCCGCCGCCGGAGGCCTCAGCCGCCTCTTCTATGGACGAGTATCGTTCGTAAAGACAAATCCATTTAAAGGGGAAATGGTTTAACCATAGAATGAGTATGTGTGTGTGTGTTTGATCGCATGATCATCCAAATGTAATATGTGTGTCGTCTATTATGTAGGATTTCAATACAAAGATATCGTAAATATTGGCCTGCTGTAGATCCTTTGCTTTAAGAACTTGCCCATCGAATCGGATCGGAATCGGATCGAAATCAAAATCGGCCATGAAAATCAAATGTTAACCATAGTAAGTGTTCATTCAGTGTTTGTGATACCCTAAGATACCCCGCAGCAGCAGAAGCAGCAGCAGCAGCAGCTGAGAGATAAATAAATGTTGAGTGTTGTTTTGTCTGTGTATTGTATGATATTATATTAGATATGTGAATGTATGTGTTGTGTACTATGTGTCTATCTATTGATCAACCAGGTTGACTTGAGCAAAAGAGAATAAAGCTGTCCAGAAGGCTAAAATGTAAACTCTACAAGAGAAGTCAGACTTTCCTCTCAGATATTGTGTGTATGTATGTACAAGTATGTATTCCCCCTCTATGAGCATTCGTTTCCCTCTTCAGGATCGGGTATATGAATGGATATGAATCTTAAAGCGTTGTGGTTAATCATAGTCCTAGTTCTGTAGCTCCAATCAAATCTGAATACTTACTAATGAAACTACGAGTATATTCACTGTCTAACGAATCGGAATCAAAATCAAATCAAATCAAATCCTAACTTTTGTGATTGTCATGAATTTAAGTTAGTCGGTGTAAAATTATTGTTAAATCATCCTCTAATTTGTAGCTATAACGTATTAGTTAAATCAAATCAATTTACTCTCTAAGTGAACTTTAGTTTAGAACTTAAAAATAATACAACAATAGATATGCATAGGATAAACGAAAGATAACTACGAATATAAATGGATTTAAAGGCAAAAATAAATATCAACAAAACAACAAAAAGGCACAAAATGGTTTCATTTGCGACAATAGATTGGGTATTTGCATGAAATATAGTACTATAGCTTCTTGCTTCTTGCCAGTATTTTTCGAGTATTTGTTCATCTACTTTAAATAAATCTCTTCTCTGCTGACCACTTAAAGGTATTCATAATCTAATAGCAATTACATTGAAATCATTTAACAAAAGGAAGCCAAAAAGTGATCCCAAAAAGTAATACAAAAAGAAGTAATCCCAAGCACCCACAACCACACCCATGAAAAACTTTCACTGAAACGAAGCTAAATAAATTAAAAATTATTCAAATTTGATTTTTATTGTGCACCAAAAAAAATATTCTCCCTACCACACACCATGCCCCTTGCCACAAATGACAGCGAGGCGGCCCAGTGATGCCCAAAATGCAAATTAATATCGCAAACTGCGTTCAGATTTTCATTTGGACCCACAATAGCGGGCGATGAAAAAAACCAGCAAATGGAGCAGCGAAAGAAGTGCAAGAGAAACGAACAGGAAAAGTTGAAAAACTAATTTTCACAAAACAATTTTCAGTAGCCGCATTCGCACCACCCCCGCTTCATCCGCTGCTGCCACTGCCTCAGTCCCCTAGGCCCTAGGGGACTCGACGCTTCCTTGGCAATTTGAATCTCAAACTGAATCCGAATCTGAATCGGAATCCAAATTTGAATGTGGATTCTGCTCTCGTGCCCCGAAAAAATTACACGCTCTGCTGCATTTTGTAACAATAATCGCCGGTGTTTGCCGTCTGACCACGCCTACCGCCTGCGAGCAGCAGCAGCAGCAACGAAATCTCCGCCGCCTGAAATTCTGCGTGAGGGTAAAAAACTTTTCGCATGAAATTCAACTTGCCAACGCTTTCGGTCCGGTCCGCACACAGTTCTTGTTTTTCTTTCTCCGATTCCCATTTGGTCGCCATCCTGAGTTTTCTGTATAATTTGACGCCCGACGGGAATTGGGCTTTCCACCATTTGGAGCCCCCGTGTCCCGGCCTGCACTTCACTGCCCCCTTCTCTCACAAGATTTGGCTTCATTTTATCAACGCTAATTGGGGTTCATCTGATTGCGGCAAAGCATAACACAGCAGCTGTCGCGTCGTATCATGTGGAACAGTTTATAAACAAAGATTATACGCGTATGCGGAATTATACGGAAAGTAATTGCAGAGTAATTGACCTATCCATTTGGCTATCCATTTTAATGGCTGAACAGTTTATATAATTGCCTCATATCCGGCATTACGATCCTCAGTTCAAGTTCAGCTCTTAATATACGGATCCTCCACAAAGGTGAAGTAAACATTTGATGCAAACTGCGGTCTACGATCGAACATCCAATCCAACAATAGAAGATATTCACCAGTTGGCATTGGTAGGGGTATTTCAACCCGGTGTAAATCGCTTAAAGTCTGCAAGCCCTTTAAATTATTGCAATGGAGACTGAAGTTTAAGAATAAACTCACAACACTTACCACATAAGGACAGGTATGATTCACTGTGGACACATCCTTCATCATATTCCAGAACATTTTGGCCACCGGATGATTGCGTTTCCTCATAAACTCGCAGGCATCAATGGTGTAGTCCCAGAGAAATGGCTTGTAGCCATTGGCCCTCTTCATCATTTTAAATCGTAGGTGGATGTTGTTTGCCGGTTCTAAGACAGTGAGATTTACATTCAGACTTGTCTTGTTCCGGGAGTAGGCCTTCAGGCGGCAATAGTGAACTTCCACCCACGACTTGTTGTACGACTGACATTTTGCATTTGTCATTTTAACAAATGCTGCCTCCTGAAACGTCTGCTGATTAGTTTAGAACTTATTTACAATTGGCTCTATTCAATCTTACACTGCCAAAGAGAAAGATGGCAAATGAAAATAGTCCAAGAAGGAGCAGCTTATAGTTCATTGTGTCCGATCCGTGCGGCTGCTTACGACTACCGATGGAACGGTTTCGAAGTTCGATGTTCGATGTCCGGCTACCGATTTGGATACCGAAACTTAAATGAGGAAATTGAGCGTAAATATATTGGTGATATTCGATCTGTTCTGCTGGGCAATTTAAATGCATTAGTCACTTAGTCATTTAACCTATTCCGAAATTGCCGAAATATCCCCTTAAAATTTAAATGAACACCAAAGGCGTAGATAGATGGAAGTAGATATTTCAGTGGGTAAGGTGAATGAGTGGTAAACCGATACGATAGAATTTGTTAATCATCTGCAATCTGTAGAGACTCATATGGACTGAAATATGATGAAATTACTCTTGAATAAACCTTCAGCACTTGCCAAAAACTGACAGCCATCGTTCAAGTTGGACACGTCTTTGATCTGGCTTAATTGCTGAATTTCCCATGCGAACTTCAAGTTATTTTTACAACATAATTCACTTGCAAAAATACATAAGAGAAAATAATTTATTAACAGCATTTAATCCTCCACAAAGGTGAAGTAAACATTTGTTGCAAACTGCGGTCTACGATCGAACATCCAATCCAACAATAGAAGATATTCACCAGTTGGCATTGGGAGGGGTATTTCAATCCGGTGGAAATCGCTTAAAGTCTGCAAGCCCTTTTGATAAATTCATCAGAAACTGACGTTAGAGAACATAAATTCAACACATACCACATAAGGACAGGTATGATTCACTGTGGAGACATCCTTGATCAAGTTCCAGGCAATTTTGACCACCGGATGATTGCGTCTCCTCATGAACTCGCAGCCATCAACGGTGTAGTCCCAGAGAAATGGCTTGTAGCCATTGGCCCTCTTCATCAATTTAATTCGTAGGTGGATGTTGTTTGCCGGCTCTAAGACAGTTACATTTATATTCAAACTGGTCTTGTTCCGGGAGTAGGCCTTAAGGCGGCAATAGTGAACTTCCACCCAAGACTTGTTGTACGACGGACATTTTGCATTTGTCATTTTGGCAAATGTTGCCTCCTGAAACGTTTGCTGATTAGTTTACAACTTATTTACTATGAGATCTATTCAATCTTACACTGCCAAAGAGAAAGATGGCAAATGAAAATAGTCCAAGAAAGAGCAGCTTATAGTTCATTGTGTCCGATCCGTGCAGCTGCTTACGACTACTGATGAAATGGTTTCGAAGTTCGATGTTCGATGTCCGATTACCGATTTGGAGCCCGAGCGAAAATATTGGCGAAATACGATCTGTTCTGCTGGGCAATTTAAATCCAATATTAAGTCATTTAACCTATTCCAAAATTGCCTTTAGATCCCATTAAAATTTTAAATTAAAACCAATGGCGTAGATAGATGGAAGTAGATATTCCAGTGGGTAGTGTGAATGAGTGGTAATTCGATACGATGGAAATTTGTTAATCATCTGTAATCTGTACCATTAGGGTGGACACTCTGTTACACGTCCGACTGGCGAAAGAAGCTCTTAAACTCTGCCATTTCGTAGACTGTCATTTCAATTGATTTCAATTCACTTGTGAGAAGTCACATTGTCAGAAAACAATACACACTGAATTGCCATCGTAGATATATTCGAAATTATTATTACTCTTCGTATTTTTGAATTTGTTGTTCGTGTCCACTAATCGCACCTGTTCCGCACTGAGGACATGCAGCGGCCACGCTCTCAGGTCCATCCCGTTGTGGTGTCGGCCAAGCGCTATGAGGCGATCCAGGCGCGGGCCCACCAGGACCAGAAGCACGCCCAACTGGCCGCCGTCGAGGAGGAGCGGCGGTATAGGCAGTACCTGAAGGAGGGCAACGATCTGCTGTGCAGCTACTTCACGGGTTTGGTCACCCACGAGGCGGAGGAGAAGAAGTCCAAGGTGGTTGTGAAGGCAGCCGTCGAGGCGCCGCGGGTGACCAAGCAGCTCGAAGAACGTTTGCGCAAGGAGCGGATAATTCGGGCCAACAATTTGCTGGACCAATTGAAGCCGGGACATCGGGCCCTGCATCAGGCTCTGCTCGAGAGCGAGATGCTCCATCAGCGCAGCTTCAATGAGGCGCTTAACCGGGAGATCGCCGAGGATGCCCGTCGGCAGCAGGAGCTGGATGACGCCCTCTGTCCGGAGGTGCTCATACCCTTTAGCAACATCACCGAGGAGGAGCTGGCGGCAAAGGAGGAGGAGAAACGCCAGGCCGTTCGTCTGGCCATCGTTCAGGACGTGGAAACGAGGCGAAAACTCATGCAGGCCGAAAAGGAGCAGCGACTCTTCGACGAGACGGTGGAGCGGGCGCAATACAAGTGCCTGCAGGACAAGGAGGAGAAGGCCCTCAAGGAGAAGAAGGCTCGCAGCATTGAGTTCAATCGCAAGGCCTACCGCGACTCCATGAAGGAGAAGGCAGAGATCGAAGAGCGTGAGTCACTCCCCATCGTATGCGTAGAAGAGAGTGGAAAATGAACCCCAATCCCCTCCACAGATGAGCGCATTTGCGACGTGATCGATGATCGGCGCAACTGCGTCTACCAGGTGGCTACGCGGCACTTGGATGGCCGCTACAACGCCCATGTGAAGGAGACCCGTGCGAAACAGCATCGGGATCGCGAGGAGCGGGCCGTGCGCGTCTGTCGACTGCAGCAGGCGAGCAAGAAGAAGCTGGAGGAGCGCCAGGCGAGCCTGGAAGATCGCTACGAGTTCGAGACGCAGGTGGACGAGGGGCGACGCCAGTGCGAGCTGGAGGAGCTGGCCAAGCAGCGCAAGGCCTACCAGCTGGTCGAGAAGCGGGAGGCCGAGGAGAAGCTGCAGCGGGAACGGGAGCTGCAGCGCTTCGAGGTGGCCCGCCGACTGAAGAACGCTGAGGCCAACCAGCACTTTGAGATCTCCGAGCAACGGAAGCGCGACAGGGTGACGGCGGAGGTGCGCGACACCCTCTACCGCCAGAGGGACGAGTTCATAGAGCAGCGCCAGCAGGAGCTGATGCGTTTGTCTGCCTGCGACGACGATCCCTATCTCCTGGAGGACAAGAAGTTCTACGAGCAGGCCGTCGCAGTCATGGAGCAGTCCCGCAAGGTCGGCCGGCCCCTCTATCCCATTGCCACCGCTGTCGAGCGCTACGCACGGGCCAACAAACTGGAGGTGCTGCCGGACGGAGGTCCCGTGAAGCGCAGCCAGCTGCGGGACAACTGCTGGCCGGGGTTTCACGCCAAGGCGGATCTCGCCTACCGCAAGTACGAGCAGGCGGAGATGTGCCGCGAGAGCCAGCGGGATGCGCGCAACCAGATCTACTGCAACTCCGTCAAGATCAAGAAGATGGCCTCCTTGGAGAAGCCATACAAGCCGTGCGTGGGTTCCTGTCCCATCAACTGTTTCCATCGGCGCGGCATGCCCGCTGTGGATAGCACGGATTCCTTTGACTACGGCCCGCATGTCTGCTACGAGGAGTCGCCACCGCTGGGCGCCTGTCCCAGTCGCATGCAGGGCATTCGTCGCTATTCGACGGCCCCCAGCCTGCCGACCCTCGTCGCACTCCCACCCATGCCAGAGCTCCGGCTGGATGCCACGCCTGTGGCTGCACCTGTAGCCAAGTCCACGAGTCAGAACAAGATGACCAACGATTCTCCCAGTGCCCCACCAGCAAGTGGAAGTGCACCCAAAGTCGAGACGACTCCTGTTGCGAAGCCATCGCGTCCAGAGCCCTCTGGAGGCGCTGCTCCGCCAGTTCCCACCGGCCAAAATCGGCCCGCCATTGCCACAGGAGCAGGACACCGGAGAGAATCTTTGCCACAGTCCCGTCCACCAGTGTCTGCAACGGCTCGCCGTGTATCCGTTCTGGGTACAGACCCACGTGGAGCCACTCTTGGAATGCCCAAAGCCGGGGCTCAGGCTCCCACCGGACAAAATCGTCCAGCAAATATCCCAAATCCCGCGGGAACCTGGGGCTCGGGACCGTTGCCCCAGCCACCGGCCCCAAAGAACCAGAAAGGATCTGGTAACAAAAAGTCACATGGCGCTCACTAGAGTTAGGGAGCCAACCAGGGAGAATCACAATCCCATTCACACCCACACAATCAATCAATCAATCCATCAAACAATCAATCGAATTCCGAATCCATTTAACATTTCCAAAATTAACGTTTCTAGTGCTTGTTGTATTTTGATGTTTGTCCCTTTGCGAGGGCTGTAAAAGAATGAATAAAAGGCTGCAACCGACCCCACAGCCCATCCGGATCGACTCCTCCGCGGACGACGCCATCAGCGCACACACACACACACACACACACAGAAAGACAGACAAGGCAGGACCGAAAAGGAAAGACAGACAGTGAGGGGTAAAAGGAAATGACATTAATGGTTTTTTAAAAGCACTTAAACTTGGCGCAAGAGTTCGGTACGCCTTTCTCCACTTTTTTGCTGCCCCTGCAGAGACTGGAGATGGAGATTGAAGCCGTGATGGGAGGGGGGAAGGCAGGGAAACCTAACCCTTCCCGGTGACACTTGGCAGACATTACGCGCTTTGTTTAGCAGTGGATAAGCAAACGAGTGGCCTGACCTGACCTGGCCAGCGGGCAGTGTCCCCTTAGAGTGCCCTGGCAAAATGCTTCATAAATTCCAATTAATGCGTGGCCAAAGTTATTAGGTTTCGTCTGCCCCATCGCCATCGCCATCTCCATCGCCATCCGCTTCCATCTTCATCAATTTGTGACTGCCGCTGAGAGTGACATCCCCTTTTTGTTTCATTTAGCTTATTAACAGGCAGACATGTCCGGTGTTCCGCAGAGCCGGCCATAACTTAATTTGAAGTCTGCTAACCAGGCTTTCGTCTTACACTGTGAGAAACTCAGTAGGGCCGGGGTCACCGTCGCGGCGGGTCACCTTCTACGCTAATTTCCGGGCAATCTCATCAGGATAATTACGGCGGTGCTCCTTTTCTTCTGTGTCAGTTGCAGGCACCAAGCGGCACGAAGCAGCGACTCCCGGCGGCTTAATCAGCAAGCGCTTAGGACTTTGTAGTCTTTGGGGTTCAGTCGAGCGCTCAGCTTGAAATTATCGCAACTTGGAGTTTTCTTTTTATCATCCGCTCTGTGAAGTTGGTGAAAAGTTTGCCGGCTGGCAAAGTTAACCAATTTAGTATATTAAACGTTCATTATGGGAGTCATTGGGCAGGGCTCAGCAGCCATCGAGATATTTTCAAATCTCTTCAGTTCAGAAATGAGTGGACAGGCTATGGACAGGCTATGTTACATGCATAGAGGTTTGGCACTCTACTGCCAAGAGGCACCCACCTGAGGGTAAAAGCTAATTCGTTATTTTATTATTATTTTTCTAGCTTTAGAGCTGGGTGAACTATGAAGTTATAGGGCAGCGAAATATCAATGTTTTTAAGATAATTAAAAGCAAATTCAAAAATGACAAAATAAATGCTTCATGGTGATCCATCAGCTTTTCTTTGTTTCTCATCCACTTTTGTATCGTTATATCCCCTAATAAAATTGAGATTGCAGAGGTACGTGTACATATTGTCCAATTTCGTTTATTGTTTTGCCCAGCGACGAGTTTTGTGCCTTCCCTTTCGCACAAAATATTATTTCCGCTGAAAGCTCACCGTATGCCACGGAAAAACAACATGCTGGAAAAGTCTACACAGATGCAGCTGTGGAGTTTGTTGAGTTGGCAGCAATTCAATCAAATTTTGCTGAAATTCTGGGGAAATACATTCGAGTTGTCGGACATACGAAACCACATTTTCGCTAAAAAAATAAACTAAATATTTCTAATCGAATAAACAACGTCTATGGCAGGCAAATATCTAAAGCTTCCAATTGAGATACTATAAGTAACAGAATATGCTCCGACTTAAAGCATTTTCAATGGCAGGAAACTGCATCTAGCCGGAATGAATGCGCATTGTGTTTCAGTCTTGTCTTTTGATTAGCAAAAAGCTTAAATAATCGCTAGAGCACAAAGGGAGAAACATCTACAGGTGGCAGCAACAAAAAAAGGAGGAAACCCTCAGTCAAGGAAAAGTGGAAAGCAGATTGTAAAATGAGCGCACTGAAAAGCACAAGCACGCTTTCAATTTTAATGTAAAACAAGGCGGTATTTTTCTTCAAGTTGAAAACTCAATAAAAGTACCAGTATGAAAAATTACTTAATGAAATTAAGTGTGAAAAGTGTGAGTGCCTCCACAGAGAAAGAGAGAGAGAGAAAAGACGCCTGACCCTTAGTCACTCCACTCGAGAAGCGAGAAGCGCTTCAATGGGCAGAGCTGAAAGCGGCAGAGCGCCAGTAAATAATAATAAGAGAATGACTTAGTGGAGCTCCCGGCAGGCAGAAGGGCTCACCACCCACGTAATGCCCATTATCGGCTTAGCAGGTCGGGGTTCGCAAGTGGATTTTGATTGCGCAATCTAGCAGCAAAGGAGGCAGCCTGTTCGCAGCATTCTTGCAACAAGTTGAAGGTGGCAAGTGGAGTCAAACCCTTCTGAAGCTTTTCCCTGTCAACGGGAAGAGGTATTCATGCATACAATAATAAGAACTAAGGAGCTATTGAGACCAGCCAGGTGCGTGGTATTGCCAGCGAACTATTTTGTAGTGTATTTTATAGTGGATCTTGTTCGTGTGTGATTCAGTTAATGCCATGATGTTAATGCCGTTTAGATGCCAAATAATGTGTGGGTGTAGTTAAGGCCTAGAATCTAGGAGTCCATATCCTCTGAAGGTGGATGCAAAGCGCTCTTGTGCACCTGAAACCCGTAGAGACTGCAAGGGAGAGAGACTGTGTGAGAGAAGATGAGTCACACTCAGACAAATCACTCACCGTGGCACATATGTTTCTGTGGGCGGCTGTGGGCGCAGCGAGGGCAGCTCCATGAAGAACATTTGGGGAAAGCTTGTCCCAAACATGCAGCCAGCCAACATGGCACTGGCCTGCGGCGGATCAAAGATATCCAGGCAACGTGGGCAGTAGATCTTCACCATCGAATCGTTATACTCTTCGCTGAGCCCAATGGGCAGGACGTGCTGGCCACGGCAATACACCCGGGGACAGATCCCAAAGTCGCCATAATCGAACTTCTTGCGCATGGCATCGATGCCGCCTGGCGTCATAATGTAGCGCGCATGAATCAAGCCGTACAGCCACTCCGATTCAACGTTGGTACCCTCGCCCACCCAATTGTTGAGGCAATATTCCGAATCCAGTATGGCATTCAAAGCTGCAGTATAATTCGTTACCATAGTGTCCAGGCCGCAGAGATTGAACTTATCCATCATGTAGTCCGAGGGCACGCGGCACAGGAACTCGTTGCCCTCCTGGCTTAAAAACCACCCGAGCCAGCTTTCGTCGCCCACCGGCGGGGATGTGGTGACACTTCCTCTGCGAATAGCGTAATAGCTTACAAAAATTGTGCTTTTTATTAGGGAAATTCAATGATTCTTACGACTTGAAAGACATTCTAATTTATTGCAAATAATTACGGGAAAAGTGACAGCGAACCGAATGAAAACAAAACAGGGATGGGAAATAGTACGAGTATAAACGAAATGAAACGATGCTTCGATATACGATATTTGTGATTATTGCATTGAATTAATTGGAGCATCTCCGGCAAGAGAACTTAACCCTGAATATGACCATTTGTGAGGGCATAATGACCAGTCCACTGCCCTATAGGATGATCCTACGCAGTCTAACCATTGCGTGTCAATATTTACATAATAGAACTCTCTCGCTCGCTCGCCACTGCTTGGCTGTAACGAACTATATTGATTCATAGCAAAGATTATACTTTCGACAATGGCACTCTGCCCCGTACATTCGAGTATTCGCAGTTGATTGAAGCACTCGAAACCAGAAATTGGTTAGCATCAAAAAGTTTGAAAGGCCCACGACAGCCTGGGGAACAAAAGGTGAGAGTGCGCTGCGATGGAATGGATTGGATGGAGGAGAAGTAGAAACAAAAACCAAAAAACAATGCTCCATATGCAGGGAGTGAATACTGAACGCATGTGCGTGTGTGTGTGTGCGTGTTTGCGATTCTTTCCCTTCTCCATTCTCCGCAGTTGCTGTAAATTCAATTCCCATTTTCGCTTAAAAGTTTTTAACTTGGTTACTCCGTTGTTGGCTTGTTGCCCCTCCCATCCGCCAGGCAGGGCAGACAGAAAAAACCAAGATGGAGAGTGCAAAAAAATGCCCTTGAGACAAATTAAGTGATTCGCCCGCTTACACATTTTCCTGCTGATTACTTTTCCCCCGCCCACTGAGCAGTGGGTGGAGGCTGAAATTGAATTGCCAGAAAATGAAGAACGATAGGGATAGGGTGAGGAATTGCCATCAATTCTTGATAGTGCCATAGCGCCGTTGGCATTACAGTACCAGTTACCAGTATACAAACAGTTTACAGATTTACAATTTGTTGGCCAGCTGCCTGGTCTTGAGCTCCGCCTCGATCTCGCCACGAATAGCCTCAATATGATTCGCCAGAACGTGGCGCTCAATCATTCGGAGTGGCTGATTGAACCGCAGCACTGCCACATCCAGTTGGTGTTCGTTCAGCGTGGTGCCACTCAACAGGGTGCGCACCACATGCTTGACGGCCGTCCGCTCGTCCATGGAGTCAAGCAGCTCGTCCGCATGCTTCTCCATGTATTCGCGGGCCGTGTGGCCGGCCCGGCCCGTGCTGTTGCCCGACCACTCGTAGTAGATGCCCGACGGTTCGGTTTGGAACAGATGAGGCTTGCCATCGCCATCGAAGCCACCCATCAGACAGGAGAGCCCGAAGGGACGCCGTCCATTACTTTGGGTGTAGTTCTGCTTCATCTGCGCTATAAAGCTGAAGGGAAAAGGCCGCCCCACAGTGCGGCTGCGATGAGTTTTTGGCAAAGGAAAAGCGCGCAAATTGCTTTCACCGTGTAATGTACTCCACGGTGACGGGCCTCTCGAAATTCAAACGATAGCTCTGGGCCTCCGCTTGGGCGCGGCTGATCAGGATGCGGGCATCGGCAGTGAGGCCGGCAAAGGTCATTACCACATGCTCGTCGAGCATGGAAATCTTTCGCATGGAACGCTCCTCAAACAAGGGGTTGCTGGACCTCTTCTCCACGCCCACCACAATGCAATCGTTGGTGCGCAGTCCCACCTAAAGGAAACCAATCCATAGCTCAGACAATCCACATAAACAAAGCTACCGGCTCACCGCTGTGGATCCTCGGCGTACTGCCTCCTGGGCGTACTCCACCTGCAGCAGATGGCCATCGGGCGAGTATATGGTCACGGCACGATCGTAGCGGTCAGACATTGAAAATAATGTGTGTATCTTATAATAAATCAACTAAATAATAAATATTTTTGAGTACGAAATTCTAAGAATTTTGAGGTTAGAAACAGGCACAGCCAACTTCACGTATTCGTCGAATAAAAGAAAATATCGAAACAATGGATATGAAATCATATGCTGCGTTGCGATAGTTGACAAAAACCAAATAAAAAGCTGCAAAATAATAAATAAATAAATGCGAATTTATAATTCAATTAATTGTGCAACTTGCGCCATGCTTTTAATTCAAATGTCCTAATTTAATATCATTGCCACGTTAATCCGGTTAAAGATGTCACAAATTATTGAGACAATTACCGTAAATTGGGTTAATATTCACAGCAACAACGACCAAATTGGATGCGTCGTCCTCTTGCCTGTGCCCGTGCCTGTTGCCACTTGAAATCTGTTTAGCCATTAACTAAAAATGCCCAAACCAACCCAGCCATCTGCTGCCCGCCTCAAACTGCCCCTCAAAACTGCCAACATTGAAGCGAGTTGCTGGGGCAGAAGAAAGTTGTCAACAAAGTCAGGCAAAATGCAACAAAAGAGCAAATCTGTGGCAAATGTAATCGTAATCGAGAAACAGCTTCATTTTCCTAATGTGCTTAGCCAGAGCCCAGAACGAACCTGCCCCCGGGACCCCAGTGCCGAGACCGTGCCACGATGCGGTGCTTAGTATGCCACAAGCGCGCACTCTGCCATAAATTTATATTTAACATTTTATGACAACCGTGTGGCAGACCAGGGGAGTAGGACAGGACTAGGACCAGAACAAAAGACACGAACGGGTGGGGGAGGGCGGCGGCATCATCCAGAAAGTGTGCCGCATACTTACCAGGATTAAACACGTGCCACCCAATGGCTGTATCACGGGTGCCACGACAAATGTTTTGCAAAATGCGGCTGGCAAATAAATAAATTAAATGCGACTGCAAACAAAACGACCAGCAAATAGAATCACGCTAAATGCAATTATTCCAACTGATTCGACAGTTTTCCCATTTACATTTACGGGCCCAGGCCCAGGCCCCTCACCCTCCCCCATTCTCACCTGTCGCCCTGGATATATGTATGTTTTATTATGACTAAAATGGTTAAGCGATTGCTGCAGGCAGTCGCTAAATGAATAAATATAGAAATTTATGAAAATGTTCAACAAAAATGCATTAGGCAACAGGAAAACAAAACGGGGCATGGTAATTGTTCCGTCCCCATTTGAAATTTGTGGTATATTTTCACAACATTGGAATTTGTATTATTTTATAGTTTTTGTTGGAAAAGTTTCACAGACAACATTCTAGCCCAAAAGTTGGACAAAGACTCAAGACTCGCACACTTGGAAATTAAATAAATATTTTCATCGATCACATGGCATGTGCTTCATTAGCACATTCTATCCGATGGAGTGAGTGGTGTGCAGACCCTTCGGCCCTAGGCAATGTGCACAAAATTAAGTATACGCCGTGCTTGCGTTGCGTGCCCTTGCCCTTGCCGTTTGGCGTTTGATTAAGCACTTTTACCCCCAATAAACACTCGTAGCAAGAGAGAGAAGAGAGCATCGAAGGCTGCCGAAGAAGAAATGTTCCGCACTAAACACGAAATTGCCCTTGAGGCAGTTGGGGCAGGAGCAGGAGTAGGAGCAGGATCTGGTGTGAGAGCTGGGGAGCAGACACAAGAAGACACGAAGCGGCAGCCACCAAAAACAAGGCAACAACATGTACCAAGAACAGCAACAACTTTTGGTTTGGGGCCCAAAGCCAGGGGAACTTTCCACGATTTGTTTGCTTCGAGCTTAATTTGTAGCGTCAAATGGTGTTGATTGTTGTTTTGCCGGATCCCTACGCCTGGCACTCACTTCTACTTCGCCATTCCCCATTCCCCATTTTCAGTCGCCATCGCAACTAAAGACCCAATAAAAGTGGAGGATGCTACAATGGATAAACAGGGTTTGCTGGGATATTCCTACAAGTGCTTTTGCTGTGTTCCCAGTCCTCCTCCTCCTACGTTGCTGCTGCTGCTGCCAGCACTCGAAAGTCTCTGCTTCGATGCACACATACATACGTATAATACATATGTGAAAATGAATGATGAACAATTTTAACACGAAGTGCTCGAAGAGATGGGAGTCGGGGAAATGCGTTAACATGCTGTTCACAACTCTCCTCTCTCGTTTGCAGGTTCAACATTTTTTAGCCGTTTACAAATTAATTAAGAGCCCTTTAATGTTTAATACTTAAACATTCCACTGTGCATGCGATGACTCCCCACTTCCACCCGAATGCCACTCCATTGTTTTCGTATCAATTCAATCTCTGCATTTGAATCTGCTGGATATACATACGCATGCACATGCTTCCCAAAGTCTGTGTTCTCATATCTCCAGATATAGCGGACGATTGCAAAATGCAAATGACCTTTGACCATAGAACGCAGTCACCTCCAGCCACCTGTACCACCGTACACCTGCGAGTGGTTTCGCCGGGTGTCTCGGCTAAGTAAACACATGGACAAATGCTGGCTAGGAGGAGGCGGAGGTAGTACACTCACCTGATGTACCAAATGGCGCACCAGACTCAGGACACAGCCAGAGTTCTTTTTAATAAACCGAGCAATGCACACGACATTGTTTACTCGCATCCCGCCCCCGTCCACCGTCCTGTGCTCCCATTTACATATAGATGTTGCAAGAGTGCCATTTAGAGTCAACGAACTTTGCCCGTTGCCCATTAGCTCCGACGAGAGTCGTTGCCAGTTATTAAGTCGTTTATACTTACGGAGGAGGCTGCTGCCATCAACCGTGGTGCTGGTCGTGGACATGCACGTTCTACAACCGGGGAGTCGGCAAGCAGCTTATTACGGGGAAACTGTCCAAAGCATTCATTGCGGACGGGCAGGAGCAGGTCCATCCGGTGTGCGATTCATAAGGGAAACTTTGATGGCAAATCTATCAAAGATTCGTGCCGCATGAACCCCACCCTTGTAATTACGTGAGCGGATATTACTCGTACGAGTACTGCCAATGTTGAATTTAATTAGGATTATGCTGTTGGGGACTGGACTGTCTTGGCCAACAACTGAATTCAAAAATGGAAGCTCTATTGCTGCAAATTCCATTTCCATGATGCACACGCAGCTGGCAGTAAAGTGCAGCTGCAAATGCAACTGCAACTCCATTAGTCAGCAGTCCACAGTGAGCGCTGTGGGCGCTGTGGGCGCTGTGGACGCCCCCCACTTGAAGCCAAATGGCGACAAATGCTGTGCAAATTAATGGCAAGAAAGGAAGCAACTCAACTCCGCGGAGGAGCTTGAAACTATTGATGGATAGAAAAGTGAAGATGAAAACGAATTGAGTCGCATCCAAGTGGAGCAACGGACAGAGAGGAATCTCCCACTAATGGTCAGCCATGCTTAGGAGCGAGGGCTGAGTGCTGCAGCTGTCGCTTATTTCCGTAACTTTCAATCCACTAAAGTAGCAAATTGCAGGAAATCTGCAAAGTTGCGAATTCCCTTAAATCGATTCCCACAGACCAGAAGAGAGAGAGAGAAGAAGAAACACAATCAAGACACAAGCTCGTCGCTAATTTATGCAGTTTACCCAAAGGAAGAGCGGACTGGCGGTGTGGTGTGTGAGTGTGTGTGCAGTGGCATAGGGAAACATGCAAAACAACCAAAATTACATCCAACGAAGCCACTAAATAGCAGAATGGATACTGGGAGCAACCGACCACTGCAATATCGATGCCCAGACACCAGCGGCGACGTACTCACTTCCCTACAACTCTTTAACATGGATATCTGTCGATACGTCTCCACTTTATGGACTTTTCTGGTGACACCCAACCTTCCCATGCATATCTGTGATATTTTTATGGCCAACGTTCGGCCAGGACAGGCCAGACCACGACCAGGACTGGTCGGAAAAAGGGACACTAGGGACGGGAAAGTGGCAAAAAAAAGAGGGAAAAAGTGGGTCTGGTCTGCGAGCACCCCGTATCTCTGTATAATCCACTTTATATTTTCACACTTGCACTCAAATTGAAAATAAACATAAATTCGGGTTACGCGGCATACAAAAAAAAAGGAACAGAGAAGGGATTACCATTCATTGAAAATCGGATTTGGTATTTACAAATTACATACATAAATGAGAGAAGAGTGATCAAGGGAGGGGCATTTATTATAGCACAAAATGGGTCCATGTCTTAGCTTTCTTTGTCAATCTGTGTGAAATTATTTGTTAATCTTTATCATTAAGTTTATCTCATTCAAAACAATTTTAAAAGAGCTCTAAATAAAAAAGTGATTTCCAAATTCCAAAATGAACTCCCAAAAGGCAAAATCCACAGCTGCCATACCCCTGGACTCCCAGAGAAGACTCCAAAGCGGTGGTGGCGGAAGCACTCAAACCCAAAAATCAAATGCAGTGCCACCGTTTAGGATGCGTTCGAAGAGTGACTTAGCCACACTGCCCAGTCCCTATGCAGGGAGCAGCCGCATCTACCGGCCCTTCAGATCCACCATCTTCGACTACAATCTGTCGCCGGTGGAGCAGCAACACTTCGGCAACTGCAGCGATCCCATGAAGTCTGTGCCGGCAGCGGAGCTGGAGCTGCTGCGCAGTGGCCAGCGATCCACCTATCTGGAGCGCCGCTACGAGCACAGCCCCGACGACAAGTACAACTATCCGGAGGCTACCAGCTGGCGATACGGCTGGTTCCACTGTCAGTCCGATCCTTGCCAGAAAAGACGACCAAGAAGGGACTAATTCGCAGATTGTGTTTTATCGTAGACAGTTTCAGAAATGGTACTTGAATGGTATTATTCTTAAAAATTTTGGGTAAATCATAAAATGTATAGTGCAAAAAAAAGACAATGAAAATAAATTAAATATATGTGGGTACAAAGGCAACAAATTCGTTTCCGCATCTGTGGCTGTTGTGCATCATCTCATTTCGGGGTTTCCGTACACACATATAAATATACATATACATATACGAGTATATGCAGCACATGCCAGGAGCTTTAACTGACAGGCCCGACTTCTTGACAGCCGCCCCTGACTGCTGAAATTTTCTTTCTCAATTGTTTAGAAATATGTACTCGTAGGCAGGACAGGCAGTGCAGAGGCGTTTTTTGTGGCTCAGTAGTTTTTAAAGTTTACCCCAAAGTTGCCACTTGATCCGGCTGACTGGCTGCGTTTGCCCCCCAAAGAAAAAAAAATTTATAAAACAGCCACGACAAATTGCATAAGCCACTCACTCTGAGGAACATCCTCCTGCTGCAACTTCTGCAGAAGTCTTGCCTCTTGATATGCTGCACCACGGGGCCATCGTATGCGAATGCGTGTTGTGCTGCCTGTCTGTCTGGCATTTAAAGTGCCGCAAAGTTGAGGAACTCTGGAGAAAGTCGTTGCGGTTCTCGGTCTGGTCTTTTGATTGACTCATGAAAGTCGACAACTTTTTAATTGTTCAGCAACATTTCTCCAAATAATTTATACTTTTTTGTTGACCGAGTATCCAGTCTTTAAGTCGTTGCTGCTTTATTTCATTGGCACAGGGCTTTCCCCGGGCTGTGCTGCCTCTCTCAAACTTATTAACTTCACTCCATTGCGATGCAGTTTGAATTTGCAGGACTTTTAGCTCTGTCCCCTGTCCCATGATTGTCTGCAATTCATGGCAGATTTCGAATTTCATTGTTGCATTCCAAGCACTTTGAACTGAGCAAAGTTTTTGCCGGAACCCGGACCCTCGGCCAGAAGTTTCTTGTCCATCTTCATCTTCATCTCCATCTCCTCCGAGCTGCCACTCCACTGCAGTGTGCTCCACTCGATGGCTGGGTTTCGCCTGATTGCAAACAACAATTCTCACTTGGGCCCCCAGCAGCACCCTCCCAGGGGTCTGAAGTTTATTATTATTTGGCTTGTTTCGCATTTTTCGTGGTTTTATTTACCTTTAAATACAGTTTCGCTGCACGGATATGAGTACGGGTATTCGTATTCTTTTCCCTCGCTTGGCCCTTATTTATTTTCGATTTGATTGTTGGCTGAAAGTTTTTCTGTATTTATTTAGTTTTAACAAACACATCGGGACCCAGAGCAGAATATACCCTAGGAGTCGACCATATGTATTTATTCCCTCGATTGATTAGAAATTTATTAATGCAGTCAATCATCCAGAGTCCAGATGAAGCAATACCCAATGAAAACTTCCACAGTGAAACTGCTAACCGATCTTTTCGCTCAATTTGGATTGGTACGATAGGAATCTGTGCTCCTCCAACCATCTGTATATCTCCGTATCTGCCCAGCAATTAGTTTCCTAAAATGTAAAGTGAATTTATGTGCCACTGTGGCTTGGCAGAAATATGAAAATGTTGCACATTTTGTGGTTTATTTTTATTACCCTCCCTATTGCCCACAAAATGCTGAATGCTGAAAAACTACTAGTAACTGGTTCCCAGTTGAAGGCAAAGTCCTGATGGTTGCAACAAAAGTTTCGGTGCTTGCGGTTATCGAATGCGAATCACTGGCATTTAGGAGCTCAGTTCTAGGTATGCTTCAGTATGCCCCGGGCTGGTCTTAAGCCCAGACCAAGCTCTCTGGCCCAAGAGCATTCTCCTGAAAGGATTGTAATAAGCAATGCAATGATTGAGTTATAAGCAGTGAATGTGGTTGCTAGCAGCAACCGTTCAGAGTAAAATCCATTAATTAAACAACAGTCGTTTTGACTTCGTTTTCTGTGCAGAATATGTTTTAATTGTACGAGTATGTACGACTAATGGAGTCAACAAATTGATGGAAAATTCAGGGAATCGATAAAAGGGAATCATGTACATACGTCAGATGCAGAGGAGTACACGTTTGCATTTTTATACTAAATTTTATTGCAAAACACTTTTACAAATTCTCATAAACTAATTCATTCAAGCACACTCATTATTGTTTAGAATTATCACGTGGTTTCAAAATTCAATTTAATTCCAAAATCATATCTTTCCGCTCTGGCCATTCAGCATGATTCATTCGTATGAATAGAAATAAAATGAACTAAATCGTAAATTAACATTTCGCTTAATGATCACAATCGCTTCGCTAATATGGTTTTTGGGGCCAAGTGAAGTGGCGCACCCGATCATTCACGGTGATGAATGCCGATACGTAACATACATATTTTATCGGTTATTATAGCATTATTATAGGACGTTTAGGACAGTTAAGGTATTTCAAGTGGGGGGATTGGTATTCATATATTTGTGCCTTACTCAGAGAGAGGATACTGTACTACAGCCACGCGTTAAGCAGACGCTCCTACTTCTGTCTAGAATTCAAGTTAAATACACCGTTTGATTTTCGTATTGGTTTGGGCGTTCTATCGTTTTCTCAGTGTTTTTTTTTTTTTGTTTGTTTTCGTTGTGGTTATTTTATAGCAACAATCAATCTAATTCTAATAAGAACATTGTGGACACATAAGCAAACAAATTCTCCTCCTACTTTTCGTGCTTCACTTTCCAATTACTTCGACTTGGGAGGCGTCTTAACCGATCCTATTTGCGATGCCTCGACGGTCGTTTAGAGCACTTTTTTTGAGGCATTTACAGAGGATTGGGGTTGAGGCGATGCGCTTGCCGCGGCCTTATTTGTTACAGGAGGGATTGATGGTGTTGCAGTCGGTATCGTGTGCGGTAGGGTAATGTCCTTGGGCAGGAGCTTTTCCACCTGACGCTCGGCTGCCTCTCGGATCACGGCCTCTGTAGTAACATTACCGGCACTCGCTGAAATGCCACCTCCACCGCCCCCGCCCGATGACTTGGGTGGACCGGGATTTTTCGAATCTTTAGAAGGAGCGCTGCGTTTGGGATTCGTTTTGTTATCATCTGGGGATACTGGCGGTTTAGGCGGCTCATCGCTCAGCTCCTTGGCACAGTCCTTCAACGTCTGAGCCGTGTCTTGGAATGGGGCCTATGGGTCAGGTGAGAATGATCACAATTAAAGCATTTCACAATGAGATGGGGATCAGATTAAAGTTGGCTTACTTCTGATTTCAACTTCTTAGCTATGTCCATGGCCCCCAAATCGCTGGCAATGTCCTTGATCTCCTTGGCGGAGTCATGAAGGCCGTCCACCAGATTGGCTAACTCCTTATCCTTTTTGTCCACCTCAGCCTTGAGCTTCTCGGCATCCTTCAAGCTTCTGGCAATGGCCCTCTCAATCTTCTCCTCCGCATGCAGGATTTGCTCCTTGTCCAGCAGGCAAATGAGTTCATCGATGGCCTTCTCACTAAGATTGATGTTGTCACGACCAATGGACTCCATCACCTGTCGATATAGAAGATATATAATAGGTTAATGCTGGGGTCTTCAATGCGCTATTCCGTTCAAATTGCCTTTCGAATTTCGTTGACGGTAATGACGCCATCCTTGTCAGCATCAAACTTATCCAGAACTTGCCCGATATGCTGGAGGCGCGCATCGTCACTGGTCTCCTTTAGCCTCTTGATGTTCTGCATGAGATCGTCGATGTGAACGATTTCCTCGTTGCGTCGCTTGGTCGCCTGCGTGGTGAGCAGCTCGGTGAACTCCTCGAGCTGCTTCTTATCGATATTGGTGGCTTGGCTGTCGATGCTTTGCACAGCTTTGGTGATTTCATTCACGGAAATGGCACCATCCTGGTCGGCATCCAGCTTCACAAGTAACTCCTCCACCACCTTGAACCGCTCCTCGTCGGAGGCTTCCCGCATGCGTTTGATGGTGGCGACCAGCTCGTCAATATGGACCGTGGGCTGCCGTTCTGGGCTGGACTCAGCCTCCGAGCAATCAATGGCATTCGCCTGCTTGATCTGAAGCTGGCGATGCTCCAGATCGTTCAGGACACCGTCCAGCTGGGATATCATCTTGTTGACACGGTTGTAGAGCATCTTGGCAGCTCGGCTCTCTCGGACCGGCTCCTTGACCACCTGTCGCACCTCCCGCAGCTCCTCCACATCCTCTTTGTAGTCTCGCAGCTCCTCCTTCAGCTCCTTGATGGTCTCCTTCTCCACCACTAACTGCTTGTCGGAGGAGAGTGTGTTCAAAGCATCGGAGAGCATTTGGACGTCTGTGGACGAGATGCCCTTGTCCGTAACGGGAGCGACGGGCAGGGGGGTTTCCTTGTGCTCCAATACATTTTTGGCGCTAGTCAGCTGCTCGGCAAACACGTATGGAGCGGGCTGCTCATCCTTGATTGCTGTGCGCTTGGCAATCACCTCCTCGTGTTCCTCCTCGCGCTCTTCCCTAATCCTGCGCTCCTCCTCCTTGATGATCTCAATCTTGGTCTTGTTGTCGACCTTGCCCTCGCTCTCGCCAATGGCATGACGAGTATGGGCACCCACCGCATCCGGCAGCCCCCTCATCGTCTCCTTCAGCTTCTCCGTGGCATTGCCTTCATCGGAGATGAGCATGGCTCGGGACAACAGCAGCAGCGTGGATGGAACCTGTTCGTTCAGCGACAGATCGATCCACTCCTTCAGCTGGGAGCGAAGGCGCTCCTCGGTGAGACCGTACGCCCTCATGCCACGCGCCTTGCAGGCCTGCTGCAGCTCGATAAGGTCGAGGGATTCAACGCCCTCGCGGACTATCACCCGATCGTCGGTGGCCAAATAGCGCAGCTTGAGGCGCAGCTGGAATCGAAGCAGATTACTGGTGCCAAGCGTATTCATCTCGAGGACACGGCAGAGGGCCGCCAGCTGCTCCCGAGACAGTGAGTCCAAGGTAATCTCATCATCGAAGCGCTTGGCAAACTTGATAATATCATCATTGCTCACTTTCTCACTGGGATGGCGGATCTTTTTGAAGAATTCCTCAAACTGCTTAGCCTCCTCGCTGCTGTGCTCCTTATGCTGAACGGGCATTTGGTCCAAGGTCTTCTGCAGGAACTTGGCCACCTCCAGGCGCACGCCCAGCGACTGCCTCAGCTTATCCTGCTGATCCTTGGCCGTTTGGAACGTGGACGGCAGCATTCCCGGAAAGAATTTGATGAAAACCGGCAGCAATAGCTCCATGAACGGGACTATAATAAACACCGAGAATGGAATCAATCGGAACAGATCCGATGTTGTCCTCTGAAGCTGCTTATTCTCACGTCTGGTGAGACTCTTGCCGTTGAGGACGCGCCAGAGAAGCTTCGAGCAGATGGCCACATCAATGAAGAGCAGCCGAAAGCCATGGTAGTAGTGGACCAGTTCATCCCAGATGCGCAATCCCAGCGACTTTTTTGGTTTGGCCACCGTTTTGTCCGCTGCTGGGGTCAATGAGGCCGCTCCAGCTGCGTCGCCGGACTTCGCGGTCTCGTTTATGTCCGCCCCGGCAGTGGCGGTAGCTGCAGTCCTCGCCGCTGCCTGGCCATTGGCCACCTCCTTCATGATCTCCTCCACCTTCTCCTTCTGCTGGTTCTTTAGCTTCTTGACAGTGACATCGATCTTTGAGGTAGACGACTCGAGCAGGGATCGGCTGGCGTGCAGATGTCGAAACCCATGGCCCGAATAGTAATAGCCGTACCTATATACTGACTGATTCTGAAACAGATTTCGTTGGTGCACCCATTGGTGCTGAGAGCCACTTATGGCCGATGTGGATCTCCTCTGAGTGTGTTCGCATTCCTTTTCCGTTGCCCCATTTGTGTAGTCAGCGGTGCAAGCGGCACAACTGCTCGTTTTGAGATCTGCAAAGGTCGAAAATTGTCATAAGCAAAATAATGGATAATGGATAATTAAAACAAAGGCGCTACAAAGGATTCTCCCAGAGCAATGACCAAATGACCAATAATAGAAACGCAATCGCGTTTTTTTTTTACCAAGGTCTCCCCCTCCACCCCTCGACAAAACAAAAATAAAGAAAAAAAACAGTTCAATAATCTCGAACAGCCGGCGAATTGTGTAAGCGAGCGAGCAAACAAAGAAGGAAAGGAAAAAAACAAAATAAATTATTAATCACGTCGAGCAATAATAGCAAACGGTTTGCCGCTGATAGGTAGGTCTCTGTAGTGGCTTGTGCATTGGGCCCAGACGGAACGAGTTGGTAATGCTGATAATACGAGCTGCGAAGCGAGAAGCGACACTTGAATTAACACCTGGAGCTTATGTAAAGCAGATTCTCGGAGAACAAATTGAGCGGAAACCCTCTAGAGAGAAATGGGAAATCTCTGTCGCTATAAATAAACAATGTGGCAAACATTCAGAAATGTGCGAAAACTGCACTTTTCTACGGTTCACTTTTGCTTTTCTCATTTCTCTTTGTTTCTTCTTACATTTGGCAATCGATCAAGGCAGTGCTAGGCGAACATACACACAAAAACCGAACGTATTCTGACCGAAAATAGGCGACCAATTACGAATATGAACCTTGAAAATGCTGATGGACTGTACATATTGTTTGCGGCGTCGCATTGTCTGTGCTTCTACCTGTACCTGGTACCTGTTCCTTTCCCTGAACCGGTCCTCATCACCATTTCAGGTCAGCAAAATCTAACAAACCTAGAAAATTAAGAGAGTTCTTCGTGATATATTTATTGAATGGGTTAATCATTGGTCAGCTGATAACCGAAATCTCGCTCAAACTAAAGATAAGCTTTATTTGATAGATGGCGTGTTTCAAGGCGAACCACACATATTTATTTAATTTAATTTTAGAGAAATTTTCAAACTCCAGACGATGCCGCGCTAAAGGGAAATTTATAAATGGACAAGGGAAATTTCAGTGCCCACGAATCAGCTGGTCATGAAACAGCAAATCAAAACAAACACATACACAGACGTCACACACACGCATACACACAGAGACGGTCCCTTCGCGTATAAAATCAATGGAAAGGTTTTGAGCCATATCGTGATTATCGGAACTTACAGCGTTTGTAAAAATTCTGAAGCTGGTAATTCGTTTTCAGAGTCCTTCCCTCGCGGCGCAAAAGTGCATTCATGTTTATGCTTTTATTTTAGCCTGTTGGGTGGTGCGGGGCGGTGCTGCTTTGCTGCCAATCCAAATCCAAAAATGTTTTCAATTTTAATTTTGAATTTTCAACAACTCTTGATCGTTTCTTTGCCTTTGTTGTCGTCTGGTTCTCTGTTGATTTAGTTCTTAAAGTTGCTTATTGCGTTTCCTACGTCTAAAAGTAAATGAAATTAAGTTAGCTGAGCTCTCTTCAGGCTGAGATGAGAATGTATCTAATTTGTACAGCTATCACCACACGTATTCACACTATTTTGATGGAAAAGGAAATGTGCTAACAAGTTGATTTTTAGACACACGCACTCCAACGGATGTACATATGTATAGCAGCGTCGACGTCATCGACGGAATATCGCGCGATCTAACTTTATTGTTGTTTTTGCTGATTTCCTTTCCACTCTTTCTTTTCAAATAACATTACACAACTAAAGCAACAATTTCGTTTTCTTTTCAATTCTTGGGTTCACAAATTTCATACGAGTGTGTCAATCGGTTGGTCACGTAACCATCATTATTTGCAGAGTTGCGGATAAATGTAAACACCGATTTCAGCGACATTCATTTTACCATGTATAAATAATTTTAATTGTTTTTCCATGTGTCGTTCCATTGGTTCAAATGAACGTTCTGAACAAACTGAGTTCACTTTAGCCCACTAAACCCACCATTAAAAAACCTCTATTTAAACTTTGAAATAAACGGCGCTAATTAACACAGTTTCTATAATATAGATCCGTCTATCTTTCACCCTGACTGCGCTAAAATACGTCAAGTTTCATAATATTTAAATAACCACTGGTCGACAATGGGTTAATTGCTCTCTATCCATAATCGGAAATCATATTCCTCGATTTTGACATTCGGTTTAATATTAGCAGCTAGCTAGAACCTTCAGCACAATATGTATTTTTTTGCAATTGATGTGGAACTTACTTAAATTAGATTTCTTGTGAATAGTGGTTAAACAACCACGGTCAATAGTAAATAAAAGCATATCACGTAAATGTGTACGTAAAGAAATGTAAGTGTGGCCAAGTTTTTTGGCACATCGGTCGAGTGTCCATCACTGGCGGGGCCATGATTTTGCCGCCCAACTTGAAATCGTATAGCGGCTGGAAAATTTTGTGGTGGTTTGTATGCATAATAATGACCCTATCCGTAAAAAGTTTTTACTATCCCGATGATGTAAATTTACAAAGTGCAAAAAAACCTATAAGGGATCTCTAAGCTCGATGAAATTTTTAATTGCCGGCCTTTGGTCATGCCGTATTTGATTTGTAATTAGGGCGTACAAAAGGCGTAGAAAAAGCTGAAACAGTCCGCCAGCCGTTAATTGATAACAATCTGCCATGCAATTGCAAAAGGGGGAATGCAAAGGGGCCCCAATAGCCCATGGATATTTAAAGGATTTCCAAGCTCTCACTTCATTCAATTGCACAACGTTGAAGAGCAAACTTTAAAATGGGGCGTCGGTTATTTCTTGTACTCGCGCTCGCACTCACAATCAGTTTGGTTGAGGCACATTATGTGGCTTTGAGGCACATCATGAAATCTCTGAGGAAGGAGCTGCCATTTCGTTCTATTCTCCTGCTGCGAAATGAAAAGGATGCCGACTCCTGCTGGTCGCGAGAGGACTTTGACCAAGACATTCCCATCCTGAACTTGAACGCCAATCAAGGTGTTTATCTGAAGAAGATATTCAACTCGGAGATGCTGGCAATGGTGTGCGTGAACCGCAGTGAAGGCGACACCATGAAGGCTCTCTATAGAAATCTACAAGACATTCGCTACACTCCAACCATCATAATGACCCAATCGGACACCAACCTGAGTGCTCTGTTCGAGGACTGTCGCTCCCACAAGATGCTCAATGTGTTGGCCTTGAAGGACTCCGATCGCGAATTTGTCTACAGCTATCGGGCCTTTCCTCGTCTGCAGGTGGTGAAGCGTCGAGTGCTCCACATCCGTCGCTACATTGAGCCGCAAGTCAAGAACATGGAAGGATACCAGATCAACGTTTTACCTGACAATATTATGCCTCGATCGGTGGTCTATCGAGATGCCCAGGGACGTCGTAGGATGACGGGATACCTCGCGCACTTAATAAGGAACTTTGTCGGCACATTAAATGCCACGATGCATATCTGTTGGGACTATGTGCCTGAGGAGGAGATCATCGATAAAATGACGATGTTAAACCTGTCAAATGGTGGAGCTGTGGACTTTCCTTTAGTCTGTGCCAGTCCTGACGAATTCGGTACGAATAGCATTGTGCTGGAGCAAGCCAGTTGGTTTCTTATGCTCCCCATGGAGGCGAACACTCCACGGGCTCGTCTCTTCTACAGGATGGAAGTCTACAAACTGATGCCCATGATAATACTTCTGGCACTAGTGCTCAGTTTTGTTCAGCGACTGGAAAAGGGTTTGGGACCCAGCGTAAGCTTGAGAATCTTTGGCGGCTATATCGTACGTGGATCCTTGGCACAACCATTCGTGCTGCCCCATGGTCCCTCCTTGAGGGTCATGTATATTTATGGGCTTCTGTTTTTTTGCAGCATGCTCATGGGCAGCATTTTTAATGTCAGTCTAGAATCGTGGCTGGTGCATCCACCTGTCGATCGTCTAGTTCTCAGTTTCCAGGACATTCAAATGAAGAAACTGAAAATTCTTGTTTATGAACCCGAACTTCCCCTATTAAAAATGTTTCTCGGTGAAGGGAATCTGGAGCAAAAATGGCATATCTTTGAGACTACCAACTCCTCAACCTTTTTTCAAAGGATGCGAAACTCCTTGAACCCCTCCTATGCATATACGGTAACCACCACAACATGGCCACTTCTTCAGCTTTCCCAGGCCAGACTGACGCGTCCCATCTTTCGCAGGTCCCAAGAGATAGTATTTCATCCGGGTAGTATCTTCGCCATGCCCCTTCCGAAGAACTCAATCTATTGGCAGGCCTTCAATCAATTCCTTTTGCTTACCCACGATAGTGGCCTGTACGAATTTTGGTTCAGAAGAACCTTCAATGAGCTCGCTGCATTGGGTATGATGAGCTACCATGTGGACAATAGCACGCAGCCCTATCAGGATCTCGTGTGGGAGGATTTCTTCTTTATCTGGCTTCTGTATATTGGCGGCACTTTTGCCAGTCTCCTGGTATTCATTTTCGAAGTTTTGTACTTTAAATGGAAGCATGGAGTTAGTCCATAGACTACCTGTTTTTAATTTAATAATCACATAATGAATAAATAATAAATATTTCTTGGAAGACTTTCCAATGGAAAAAATACATGATTTTTCATAGACAGGTTTTCAAGGGGGGTAAGGGGGGTTTTATCCAAAAGATTGAGGTGTGTTGCATGCGGGGATTCAAGCACTGCCGTCACATCAGCCAGAATCCAGAGTAATACATACGTTGCCAGTAGCTGAGTGCAAGGAAAAATACATGACTTCATATTCTTCGCAAAAGTTCGATGTCCAGACTTCAGAAGAAGTTCATGTGTGTAATGGATGGGATCTTAAAAAAGTCCCAATTACTGAAAACTACGATCTCAAAACTAATTAATCATCTAGAGATGTCACACGCTATCGACTTTGTACATCATACAGCTAATTGCCACGCGGAGATCCCAGGACGAGACCCTGACCCCCGCTCAAGAGGTTGATGCCTCCACAACCTGTAAAAGGATTTAAGTTTTTAATTGCCGGCCATTGGCATTGTTGGTTTGTCATTAGGGCACAGTCCGCCAGTCGTTAATTGATAACAATCTGCCATGCAATTGCAAAAGGGGGAATGCAAAGGGACCCCAATAGCCCATGGATATTTAAAGGATTTTCAAGCTCTCACTTCATTCAATTGCACAACGTTGAAGAGCAAACTTTAAAATGGGGCGTCGGTTATTTCTTGTACTCGCGCTCGCACTCACAATCAGTTTGGTTGAGGCACATTATGTGGCTTTGAGGCACATCATGAAATCTCTGAGGAAGGAGCTGCCATTTCGTTCTATTCTCCTGCTGCGAAATGAAAAGGATGCCGACTCCTGCTGGACCCGAGAGGACTTTGACCAAGACATTCCCATCCTGAACTTGAACGCCAATCAAGGTGTTTATCTGAAGAAGATATTCAACTCGGAGATGCTGGCAATGGTGTGCGTGAACCGCAGTGAAGGCGACACCATGAAGGCTCTCTATAGAAATCTACAAGACATTCGCTACACTCCAACCATCATAATGACTCGATCGGACACCAACCTGAGTGCTCTGTTCGAGGACTGTCGCTCCCACAAGATGCTCAATGTGCTGGCCTTGAAGGACTCCGATCGCGAATTTGTCTACAGCTATCGGGCCTTTCCTCGTCTGCAGGTGGTGAAGCGTCGAGTGCTCCACATCCGTCGCTACATTGAGCCGCAAGTCAAGAACATGGAAGGATACCAGATCAACGTTTTACCTGACAATATTATGCCTCGATCGGTGGTCTATCGAGATGCCCAGGGACGTCGTAGGATGACGGGATACCTCGCGCACTTAATAAGGAACTTTGTCGGCACATTAAATGCCACGATGCATATCTGTTGGGACTATGTGCCTGAGGAAGAGATCATCGATAAAATGACGATGTTAAACCTGTCAAATGGGGGAGCTGTGGACTTTCCTCTAGTCTTTACCAATCTTGACGAATTCGGTACGAATAGCATTGTGCTGGAGCAAGCCAGTTGGTTTCTTATGCTCCCCATGGAGGCGAACACTCCACGGGCTCGTCTCTTCTACAGGATGGAAGTCTACAAACTGATGCCCATGATAATACTTCTGGCCCTAGTGCTCAGTTTTGTTCAGCGACTGGAAAAGGGTTTGGGACCCAGCGTAAGCTTGAGAATCTTTGGCAGCTATGTCGTACGTGGATCCTTGGCACAACCATTCGTGCTGCCCCATGGTCCCTCCTTGAGGGTCATGTATATTTATGGGCTTCTGTTGTTTTGCAGCATGCTCATGTGCAGCATTTTTAATGTCAGTCTAGAATCGTGGCTGGTGCATCCACCTGTCGATCGTCGAGTTCTCAGTTTCCAGGACATTCAAATGAAGAAACTGAAAATTCTTGTTTATGAACCCGAACTTCCCCTATTAAAGATGTTTCTCGGTGAAGGGAATCTGCAGCAAAAATGGCATATCTTTGAGACTACCAACTCCTCAACCTTTTTTCAAAGGATGCGAAACTCATTGAACCCCTCCTATGCATATACGGTAACCACCACAACATGGCCACTTCTTCAGCTTTCACAGGCCAGATTGACGCGTCCCATCTTTCGCAGGTCCCAAGAGATAGTATTTAATCCGGGTAGTATCTTCGCCATGCCCCTTCCGAAGAACTCAATCTATTGGCAGGCCTTCAATCAATTCCTTTTGCTTACCCACGATAGTGGCCTGTACGAATTTTGGTTCAGAAGAACCTTCAATGAGCTCGTTGCATTTGGTAAGATAAGCTACCATGTGGACAACAGCACGCAGCCCTATCAGGATCTCGTGTGGGAGGATTTCTTCTTTATCTGGCTTCTGTATATTGGCGGCACTTTTGCCAGTCTCCTGGTATTCATTTTCGAAGTTTTGTACTTTAAATGGAAGCATGGAGGTAGTCCATAGACTACCTGTTTTTAATTTATTAATCACATAATGAATAAATAATAAATATTTCTTGGAAGACTTTCCAATGGAAAAAATACATGATTTTTCATAGACAGGTTTTCAAGGGGGGTAAGGGGGGTTTTATCCTAAAGGGTGAGGTGTGTTGCATGCGGGGATTCAAGCACTGCCGTCACATCAGCCAGAATCCAGAGTAATACATACGTTGCCAGTAGCTGAGTGCAAGGAAAAATACATGACTTCATATTCTTCGCAAAAGTTCGATGTCCAGACTTCAGAAGAAGTTCATGTGTGTAATGGATGGGATCTTAAAAAAGTCCCAATTACTGAAAACTATGATCTCAAAACTAATTAATCATCTAGAGATGTCACACGCTATCGACTTTGTACATCATACAGCTAATTGCCACGCGGAGATCCCAGGACGAGACCCTGACCCCCGCTCAAGAGGTTGATGCCTCCACAACCTGTAAAAGGATTTAAGTTTTTAATTGCCGGCCATTGGCATTGTTGGTTTGTCATTAGGGCACAGTCCGCCAGTCGTTAATTGATAACAATCTGCCATGCAATTGCAAAAGAGGGAATGCAAAGGGGCCCCAATAGCCCATGGATATTTAAAGGATTTCCAAGCTCTCACTTCATTCAATTGCACAACGTTGAAGAGCAAACTTTAAAATGTGGCGTCGGTTATTTCTTGTACTCGCACTCGCAATCATTTTGGTTGAGGCGCAGGATGTGCCTTTGGGGCACATCGTGAAATCTCTGAGGAAGGAGCTGCCATTTCGTTCTATTCTCCTGCTGCGAAATGAAAAGGATGCCGACTCCTGCTGGACCCGAGAGGACTTTGACCAAGACATTCCCATCCTGATCTTGAACGCGAATCAAGGTGTTTGTCTGAAGAAGATATTCAACTCGGAGATGCTGGCAATGGTGTGCGTGAACCGCAGTGAAGGCGACACCATGAAGGCTCTCTATAGAAATCTACAAGACATTCGCTACACTCCAACCATCATAATGACCCAATCGGACACCAACCTGAGTGCTCTGTTCGAGGACTGTCGCTCCCACAAGATGCTCAATGTGTTGGCCTTGAAGGACTCCGATCGCGAATTTGTCTACAGCTATCGGGCCTTTCCTCGTCTGCAGGTGGTGAAGCGTCGAGTGCTCCACATCCGTCGCTACGTTGAGCCGCAAGTCAAGAACATGGAAGGATACCAGATCAACGTTTTACCTGACAATATCATGCCTCGATCGGTGGTCTATCGAGATGCCCAAGGACGACGTAGGATGACGGGATACCTCGCGCACTTAATAAGGAACTTTGTCGGCACATTGAATGCCACGATGCATATCTGTTGGGACTATGTGCCTGAGGAAGAGACCACCAATATGAAGACAGTGGTTGGCCGGTCGAAAGACGGAAGTGTGGACATTCCTCTAGTCGTTACCAGCTTAGGCGAGTGCTGGTACGATAACGTCGTGATGGAGATGTCCAGTTGGTTTCTTATACTCCCCATGGAGGCGAACATTCCACGGGCTCATCTCTTCTACATTATTAAAGTCCACAAGCTGATTCCCATAGTATTACTTCTGGCTCTAGTGCTCAGTAATGTTCAGCGCCTGGAAGCAGGGTTGGCTCCTAGCGTAAGTTTGGGCATCATTTGGGACTATGTCCTGCGCGGATTCTTGGCCCAACCATTTGTGCTGCCCTATGGCCTCTCCCCGAGGCTTATGTTAATCTATGGGCTTCTGTTTTTGCACACCATGACCATTTCCAACATTTTCAATGTCAATCTGGAGTCGGGGCTTGTGCATCCACCCATAGATCGTCAAATTCTCAGTTTCCAGGACATGCGATTGGGGAATTTAAAAATTCTTGTTATTCCCGCTGAATTTACCTTCATAAATAAAACTCTTGGTGCAGAACAATTTGGGAAAATTGTGGATATATTTGAGATTACCAACTCCTCGAAAATTTTCCAACTGATGCGCAGCTCGCTGAACCCCGCTTATGCATATCCGATTACCACCACATTGTGGCCACTTCTTCAGCTTTCGCAGGCCAGGCTGACGCGTCCCATCTTTCGGAGGTCTCGGGAAATAGAGTTTAGCCCGGGTTATGATTTTAGCCCTGCCCCTTCCAAGGAACTCAATCTATCTTCAGGCCTTTTCCAATTTTGTCCTCAATGCCCAAGCAAGTGGCCTTTACAGGTACTGGTTCAGGAAGACCTTCAATGAGCTCATTTGCATGCATAAGATAAACTACAATGTGGACAATAGCACCCAGCCCTATCAGGACCTTATGTGGAAGGACTTTTACTTCATCTGGCTTGCATATATTGGCGGCACTTTTGCCAGTCTGCTGACGTTCCTTGGCGAAGTTTTGTACAACAAGTGGCGGCAAGGAGGACGTCACGACTAATTATATGTAATTAATTATTATTCATAGACTATCTGTTCAAATGTAATAAACTCTCATTTGTTGTTTCATCACGACTTCGTGAGTTTTCTTTTTAGTTGAGTTCTTTTGAGACAAAGACATTTTTTCCATTCCATGTACTTGCAAGTCATGGAAAACTATTGCCGACCGATAAATGACGTAAATTATGCTCTGTCCTTTGGCGATTTCAGTCAGCTATTAGGGGGGTGAGTGCCCAACGATTGGAACGCGAATTAGCGTCGGCAGCTGGCCTCTTGGCAGATATGGAAAATTCATTCCAGGGCAAACATTTCAAGCGTGAACATTAAGATGTCGCTTGCGACTATATTCGGTTTTATAGTTTCCTTGAGTGTTGCGGATGCACAGGAAGCGGCGTTGCTGAACATCCTGGAGGCTCTCAGGGCTGAGGTCTCCTTTCAGTCAGTGCTCCTGCTGCAGAACGAGGCTGATACTGACACCTGCTGGACCCCAGGGGATCTCCCCATTGGCATTCCCATCTTGAACTTTAATGCCAACCAAAGCTTTAACCTCAAACAAAGCTTTAACAAGAATATGCTGGCCCTTGCTTGCCTGGGCTCCGAGGGCGAGGGTACAATGGGCGCTCTGCATGCAAATCTTGAGGAGATTCGGGACACTCCGACCCTTCTTATGGTTACGCTGGAGACAAACCTCAGCGCTCTTTTCGCGGAGTGTCGTTCGTACGACATGCTCAATGTCGTGGCTTTGTGGGGCCCCGATCGTGAGTACATCTATAGCTATCGGGCCTTTCCGCACTTGGAGGTGGTGAGGCGTCGTCTGGGGCACATGCGTCGGTACTATGAGCCGCAGGTAAGAGATCTCGCGGGTCACCAAATCGGCGTCATACCATTCAGCATCTTGCCGCGCTCTCTGATCTATCGAGATGCACGTGGAGATCGACAGATAACTGGGTACCTCATTCAGTTCTACAGAAACTTCGCCAGGAGCTTGAACACCACTGTGCGGTATCTGTGGCACCTAATGCCGCTGAACGAGACACCTGAGCAAGATATGATTGTTGCCACAGTGAATGAAAGTCAAGTGGATTTTCCCCTCGTCCTTTCCAACCTCGATCCCGAGCCGTTCCTTGCCAGCAGTGTGCTGGAGGTCTCCAACTGGTTTCTCATCCTGCCCGTGGAGCCAAATGTGCCGCGCTCCAGTCTCTACTTCAGCCTGAAGGGATGGCCCTACTTTCTGGCCCTGATGCTTCTTCTGGCCCTGCTGCTGGGCAATGCCCATCGTCTGGACTCGGGACTGTCGATCGCATTGAGCTTCGGGCACATCCTCGGCGACCACGTGCTGAGGGCCCTTCTAGGCCAGTCGTTTGTATGGCCTAAGCGCCTCTCCTACAGCCGCACTCTCCTGTACATCCTGCTTATGGTGGCAGTCATCATCATCAGCACCTTCTACAGCGCCAATCTGTCGACCCTGCTAGTCGACCCCCCAGCAGCCTATCACATAGGCAGCTACGAGGACCTGCGCACAAACCGCGTCAAGATACTCCTCGCCGAGCAAGAGGTGGCCCTAATGAACGGAACCAATAACAAGAACCTGCACGAGTACTCGGACACCTTTGAGATAATCCCGTCAACGGTCGAGTTTTTGGCCAAGCGGAGTGCCTTGAACAGCTCCTATGCCTATCCCGTGACCAGCACCCTGTGGCCGTTTCTTCAGATAAAGCAGTCCCACCTGCGGCGTCCGATCTTTCGCCGATCCCAGGAGATATTCTTCTTGGAGTTTATGCCACTCACCGCACCCATGCGCAAGAATTCCGTCTATCGCAAGGTCTTCAATCAATATGTGGCCAACACCCACGCCAGTGGACTGTACGATCTATGGTTCAGGCAGTCCTTCAACGAGTTCGTTCGAATGGGAAAGCTGAACTACAGCGAGGAGAGTGATCACGAGACCTATCATGATCTCATATGGGATGACTATATCTACATATGGTACGTCTATATCGGTGGAACTGTCACCAGTTTGCTGGCGTTTGTGCTGGAGCTAATGTGCTTTGTGTTGAACCAAACAAATCGCAAATAATTCCTTATCTTATAACCGCCCCAAAGGACGTTTCGTTGTGTCTTGTGTTCCCTGCGGAAGAATAAAACTACAGCCACATGTCGCAATTTCAAACACTTTTTGCAAAAGCATTTTTATTCAAGTTTCACACATCTCTGCTCACTGCATCTTGATTTTCATCATTAAATGTTTTTCCTTTTTCTTTTTCTTGTCTTATTTTGGGTTTTTGTTTTTGTTTTTTATGTTTTTGTTAATAAGTAGTTATTTTTAATATGTTATAATTAGGATTTTTGTTTTAATGGAATTACATATATAATGCATATATCATGCGCCGCCAATGTCTGTATTATCCTCGCTTTCTTGTGGTGTGGATTGGTGTGGCGTGTTGTGTTGTGGGTTTTCGCTATTCATTGAAACGGGGTAGTCGGATCCCCCAAAGAAAATGAAGGAAGGAGAATGAACAAATATTGGATTCATGTGAAATAAGTGAATGCAGGTGTAGTTAATGTCTCATTTAGCAAAACGTGCAAAGTGAGTAATTTTGAATGCATTTAATTTTATTATGTGTGGAGGCTTCTTATTAATCATTAATTTGGTAAGATTCGAGTCAACTTTCCGTTTCGTCGTACTGTCTAAAAACGTAGAACTATAAAAGGGTTCTCTCTTTTTGGGGCTTTTGGTTTTGTTTTGTTTTTTTTTTTCTTGTTTATTTTTCGTTTAAGGTAAATTCTGCAAAAGCAATTACCAAAAAATTAGGGGATTCAATTACAATTATAATTTGTAATAATGATAAAAATGTCGCATTTGCTTGGCAAAGGAAAATAAATCTTTACTTTTTTGTTTTTGTTTTTGTTTTGTTTTGTACATTTGCATAAATATTTTTCAATTGCATAATTTTCTTTTGTTTTCTTTTTTTGTGTGTGTGGTGTGTTTTGTTTTGTAAATTCATATTGCATTCAAGTGTCTGTGTGAGTGAGTAGGTGTGGGCGTGGGTGTGTATGTTTAAATCCTAATACTACCATTTTCCTGAAAACTATAGCCAAATTCATTGCCGCTCCGATTGTGACATTCCCTTGGGAATTGATCGAAGATACCATTCGTATGTACGCTTGTATATGTAACTTATCATTGAACAGAAATGAAATGAGAAATAAATATGGTTAAATGAGGGTTACAATAACTATATGCCATTCCATCCTAAATATTTGCCTTCATTTATAACTATTTTCATGTAATTTTTTCACGTTTTTCACTTTTCATTTGCTTGTCCATTTCGGGTACTGTTTTAACTATACATTGTGTGTGTACGTACGTGTATTTCTATGCGCAAAATTTTAATTTTACAAATTTCGTGTGAGTTTTGCTTGGTTTTGGTTTTAATAGTTTTTCTCTTTTAGTTTTTTCTCTTTTCTTTTCTTTCGTTTTCTGTTCTTGGAAACTTGTTTAAAAATTAAGCTCAATAATCTTAAATTATTTATGTATTTGCTTTCTTTTCGGGTTAATTTGTATACACGCCTTTGATCAAACTATTTCCTTATTAGTGTCTCATTTCGTGCCTTGTATCCATTATAATAATATTCTAAAAAAGTTTAAATATTGCATTGTGTACACCCCTGGTATTGGTTATATTCAATTCGATTTAGTTTCTTTTCTTGTCTGCCTGTTCTGTGTGTTTTCATATAAGTTTTTGTTTTTTTCTTGGGTTTTTCTTTTTGCTTTTTACTACTGGAAACAATTTACACTTAGTTACAACACTGTCTTGTAATTGCTAAAATTTTAATACTCATGAACTCTCCACAAGAGATGGATGCGATGCATATTTTCCCGTGTACATTATTATTATCGGTTCTGTTCTGTTCTATTCCTTCATTCTTTCTATTCTTTTCATTTCGTTTTTGCATTTAACATTTAAATTACGTGTAGGTTGCACTTGATCTCTTTGTCAAAGGATTAGCATTAGAGTAGAGTGGGTGTGAGTATTATAAACGCCTTTTAACTGCAGCGTGTAATGGGTTTTACATTATTTGTATATATATGTCTAAATGTATATACGTTGAGTGAGTGCATCAATTGTTAATAGGGGGTTACATCAATTATATATATATCTTTTTTTTTTGCATTTTCTTATTAGTTTTTTGTTTTTTTTTTTTCTTTCTTTAATATATATTTATGTGTATGTGTTAATATTCAAATTATGCCCGGGATCTTCTCTGGGCGTAGCTCTAGATGCCATCGCTTTAATCTCTTCTACTTAATTATGCCAGAGCGGGGGTGGGGGCCGTGTGTTTTGGGGTTAAGGGCTTAGGGTGTGGGGTGTGTATGGTGTATGGTGTATGGGATGTGGTGTATTTAAATACATTCAAGAAATTGTTGTGTACGCAGTGTTATTATTTAGGCTAGAAGCTGACTCTCAGAAGCTTCTCTTCTGCTCACTAAGTTCAACAGTAAAGACAAACATCTAATTCCAAAAAAACGCTAGTGAATGTTAAGAAACTGTTGGGTAGTCCAATGCCTAGAAATCTGCTTCTTTGAATGATAGTTAGAGTTCGAGCACGAGTTCCTGGGTTAGCTTTTGTTTCTGATCGTGTGTCTCTATAAATTTCAACTGTGTTGCAAAACTTTTGCCTACGTCTAAATGTCAATGTGCCGGATCCTTTCCTTTCCACTCATTTGCTGCCTTGCTTGCTGCCTGAATGTACGCTGTTTCGCTGCCCAATTAAATTTCTCGTAAATATCTATATATGCTGGTATATATGTGTGTGTATATTGTATGTATGTGGGTTCCAAGTAAACTCCTGCTGTAAAATCTGCTGCCGTGCTGCCAAAAATTCAGGATCTAATAGTAGAATATTTGACCGGCCTTCTGACGCTTACGCTCCTCCAGCTTGCGATTGATCTCCTGCTGCCGCTCGGCCTTGCTGAGGGCTCGGGCCACGTACAAGAACTTGTTGTCCCCCAGCTGTTTGCCATGGAGTCCAATGACGGCGGCCAGCGCCGATTGTGGGTTCTCAAAAGCCACAAATCCGAACCGGCGGGAGCGTCCCTCCTCGTCGAGCATCAGCTACAAAAATTACAATGGAAAATATTCTGTTATCATCTATTCGAAATCGATAGTAAACAAATCAAGATTTCAATAGGGGCTCCCGCTCGCGCCTATTCAGACGAATGCATTCAGACGCAACTTTCTTGGGGCTGTCCGGCCGGCCCGGCCCTCCCCTGTCAACGTATTCCCGCGACCCGCGAGCAGTGGGCATGCGCACGAAAAAGGGTAAGAGCGAATTTAAGAGCGGATAGTGGGAAACTGTGCCACATGGTTTTCCCATCTGCAGTTCGCTCTCGCTGCCGCACTCCCCCTTGGCAAATGCCAATCCACCCACACGGACATCACCCACGCCATGCGGACAGGCTGGCTGGCCGGACGGACGGACGGGAAATGTAAGGTTGGTTGTAAGTAGACAATCAAGACATAACGAACCTTGTGACTGGTGATGCGCCCATAGGGCTCGAACATCTCGCGCAAGTGCTGCTCGGTGAACTCCTCGCTGAGATTCTTCACGTACAGATTCTTGAAGTGGGTCGCCTTCTCCTGTTCACGGTCCCGCCGAGGAATGAACTTGACCACATGAACTTTCTGATTATTGCACAGCATTCCATTGACCTTCTCGATGGCGGCGCGGGCGGCTTCCTCCGAGTCGAAGTGCACAAAGCCGTAGCCGCGTGAGTTGCCATCCTCGTCCTTGGCCACATTGCAGTTGAGAATGTTACCGAACACGGAAAAGGTGTCGTACACCGCCTTGTTGTCGATCGACCGCTCCAAATTCTTGATGTAGATCTTACCGCTGTCCGGTGAGCTGGTACTGCTCCCAGTGCTGCCGCTGGCCAACGCTCCGGCGGAGTGCGACGAGCTGGTGGTGTGCCCGCTGGTCACCGAACTATGCCCGTGCCGGCCGAGAACGGCGGCAGCGGCCAGATGATTGCTAGCCGCGTGTCCACCGCCTACATGGCCCAGGTGACCGGCAGCAGCGTGATGGTGCAACTGCTGCTGGTGATGTGCAGCGGCCAGCGTATGATGGCTCAGCGCCGGCTGCTGCTGGTGATAGTTTGCCGGGTTGCCACGGAACGTCATCGAGTTGACGAACATGATGGCTGGCTGTTTGTGGAGCGTGGTGGCAGCTAATAAGGTGCAGGTGCTGTAAGGTGGTGTGTGGTGGCTGTGGCTGAGAATTTTGACGGTCTTCGGCAGCGCGCTGTGGTATTGTGTTGACTTTGCTCTTGTTCTTGTTCTTGCGCTTGCCCCTACCTCTTGCCTGTGCCGTGTTTGTTTTCGGTGCTGCTGCTCGTTTTCTGATTGGTACTCGTTTGCGTATCTCTGTGTTCGCACTCGGCCCTCGGCTGCGTTTTCTGCTTTGAATTTATTTTCGATTTTAATTAAATACAAAAATATCAATTGCAGCCTGAAAATCCACCAGGTTCTTAGCTCACACGTTGCCCCGTTCCACTGCAATACGACGATAAATTCTCTGAAAAAATCGTTTTTCTCTCGCCCAGACTCTTTTTCACCGTTCTCTCTCTCTCTCTCTTTATGTACTTTTTCTGGGCTTTCACTTTTGGCTGTCGCTGTGGGCTTGGACTTAACTTACGCACACGCTGCAAACGAATGGATGCGACTTAATCTATGTTTCAGCAATAGCAATATAAAAGGATATTCTAGCGTCGGCCTCTATTTAATTTTTGTTGTATTTTTTATGCAAAAACTTGTCGCTCCTTGCGTGCATGGTAGTGTGACCGCGGATTTTTCGATAAAATATACCCGTCTGACCCTCAAAAATATACCAAAATATACCTTCTCACTGTCACCGTCAACGTTGTTGCATCTCTCTTTGCATCTCACAATCGCGTTGCGCTTAATTCTCATAAACTATCGATTGCACAGCGGCAAAATAGCACTAAAACTTGTTTTGGTTTCGTTTATTATTATTTTAAGTTTATATTATGGACCTGGAACACATAGTAGCGAGCCCATCGGCAAGCGATTCCAATTCATCAGTGCACTCCCAGCGCCTACGTAGAAGAGATAAGCGTAGGCTGGACAATGGCAACAACACAGCCAGCGATCATCTTCCCCCAGGAAATACAAGTATAGCCGCAGAAGTAGCTAACATCTACAGGGCAGATCGCCAGGACAGCTTACTGGCTCTTCAAATACCACATAAGAATCGATCGGTAGGGCCGAGCAGCGAGTTCATATCCATGCACGATCTGCTGCTAAGTCAAGCTGATTACAGCACCACGGTGGAGAAGGAGGAAGCCCCAGTACACATTTCCGAGCTTATACTACGAGATTTCTGTTCATCACCCACATACGAGGAGGAGAAGGATATACCGATCTGCGACTCACCTCCGTGGTTCCGATTTCGAAAGAAAAGAATAAACACCTACAGCCGAAAGCCACCAACCCAGAAAGAGCCGACAGTTGCTGACGACGAAGATGAAGACGATCGATTGAGCTGCTCATCCGGGCTCTCGGTACAGGAGGATCACACAGTTGTTACCCGAGTGCCGGCACCGACGGCATTGTGTGAATTAGATGGCAATAGCTCACAGAAGATTTGTGAAAATCTTCTAAATTTAAGCGAATATTTTTCTCTGAGTAATACCAGTCCGAACCCAAACAAAGCCACCGAGTCTGTTGGCATCCACAAAGCGATAGCCGCCAATACGAGCATTGATTTAGCCATCAAACAAGAGGATGCATCATTACAGCGAAACAATATGGATCCGGATTCACCTGTTGAGTGCACATCTGTGGAATTTGAAAATCTGGAAGAGGACCTTCTGAAGCTGGGCTACACTTACGAAGCCTCTGATGTCTGTGATACAAAACAACACCAAGGTAAGGATACAATCATAACACTAGTTCTCTTACACCAATTTCACTTCAAGGAAACGAAACAAACACTCTTTTTGCCGAGAGTGGGAGTTTTCGAAGATCATCCCCAGCAAACGACGCTTCGGAATTGGGTAAATAAACATCTCTCTCCATTTACGAGCGATTTGATCAAAGAGTTTCCTTACAGATGCCAAAGTATGTGAGGAATGGTCCAAAGGTGATTCGTTTCTTGTGGATTATAACACCGAAAAGATTCCATTGAGTGATGATGAACCTGCACAAACGGATACATCTGATGAAAATCCAACAAAGCGGTTGGAAACCACCGAACCAAGCAGTCACCTTTTATTGGAAGACATCCCAATCAGTGAGTGGCAAACCAAAATGGATATTCCCGATACATCAAATTGCAAAACGGAAGCGTCGGCTCAAGAAATGGACAATACGACTGTCAAATTAGAGGAGACGGCGAAAATTGAAGTGGAGTTCCTTAAGGGAATTCCAGACTGTGAGCCTATTACATTCCGTACGGCCTCAAACAAACCGATCGAGGTGTCGGAGGAGATGCAAATGAAGGCGGCCAAGTTGTTGGCTGATGTCGAAGGTGATGAATGGAACCGAAAGGATATTGGAGAATTTGTTGGATTCCGAACAGCCTCAAACAAACCGATTAAGGTGTCTGAGGATAACGAAAAGAAGGCAGCCAAGCTTATGGCAGATGTCCAGGCTGCAGACCAAATGAGCGAAACAAGTGATACTCAGTTCCTTCAAGGCATTACTTTAAGCCAATGGCAACCCATGGACGTTCAAGAAGATGTCCCGTTCCGAACAACATCAAAGAAATGTATCCGAGATTCGGAGGAGATGAGATTAAAAGCAGATGTAAGCAAACCAAAACCATCAAGCAGTCGTCAAAATCACGAAGAAATTAACATGAATGAGGGACAGGAAATGGATGTTTCAGAATTTGTCGGCTTCCGAACAGCCTCAAACAAACCAATCGAGGTTTCGGAGGAGATGAAAAAGAAAGGAGCCAAGCTACTGGCTGATTTTGAGGCTACAGACTTCAATGAATTGAATCCAATAGATATTCCAGAAACTATTGGATTCCGAACAGCCTCAAACAAACCGATTAAGGTGTCTGAGGATAGCGAAAAGAAGGCAGCCAAGCTTCTGGCCGATGTCCAGGCAGCAGACCAAATGAGCGAAACAAGTGATACTCAGTTCCTTCAAGGGATTACTTTAAGTCAATGGCCACCCATGGACATTCCAGAAGTTGTCCCGTTCCGAACAGCCTCAAACAAATTCCAAGTTTCGGAGGAGATGAGAATGAAATCAGGAGAAGTAAGCAACCCAAAACCTTCAAGCAGTCATCAAGATCACGAAGAAATGAACATGAATGAGGAGCAGGAAATGGATGTTTCAGAATTTGTCGGCTTCCGAACAGCCTCAAACAAACCAATCGAGATTTCTGATGAAATGAAAAAGAGAGGAGCCAAATTAATAGCCGATGTCGAAGCGGAAACAACAAATCAGCCAAATCTGAAGAGGTATAACACATTTCCCACAAGCGATGCCCCGGAGGTAGTGAGTGCATTAATTGGGCCTGTTCTTTCTTTAAGTTGTGACCCTGAATGCCAGTCGGAAATGTCAGATTATCGTTCCGATGATGATTTCAAGGGTTTCCCATCGGACGAACTCCAGCCGCTGGACTTTCTTGATCTCAATGTCTTTCCCAGACTATCACAGAAAGCAGAGGAGACTCACGCGAACGATTCGAAATCTGGGACACCCAAGCAACGACGGGAGACTTCCGACGGAATCCCCTCAAGCAAGCGTCGACGTCAAGACGCAGACTGCCAACTCTCATCGTCTCCACAGCAAAGAGAGCAGCATGGAAGACAGCTCTCCAAAACAACGTCGTGTCACAGTGCATTGGGATCGCCAATCAAATCGCTGGGTATGCCCGACTCTCTGTCGCAACTGGCAGAGCGTTCGCCCCTCGACCCCATCACAAAGACGTCCGTGATTGCTCGCCGGAATCTGTTGTCGCTTAGCAGTCGACGCAAGCGGGTCAGCACCGCTGGTGAATGCCAGGTCCAGGACAATGTCACTCCGGTTAAGCCCCGCTTTGCCCCGATGTTTGCATCGACCAGCACGCCGCTGTCTAACAGGAATATAAACCGGCTTGAGGAATCCCGCGGTGGAGAGGATGTATCTCCGATTTGCAAGCCTTTTGAAAAAGTTCCCCGCCTTGGCCTGAGTCGCAGTCGATATTAGTCGTTGTTGTTATTAGATTTATACTGAACAATACACACAAACGCCGCCGGTTTGCTTTTGGTTTCGTTACATACAATTGTACATCCAGATGTCCAGAACTGCCCAAGATTAATATTTAGATGGCATATAACTACTTGTAAGCGTGTAAAAACAAAGTTTGAAGTGTGTAATTAAATAAGACAATACTCGCACATTCGTGGTGATTCAGGGCATTCAGGGCAAATGATGTCAGGCCAAAACTAATGACAATTGTTTAATTGCAAGCATAATACCAATTAGGACCTATTGTCATAGCGCTGCTTGACCAACTCCAATACAAGGACCAGCATTGAGAATGCCAAGCCACCCGCCCACTGGAAAAAGGCAATGAAATAAAACTCCATGTCATAGGCCTTGGCCGAGGACTCCTCGTCCCGCATTAGAGTGAAAATTCGAGCCTCAATCATATGTCTCCAGGTGTCCGACTTCATCTTGGGCAGGATGCCATGCTCCACGATTCTCTTCGTGTATTCGTTGAACATTCTCAGATAAGGCAAACTATTCGACACCAAATATGATTCTAGGGCAATGCCAATGCTCTGCCTTATAACCTTAAATCGAGGGGTCTTCAGTAGGTACTGTTGCCGTAGGAGCAGCTCCATACGATCCTCATAGAGACAATACATGTAGCGGCTATCAAGGCCATTGCGCAACTTATCCAGCATGGAGAGATTCATGGAAATACTGTTCCTTAGGACAGTCTCGGGCAGAAATGATTTCGTCGCAAATGTATTTAAGTAGAAATCATCGTGAAGAGCTGGATAGGGCGCCTTCGCTAGGCTTTCCAGTGTGTTGTACTGGGGTTCGTACAGTCCGGAAGTTAGCATGCTCGAGAGCATCGCCAGGTAGACGTTGGTCAAAATGAATCCACATAGCGTTAGTATTAAATAGATCAGCAAGTCCTGCCACGCAGAGATCGGCGTCTCTTCGTTTGCGATGTAGAGGAAATGACTCAGGCTGCGCAGAAAGCAGACTCCAATTTGGGGGCGTTCCCGTGCCGAACGGACGACGAAGAGCATGATCGTAGCATAAAACACTGTGGCCACCAGGATCAGCCAGAGGGTCCAACCGAAGGGCTTAGCAAGGTACAGATATTTGGCGATGGGTGGGGCATGTGGCACCACAAAGTATTCGTTCATAATCGCAAGCGGAACCGTGGACTGCACAGGCCATTGTAGGTCCTTCGGATAGCTCACGATGTCGATCTTCTTTGAAAGCAGCATGTCAAAAACGGCCTTGTATTGGCCAATAACATCCGCATCTGGTAGCGGCACGTCAACAAGAGTGGCATTGTAACGTACCGTGAACTCCTTGAGTGCGTTGAACAGGTACCCTGTCCGCACTAGTTGATTATTGTTGTCGATATACTTAAAGTCGCGCGGTGCCATTGTGCTAATTGTGCGTATAGGAAAGCCGCGAAAATTTGGTGTCGCCCGCTCCCTTGTCAGATATTCTGAGAGATTGGATAGTTTAATAGCTTGGATCGAGGGATATGGCTGATAGGTGTAGAACGAGTTCTGGTGAATCAGGATGACGTGGAGAAAGCCTTTCTGATAGCAGTAGGTGAAGAGGTCCTGCTGCCATGAGGTGGGGTCCTCTCGGCACACGAACGCGATTTGAAGCTGATGAAGTTCATCCAGTAGTTGCGGCAGGAGCTCAGCCACCGAAGAATCCAGTAGAGACTGCCCCAGATAGACCACGACAAGAGATCTCTCGGTAATGTCTCCAGTCAGTCGATAGACGGATGCATTGGACTTTATCTCAAGTTGTATCCGTGGCGTATGTAATGCCTGCAGAGTCTCTGATTCCCCGTATTCCTCAAAGTTAATAAAAACGTTTAGTTCCATGCCGAGGGCACGATTGAGTGCAAGTAGCTCTGCTGTGGGACTCGGGTAACTGACAACAACAATCGAAAAAACAACTAAAACAACCAGCAACGAGAACATTTTGATGAGACTTCAACTGGGGTCTATCCCTTTTATAGGAGTTTTTAAATAACCACATGATTCGACAATATCCTGTTGAAGCAATTCTGCTCATGTGAACAAAAATCCAAACTAATTAACCGTGTTCACAGCAGAACGCCATATAATTAAATAATTAAAGCCCTGTGGGCGCCTGCACCGCTCACTCTGCCCTTAAGACGGCCATACATCCGGTTTAGAATTTGCTTGTATTTCAAATTACTTGTCGAATTTGCGCACCCTTAATACATGGAATTATTCTAATATGAATTCGATTGTGAAATAAAATCAAATAATATCCGTTTATTCATTCTATATTCAAAATTTAGGTACATTAGATTTAGATTTTATGTAAAAAATCAAAATATGCATATATACCAATATATATATATATATATACATCTATAAATGTAAATATATGGATCGTAAAAACAATTTTCTGAAAAATATATGTAAATTATTTGACAAAGTTGATTTTACGGTATATACAGTATGGTTAGTGACACTACTTCCACTTGCTACTACTATCGGACGTTGACCAACACTTCCATATGTGCAATCCATCCCATTCCATTTTAGAAAATAAATAAAGTGTAAATAGAGTCCAGTCCAGTCCCCGGGTGCAGGTAAAAACATTCATTGCATTACATAAACTTAATTATGTTTGTTTCACATTCAAAAACAAAGTGAAATCGATGGAAAATCATCAAACAGGTGCGCTGACATTTGTTTACGGCGCTGCATGTATCCCACTGATACAATACAACAACACAACTGCATTTAATGGGAAAGTTGTGTTTACTTTTTTGAAAATCCTAATGTTAGCCTTAGCTTCGGAATGGAGAAGTGGGAAATAATAATAACTGATAAGCGCTTGTTGTGTTCTTGCGATAATTAAAAGTTGTTCACGCTTCGTATGCGATTATATTTTACTTTAAAGCTTTGATTCCATTGCACGCATACATACAGTAAAAGTACTTATGTGTGTGTGCATTAAAACGAATATTAGCAGTGGAGAATTTTGTATACCCTTCGAAAGAGCTTCAAGGCCTTGCATCTCTTCGACATAAATTATTTCAAAAGTGGAACAGCTATAAGGGATGGTGTAGTCTGCTAGCATGGAAAGTTGACTTTACTATACAAACCACCTGAGTTAACATATATAATAACCGTCTTCTAAATTCTTGTAAACCCATCTGGCTAAAACTTTCCACACTATCTTATTTAGCATTAATATGTTCCTAATTATTTTCTATTTCACTTGTACATTAAATACGGTAACTTGATATCAAATCATAGAGCTGTTCCTGGACCATACATATCATATATGATTTCAGCATTGGGCTGATTTGAATTCTCTGTCACTAAAATTCTATTCAAGACTGTGAAGCATGCTGAAAGTTTGACTCAATCGAAATTTTATGAAAATGTCAGGATCGTCTCTGGTTTTATTCGCAAACATACGAATACTTTATCGGAATATAAATACATGTGTGTGTGTGTACGCCCACATTTGTAAATTCTTGTAGAACCCAACCATACACAATCGCAATCACAGTCGCGAGAAGAGTAACGTTACGTTCGTCGTCCATAGCCACTCGATTACGTTCTGGCAAATAAATTAGTCGCAGCTGAGTACGTTCTGTTTTAAACAATTCTCTGTATTTCTGTATTCGAGCTATTGTCATCTGTGTGCGCTATTGAAAAGACACGTCAGTCGGCCTGGTCAATAACTCTACAAACACTGCAGTTGACACGCACCATTTCCATTCTTTCTCTGGATCTTTTCAGTGCAACTCCAGCTTAAGTTCTACGCGTAGTTTCCGCAACAAGCCAGTACCAATCCATTCACCATGTCCGACGATTTCGATGGCTGCGAGTGCGTTTGGTCGCACGAATTCGCCATGCAGCGTCTCATAAACTTTGTAAGTTGATTTAATCCCGCACCGGGCTCCCATTTTGATATGATCCTTTGTGGTAGATTCGTCAAAACCAGAACTCTTGCACAGACACCGAGTGCATCGACGGTGAGTAGCTGCGTCATAGTAATTCCAGCAGCGGCTTCTGACCCTCGCATTGTTCTCAATCGCAGTTAGCGGACGCTTGCAGCCGACTGGATCGGGGAGTGATGATGGCAATGGCTTCTTCGTTGCTATGGTCTTCATGATACTGGCCATGTTCATGTACGTTGTGAATCCGGGTACCTGGGGCCGTCTTGGTCTGAGGAGCAACACCAAGAACACTCGTCGCGACAACAACCAGGATGGAGCACCTCCTCCACCCCAGCCACCGCCACCGGCAATCAACTAGGTGCCGGGAAGCTGCTGAACGCCAAAACAATTTGCATTTTTTGGTTTTATCATTACGAGCAGTTAGACAAAGGACACAAAACACAAGATTCAAGGACAGGTATCAAACATCATATACGAGAGAAGGAGATACAAGCAAACACGTAACATCAGTTCGATTTAGCCTAGTTCATGGGATCAGACAAAGATTAGATCAATTAAACAGCACAACACACCACACACATATTCTGTACAAGTGAAACACCGCAGACGCGCGCACACAGACACAAAGAAAAACACACAGAAATACATACACAAATCCTATAATCAAATTACAAGTTGGACGCTGACTCGTGTATTGGCAAACTAAATTGTTAAAAACTTAACTGCTAAGGGCTTTTAAATATGTATGTCGAATGGGTACATATGTGGATCATGGGTGGGATCATGCATTAATCTTCGTTCTGCAGTTTCACCATCTTCTCCCGCACGTTCTTCAGCAGGTCCTTCATTTGCTCGTACTTGCCCGTTGAATCGGGCAGATTCTCAAAGTTGATGACATCGCACACGCCCGCCCTGAAGTTACTGTCGACTGGCAGCTGATCGAACTTGGAGAACTTTATGATAGGCGTCCCCTCGAAGGAGGCCTTGAAGGGACGTGAGGGCAAGCTTCTTGTCCCACTGGGCGTTGCGGGCGCCGACTGGGTTTGCGTCAATGTTGCCTGAGATATGGATTCGTCAGCTGTTAAACTGCTTGTGTCCAACGAGATATTGCCCTCCAGTTGCAGCAGAAGTTTCTCCTGCTGCTCCTTCAAGTCTTCTATCGATGGGGATGGAGAGCGTGCTTCCCGTTCCTTTGGTGGCGGTGGTGGTGGTGGAGGAGGTAGACATTTGCTAGTTGGTTCCGAGGCTGGTAGTGGAGGATGGCCTGTTTCCTCTGCTTCTTCCTCCACATCCATGTCATACTCAACGAAGTTGGTCTGCTCGGTCGTAGTCGGACTCTCGTCATGCGGGGCTGGTAGGTCCAAGAGCTTTTTGCGTTTGTAGCCTTTGCTTATTTTCTCCCCCAGGGATCTGATAAAGTTGTCCTTAAGCTGGCTCTTTTGGAAGGGCGGCACATTGTGATGTCTAAAGTCCTTTAAGAGTAGTCGCTGGTTAGAAATCACATTTGATTTAAATTAACTTGAGTATATTTACATCGAAATATTTAGCATGGGGTTCCGCATTGAATCCCGGGAATTCCACAATTTTGTTAAGGTCGTATTTGAAGGTATTCGACACGCCTTCCTCGTCATCAGATTTCGTCACCTCTGTGCCCTAGGAAAAGAGCATATTAATATTGAGTATATTTTGCTGGCATAAGAAGTACTCACATCTGCATTGAATATCGCAATCCCTGAGCTCTGCGTCTTGGCCTCCTCAAGCCAAGCGGGTGGATATCCCAATACGCGGAGGCGATAAAACATGAAAGGCAGCTGGTTGCGACTGTAGCCCATTGCATGGCGGGTCTTAGTGCTGATTTTTCCTGGACGAAGGTGTCCAAACCGCTGCTCAAAGTCCACGTGGTATCGCTCCATACGATGGCTGATCCTCTTGCGTGCCCGTTGAATCCTCACATTGTTCCGCGGCTGTGGGCAATCTCGCAGGGCGTGGCCTGTTTCGCCGCAGTTGAAGCAGGACGACTGATTCTTGGGCCGGACGCACTTGTTTACCGCCGCGGCCTTTAGTTTCTTGCGTGCTTCAGTTTCCTCGTCCAGTACATCCGTATTGGCGCGCTTGTAAGAAGGTACCTGCGAGACCAGCAGCTTGGGGGCCGGCGCCGTGTCAATCATAAAAAGGTCTGAGGTGTCCAGGTCCGGGGACAACGGTGATTGCGGCTGCACTTCGCCTGCGTCGTATGCGCCTATGACTAGCTCCGTTGCGTCTGTCCTGAAATCTAGGTGACGCGGGCCCGCAAATGCTGCGCCCAAGACATCCAACATTTTTTGCTGAAGACTGGCAAAGTGCACTTTGTTGTGGAACTTTACTTCGAACACCAAACCATCTCCCTCGCTTTGGGTGGGCTCCTGGAAGGGATTGTCATCGCTTGTCTGTAATTGTTCGGTGGTGCTGCTTGTGTCCATAGGCAGAAGTTCCGAATCGTCCAACTCGCCATCTTCCACACCGTCTTCTATGATTTCCACGCTGGGCTGCGTGTCGTCAAGCACTATTACACTGTCGTCCATAACTACAAGTTTTCTTACTTGTTATAAATCAAAATTTTAATATTTTGTTTGGAAAACACAGGCCGCTAAATTTACCGCTAAAATATACCGCTTGACCCTCACAAATATACCAAAATATACCTTGTCATTATAAAAAAAAAATACCGTAAATGTACTGACTGAAACGACCAAATGCGTTGATATTCCTAGATTTTGATATTCGGTTTAATATCACTAGGTAGTTAGCCCTTTCAGCGCTAAGAAAATAATTTTGTGAAATTCATCAATAAATTTTGTACAAGATTGGTTAGTTTTCAAACCTCTATCCAAATCCTATTGAAAGCTGCATTTGATATTTGATATATCAAAAAAATATCATTTGACCTGACCCTCAAAAATATACCGAAAAAATTAAATATACTATATTATATACCGAAAACATCGATATCATCGATTCTGCACCTCTACGATATATCGGAACTCTTGAGCACGACATCTGAAGTGTTGCGAAGCGGACATAAATCAGTATCTTACTTCTTACATTTTACATGTAGCTATGTAGTTACCATGTATCAGGCTTCATTAAATTTGTATAACTGAATCCAATAAAACTCATATTTCTACAGAATTTTTTAATTTATCTAATAGTAAAGCTCTTTCAGCATACACTCTGCACATGCCCCAGTCTTTATTTTTCAATAATTAACCATTCAACCGCGAACAACAAAACAGAAATTTGAAATTGGCGGTTCCATTCCACAAAACTATAAAACAAATAAAAATATCACCTTTAAAATGCGCTTTATTGCGCCTGGCACTATGTACAAAAAGAAGAAAACAATATAACAATTATTAATATGAATATTATACATAAAACAAAATTGCTTACAACCTATTATACGACTCTGTATGCCATAGAAGCAGGAATGATTGGAAAGTCTCAATGACTAAATGTTACGATTACGAGTATGATAATGTCTAAAACGAATCGTCCCGAAACTAAAACAACAACGAATACAATTGACAGCCAATGCGTTTGCATACATTCGATACCATATAGGCTCCAGCCGAAATGGTCACAAACAGTGTCAGCCAGCCCAGAAATGTAAATTCACCGACGCGAGGACGTATGTGCTGCTGCAGTCCGAGCCAACCGCCATTGTCTATCAGCCAGTACACCAGATCGTCCTCAATGATCTCGGCCAGGCCATCCACCAGGCATTGCAAGTAGTCGTAGTGGCCCTGGCGCACACAGTCGATGGCAAAGCCGCCACAGACCGAAAATATTGAGATGATCTTGCCCCAGGTAATGCTCGACCGGAAGAGATCCTTGGCCACCAAATTAAGCAGCATAGGCGCCATATCACCGTCCTCCAGCTCGCCAAACGGAGCTCTCGACAGCTGCCTGGATATGTTTGTATAGACACGCGGGTGCATGCGCTCCAGTTCCTCGCCCATCTGTAGATAAATTAATAATTAGTTGATTTACGCGGAGAAAACGAATGCATGGCATGGGCCGGCCAATACTCACGCTATTGAGGGCCGGAAACACTTCGTAGACCACATGGGAAGAGGGCTCCAGTATGTTTCGCAGTCTTTGTATCACCTTCCGATTGAGAACTCCAGCCCGCCGTAGCCGCGCTCTGATATACTGCCCACAGAGGCACTTGCCCTGAAACATTTAAGAACAAATGCCAAAAGATCAATCAAAATCAAATCAATTCTCTGGCTTTGATCATTGCCCCATCCTCGGGGCATACGATCAATTGGATGCGGTAAAATTTCCGGCTAACAGCCCCATCTTGTTGAAGCAATTCTATCGGCGCCGCCAATTACTTCCACATTTCTACAATTTACAGCGAAATATTTGCTCAAAAGAGATGGTTCCTTCTCGCTTTCGCCTCTCAATGCCCCATGCCCCTTGGCCGACGGACACCTGTTCAATTTCATTCACACCTCTTCCAGAGTCAGTCAACTGCAGCCAATTTGCGGCTGAATACAAGAGCAGTACAGAGGTGATAATAAACAATGATAAATGTTTTAAACAAAAGAGAGAGAAAAAAAGAAACGATCAGCACGTGCAGTGGGAAGAGAGTGCCGTGCCGTGCCGTGCCGCAGAGGCAGAGGCCGGCTAAATGGAAACAATCTACGAGCGAGCTGGTGGTATAATCTCTTACAGCTACGGATACAATCTAAAATATTTTCAGTAATTAAGAGCCCCCACTCGCACCCTCACCCATAGTACTATAGTACTCTCCCTGCAATGTGTAGTCGGTAGAGGCTGTGCCCTAAGCATGTGCTCTTAAATTCCGATCAATTTAGTAATGCACAATGTCACGGTGATCGCTATTGTCGGCGGCTCGGCTCGGCGGGTTTCTCGTTCAATTTCTGTCGCACAATTACCATTTGTCACGCCAACGGCTTATGAATTGATTTCTTTGGCGCCAACTTGACTTGTGACATGGCCAGCCAAAGAGATCGCACAAATTCAGAGTGCCTGACCTTGTGGCGCTTGACAAGTCCAGTCCATTGAGAGCGCAAGGCAAGGCACTCCTCAACGGGTCAGCCTGCCAGCCTACCAACGGTTTAATCACCCACTCACCTACCCGACAAATAAATCCATCCAACTTGTTTACGCGATCTTTTGATGGGCGCTTCACCTGTGCGTCTAACCATCACCGCCCGGCCAAACCCAAGCACTAAATAACATAAAATTTCGGATGACTTCAATTGGGTTCGATGAATTCCCATTGCTGTGGGCTTTCGGGTGTTTATTTTTGGAATACTTGTTTAATGCTTTCATTGTGTGAGCATCACATCTGGGCTATTAAGATCCCAAAATGTGTACAATACCCTGCCCTGCGGGCATTTGTGGGTCCCCTTTGTGCTGTCGACTACGCAACCCTGTAACTAGATCTAGGAACTGCCCAGGGCTATCCATCAACTGCAATTTCTTGAGGAGGCGCCAGCGTTCTAGGCAAACATCCGCAGCAAATATTCCCCAACAAATTATCAGCATCCAAACCAAAGGCAAATAAAGAAATATCCACCACCATCACGGAGGTTGCATTAGATCATATTTTATCAGTCGGAGATAAAACTATTTACGAGTGCGTTATCAATTAAACCAAGACAGCGTCGACCCCTCTAATACATGTCCGCCACAATGAGGGGGGGATAGGGATGGGGCGGGCGGGCGCTCGACAGCAACCCCCCGAAATTAGCTAATTTGGCAAACATTTTGGCAATGCAAATACAAAACCATTGTTTGCGGATCTGCTGTCTTCACTGTTGGTAAATTAATTTCCAAATATCAACCAACAGACATCCACGAAGTACGGCAATTTGTTTGAACAGCTTTTTGCGCGGCTTAGTTTGAGTTTTTTTTGTTTTCTTCATTTTATGCTCACCTGATTAATAATTTCCATTTTGTACTCCTGAAAGTTGGTCATGGTGCGTGTGCTGCTGGCTAGTGATGATGTGGAGGCGGCCCGGGTCATCGAGGAGAGGCCTAGTCCGGGGCCGAGACCGTGCCCGGCCCCGGCATGTAGAGATCTCCCGTTGGTGGGGCTGCTGCGAAGAGCCTTCCAGTCACTGGCCGCCGTGGCAATGGTGCCGCGTCGATTCGCCGTGTAGATCTCATGGTCCAGCGAGGAGGACTTGAACTTGGCCAGCTTCGGGGCGGCTGAGCTCGGACTGGTCGTGGGGGCCATGGTCGATGGCATCTAGTGCATGCGGGCGATGCTTGGCTGCCTCTCGACAATGCGACACTTGGAGCGACTAGACTTCGGGCTATTGTTGCAGTTGATGCTGCTTCTGCTTCCGCTGCTGTTGCTACTGCTGCTGCTGCTGCAGTGCCAGTTTATGCCTCTCCTTTTGTCGCTGCTTCTCCTTCATGTAAGTTGTGTAATTTTGAAATTGTAGATTCTACGAGTAGACGTCTGTCGAGTCGCCTTGCATGCAGCCCCCAAGCTCAGCTCTCGTTTTGCACTTTTTTGGAGGTGGTCGGGATCGAGAGCTCTGATAAAACGACGAAACAAAATAAAAGTCGGCAATAAAGTGGAGCCCAAAGCGGAGAGCAGCAAACACGAATGAGACACGCAGAGGGAAAACAACTAAAAAACTTGTTGTTGGTGGGGTTCGATTTCGATCCCCATCGATTTTCAGCTGTCTTTGGTTTGACTTTGTTTGCTCTGCTGTTGCTCCAATGCGTGCGCGTGTTTCTTTCTGCTTTTGTTTTCTTTTCTCTTTGCTTCTTGTCTCACATTAATTTGAACTTTTAACCGAGAATCAACGAAAATGTTTAGAAAATGGAAAAACGATCGCGACTACATATATCGATATATAGAATATATTATTGCAATATTTCAAATGGTAGCTAATCGATGTTTTTGTGCGATATATTCAACGGAACTTCAATCCCTATTCTAAATAAATATCAATAAAACTGAAAGTATAGAGCTTGGCATGATAAACATAATGCGTATTAAGTGTTAATAATGAAAACTGTACTGTAAACACGGCAGATTGTGAAATTTCGCCGAAACTTTCAAATGTTCGCGGCTACCGATATCACTTTTGCCATTCCCAGAAAAATTTGACACACTTTGGCGCCAGTTTTAGGGCATCTTGTCTTGGCGCCAAATTAAATGAAAAAACACTTAGCAATGCAGCAAGTATGGTAATTACCTTCCCTTATTTCCAGGTTTCAAGTGCAACTGTACTGGAAAACGCTTTGCATAGTGATTATCTCAAAACGTGATCGAACTCGGACCATACAAAGTTCCGATTGTAAGCACTCCAAAACAGTAGACCACCACCAAAGCATAATCTGAATTACTAACAAATCAGCTGTCAATGCCTGCCATGCCTATGCTGGGAGTTCATTAGTTTCCACCACCCCCAATCGAGTTTCGACCCCCAATCTAATCTATTATCAGAGCTACAAATAACAATTACTTGGCTTCCTCACACCAAATCATCGCCAATAGCACGACCCAAGCAAATCAACTTCCATGGGCTTCGCTGCGGCCAGCTTACATTGTAATGCCCAACATTGTGTTCATACGTAATTGAATCAAATTAATTACTTCCCGATCGATTCTGATGAAACAACCGGACTTGGGCTGCACTCAAAACTCTCACAATCAGATTTACATCATGCATACATACATAGTAATATATGGATCGATCTTGGTCATATGAGCCACTGATAACTGATAATTAAAAGCTCACAAATGGGCTGATAAACTTAATTGACACAGTGACTCCGAGACTGTGAAAGTCAGCGGCAAGCTGGAGGTAGGGTAGGCTCGGGGAATCTTCACCAAATCTCTCAATCGATTGTCTTATCAGTGTCTTCCACGCAGAAGCGTTGTTTGTTCGCCCAGTATCGTGACTAATCTCGCTTCATCAGCCAGATGAGATGTTCGCCAAACGCATAAATTTCGATTCGCTGACGGCCGATTCCAGTAACTTACAGAAACAACGATCCGATGGACGTGGACGTCGTTGTTATGTCATTAAATTAACAACAGCGACTGATAACTTTCACAGCGATGGGGGTTGTTGGCGCCTTGCGCAATCCCCTGTAGTTGGGGAGAGTACTCCAATAGTTTTGCCTTATCAGTTTCAAGCCAAAGCACCCACAAAATCGAGCAACAGTGTGTAGGGCATAGCCATATCGCCTTTCCAGCTCTATACTATACTCGAGCCCCTCAGTTAGTCTCTGGTTAAACACAGAGGCAGACGTGCGTTCCGGCAGTTGCAACCTTATAGGGAGAACCACACTGCTTGTCAAAATGATCAAAAACCCGGTGGGCGATCAAAAACGTCGCGTTTGTGTAATTGGAGGTAAGAGCAGAGCCAACTGTGGCGACCGGAATCGCTTTCAATCTCGATCTTCAATCAAATTGCAGCCGGCACCGCGGGTCTGTGCGCCTTGAAGAACTCTTTGGAGTCGGGATTGGAGGCGGTGGCCTACGAGCGGGGCACAGAGATTGGCGGCACCTGGATATTCTCCGAGGAAATGCCAAACAATGTGTACGATGAGGTTCACAGCAGCATGTACCAGGGATTGAGGTAGGTTGATAATACTTGCGACTTTCAGACAGAATGCTAAGTCAAGTGGCTTTTTAGGACAAACCTGCCCAAGGAAGTGATGGGGTACCCAGACTATGCGTACGACAACGATATCGAGGACTCCTTCATAACATCCCATCAGGTTTTGACCTTTCTTCGCTCGTATGCGGAACACTTTAAGCTGGGCCCCCACATCAAGCTCCAGCACGAAGTGATAAGAGTGCGTCCTCGTTTGGATGATTGGGAGGTTGGTACCGACGTCACATGCATATTCTCATTTGTGTTCTCATTTGTATAGCAATCAGACTTGTTTTCCAATAATGCAACTTTATTGATACTATTTGGGGGACTTTCCTGTTTACGCGCAGGTCTATGTCTGGGACCACAGCACCAACACTTGCGACCCGGTCTACTACGACTTTGTGTATGTCTGCAACGGTCACTACACGGAGCCAGATATGCCCGAGGTCGAGGGGGCGGAACTGTACGAGGGCAAGCTGATGCACAGTCACCTGTACCGCAGGGCGGACAAGTTTAAGGGTAAGAGCAGCCTGGCCAGTTAGATTATCGCCAACAATGTAGCAACACACTCAATGGGAGGCCAATTCGGAGACGCAGATAACTTTGTTTGCGCTACGCAAATGGTCTAGTCTGGCCGGAGTAGTTCCACTTTTGTCTTTCATTCCCATAAATAATACGGGGCGCACTCTCGACTGGAGATAATGCTCGGCTCGGCCCGTACTGTTGTTGACGAAATTGCCAACACAATCGCCACAATAGCCATCCATCGCCGTCGTCAAGTGCGTGACATAATGAGTGTTTTGGGTTTCTCGGCAGTGGCAGTGGCAGTGGCGTGGGTAGCAGCCCGATGCACGTGTTTCCTTAGTGGAAGCGACTGATAGCAGGCACTTTGGCTAACCGCAAGACTGATACATACATAGATCAACCACATAAATTTGATTCTTTCCATGTATCGTTGCAGATGAAAGGGTTCTCATCATTGGCGCCGGTCCCAGTGGCATGGACATCACCAATCAGGTCCGCATGGAAGCCAAGCATGTTTACTTGAGCCACCACTTGGCCACTGCCCCCAACACAGCATTCATGGGGAATGTGACGCAGAAAACGGATGTGGAGCGATTCACAAAAACTGGGGCCATCTTCAAGGACGGCAGCAGCGAGTCCTTCGACCATGTGATGTTCTGCACCGGCTACAAGTACACATTCCCCTGCCTCAGCACGGACGTGGGCATCCAGGTGATAGACAACTTTGTGCAGCCCCTTTGGAAGCACTGCATCAACATCAACAATCCGACGATGGCCTTCATCGGGCTGCCATTTAATGTCATACCCACGCACATATTCGACATGCAAGTGCGTTTCACGCTCAAGTTCTTCACGGGCCAGCGGGAGCTGCCGGCGCGGGAGCAGATGATCGCCGAGCTGGAGAAGGAGATTGGCCAGCGGTGGGAGTGTGGCTTCTACAATCGCAAGAAGGCCCATCAAATGGGCGAGCGACAGGTGGGTTGGTTTATCCTTCTTCCTGCGTCACTGAGTTGATTTACTTTTATTTTCAGTTTGACTACTACAACGAGCTGGCTCGTATGGCGGGCATAGATAATATCAAGCCTGTTATTCTCAAATTGATGAAGGACTGCGGCAAGAAATACATTTTTGAACTGGATACATATCGCAGCAACCGCTATACGATCGTAGACGACGAGAACTTTTTGAAGAATGGCAAAATTAGCAATTAAGCTTGTTGCGTCCCTCAATCCCGTACTTTTAGCGTATATGTAGTCAAATATGTCTAAATAACTCAATAAATCGTGAATGCTCTTAAACCAAATAAATACAATATATAAAAATAAAAAAAATTAATTGTTTGATTTATTTGAAATTGCACATTTACATATCCATATCCCTATTTTGACAGGTCAGCGAGTAATTAAATTTTTTTAGTTTCATATCAGTCAGCTTTTGTCATCGTTTCATATCAGTCAGCTTTTGTCAGCGAGCAATTATAATTTTTCGTTTCATATCAGTCGGCTATTGTCAATGAGCAATAAAAACAATTTTCGATTTAATGTTTGTAATTTCAGGCTTCAATTAATGCAGAAACTACTCAGTCTCTGTTTTAAAGATATTAACGAAATTTTGCAGCTTACGTGTACCAATAATAGGTATCAGAACCGTAATAAATTTATTTATAAACACACAAAACGTATGCATTAATAGGTAAAAAACATGTCAATCTAGGATCAAATATTATTAATGTTTCAATTGAGCTTGGAACAACAAATTTAACATCAATTCATGGAAATAAGGTATACAAAAGTCCATACGCATAGAAGAAACTTGGTTGACCAGCAACACTGACGTCACATTTAGTCAACATTTACGTTTTATGTTTTGGCCGTTTTTGTTTGAACCTTATTATGTAAACAATCGAGTAAAAAGGAGTTCTGAAAAATGGCCAATCTTGTAGAAAATTGATTTATCTATTGGATAAAATTATTTGTTTACGGCTGAGAGGGCTAACTAGCTAGTAATATTAAAGCGAATATTAAAATCGAGGAATATCATCGTGTCAGTCAGTATATTTACGGTATATTATTTGGCGAACAAATAATACTGACATTTTTCGGTTCTCAAATCGTGGTGGTTTTTCAAAAATTTCTCTCTCTTTTTAGAGGTGAAGAGAGCGCTTTCGTGGTGGCTTTCCCCTCATTTTCGTGGTGTGGGCCACATGTTCTTAACGGGAACGCGTATGGAATGACGCAACAATGAATCTTCATTCCATACGCGTTCCCGTAAGATACATTTGATTTGTATGGGAAAAATTTCAGCAACATGGGGAAATGAATTAGCAGCATTGTTGTGCAACTTTGGCACGAAATGAGCAACAATCTTCATACCTTGGGAAAATGGATATTATGGACTTTAGATATTGTTTGTAATTTCAGGCTCCAATTAATGCAGAAACTACTCAGGATCTGTTTTAAAGATATTAACAAAGTTTTGCAGCTCACGGGTTCCAATAATAGGTATCAGAACCGGGATAAATGTATATATAAAACACAAACATGTGCATTAATAGGTAAAAAAACATGTCAATCTAGGATAAAATCATTATTAATGTTTCAATGGAGCTTGGAACAGCAAATTAAACATCAATTAGAGGAAATAAGGTATACAAAAGTCCATACTCATAGCGGGAACTTGTTTGACAAGGCAACATTGATGTCACTTTCCGGTACACACTTACGTTTTATGTTTTGGCCGTTTTTGTTTGAACCTTATTCTGTAAACAGTCGAGTAAAAAGGAGTTCTGAAAACTGGCCAATCTTGTACAAAATATATTGAGGAATCGGACAAAAATATTTGTTTACGGCTGAGAGGGCTAACTAGCTAGAAATATTAAACCGAATATCAAAATCGAGGAATATCATCGTGTCAGTCAGTATATTTACGGTATATTTTGACAATGGCAAGGTATATTTAGGTATATTTCGGTATATATCTGAGGGTCAGGAGGGATATTTTTTATTGATAATTCCGCGGTCACACTGTCACAGGCGTCCGCGTCGCGTTGTAATTTTTTTTAAGTTAATAAATTGCGTGTGTCTTATTATTTTAAAGAATGTATTAAGTGTTACTTGACTGCGAGTAGCTGAACATGACCTCAAGCATCGATAGTGTGCGCGTGCTGCTGCAGTCGCTGCCTGCAGCGGCCGCCGCCTTGGGTGGCAGCAACAACAACGCCCAGCAAATCGAGCAGCAGTCACCGGCAAAGGGGCTCGGAATGCTGCTACCAACAACAACGCCTTTGCGCGCCAGAAATCCATACCAACAGCAGCCACAGACTCCGGCGCCTTTCACGCCGGAAAAAACTGAAGGGAAACCTGCGTCGGCGCCCGAGGAGTTCTGGCGTGATCTGCAGCAGTTCCACGAGAGACGCGGGTAAGGGGGAAAAATATTGATATTTATATTGATTTTGCTCCGTTCGAACATTCTCTGATCTATCATAATTTTGTGTTTACCCATCTTGTGCAGCACTCCATTGACCCATGCGGCCAAGATCAGTGGCAAGCATGTGGACTTGTATAAACTCTACACTGAGGTCACAGAGCGTGGCGGCTTCAACAAGGTCAACATGCGGGACGAGTGGGAAGAGGTGTACAGTGCCATGGAGACGCTAAGGGAACGCTGTGTAAATGGCACGGCGGGCATCAAGCATATCTACCGACGGTATCTGGACAAGTACGAGCGGCTCAACTTCTTTGGCGAGGATCCGGACAAAATGGAGGCTCTGGAGGCGGCCATTGAGAATGCTGAGATGGGCAGCGGACGGGCCCGATCCCGCGCATTGGCCGGGGGAGGCGGCGGCCTTGGCAGCATCTTTGGATCCTCGCACTCCACACTGCCAGCGGTGCCCATGTCCTACAATCAACGCCAGCACATCATCAACGTGGACCGGCGACGGCAGTACAAGATGTCCACACAGCTGCACAAGCACAGCAGCTACGAGAAGCTGCTGCTGTCCCTGCTCTCGCCGCTGCCCAACGAGCAGGACTTTGCCATCAACGTGTGCACCCTGATGGCCAACGAGGTGCGGCACACCCTCCAACTGTCCGATTGCCCCAAGCTGCTGGACGTGCTGCTGGCCCATCTGGGCGTCTATGCGGACTACACCATGCGCAAGCTGTTCCAGCACAGCTACGCCGAAGTGCGCCACCACTCGCAGCACAATTTCTGGCGCGACCTGCTCTACGACAAGCCGCAGGTACTCGAGCTCTATACCGACGAACAGGCCTGGCTGGACAATGGCCTCATCAGCAAGGAGGACAAGGACGAGCAGGAGAACTCCAGCGCTCGCAACGAGCTGCTGGCGGCATGCGATGAGCTGGACTTTTTGAATCTGCGCCGCAGCAATGGCACCGACGAGCGCATGGGCCAGCGCGTGCTCCAGATAGTGCAGCTCGTGCGGGCGCTCAGTTTCCATCAAGAGAATCAAATACCGCTGGGCTCCAATCGCACGCTGTGGCGGTATCTGGTCATGGGTGCCAATGTACGCTGGAGTAAGTTTACTGGCCACTGCCCTGAAATACCAAGTACATGTTTTTACTGGCAATTAACCACGATCCTTGTCCTCAGGCAACATCCACATTCAGGCCCTGGAGACGGCCGGTAATCTGGCGAACCAGTTCGAGCTGCAGGACCCCACCACGGACGAGCTGTCGCGGAATCTGCTGGCCACACTCTGCGAGGGCATCGACTCCAACGACCGAGCCGTCATTATCAGCTGCCTCGAGATCATATACAAGCTGTGCGGCAGGGAAGGCAACTCCCAGTACATAAACCGCTGTCTGGGCCTGGATTTCTATCAGCGCGCCATGCTGCTGCTCTCGCTAACGGATGTGATGCTCCTCATCTTCACTCTGGAGGCAATCTATGCCCTAAGCTCGCTCGGCGCCCGTCCCTGCTCTCTGCTGATGCAGGTGCGTGGCCTGGTCGACCAGCTGGTGGCATTGATATCCGTCGAGGCGCAGACCTATGGAGCTGACGGTTGCATTTTGATGCGCGTCGTGGAGATGGTGCCGGGGAATCTGATTAATTCGCTGGCCACAAATCCCACGGCTGCCACGGCTGCTGCTCCATCCGCCCAAGTGGTCGTCAAGCCGCCTGCCGCTCTTCCAATACCGACGCCCGCCCAGACACAGGTCCTGCAATCGCAGACAGAGCAGCAGGTTGTGGCTCCTCCGGTGCCTGCTCCGCCTACTCTTCCCGTTCCGAGTCTGCCGCAGGTTCCGCTGCCACTGTCGCTGCCGGTGCCCAGTCTGCCACAGGTTATACTGCCGCCGGGCGTTGTCTCCATGGCTCTGCCAGCCCCACCCTCCGCGCCGCAGAGTTTCACACACGACGACGAGCAGTACGCTCTGGCCTGGCTGGGAGCCACCTACGAGCGAGCAGGCGCCGGCCACGAGTTCCGCCTGGAGCAGCAGGAGCTGTACAGGATATACCTGTCGCACTGCCAGAAGGCGGGCAAGCTGTCGGTGGTCAATCACATGCAGTTCCCACGCCTGGTGCGCCTCATCTTCAACCAGACCGTGGGACCCGTCATCGTGCGCCACTTGGACGGCACTGAGCTGCCGGGCACCTACTACGTGGGCATCCGGACGCGCGCCCAACCATTGGTCATGCAGCAGAAGGCCAATCCATCTGCAGTTCTTCTCAAGAAGGAAACTCTCATCCTGCCCAAGCCGCAGTCGGACTCAACGCCAACGGAAGCAGCCGAGGAGACGGCTCCTCCTGCGCCCACGCCCACGCCGCCCACCAGCTCCTCCCTCATCAAGAGTCTCCTGGCCAACAAGGTGACCGAGCGTCAGCAGAAGCAAAAGGCACAGGTGCTGTCGCAGTCGCCCCAGCCCCCGGCCCTGGTGCCCACCACAGCCTCCGCATCGAGTGCCCCCTCCAACCAGCCCATCAAAGTAACTTCCACGGCCATCAGTGCCTTCGTGAACAATCCGCTGATGCAGCACACGCCGGTGAAGGTGGGACAGACCACCATAAAGCCACTCCATCCCCAGATGGCAATGGAGAAGAAACCAATCACCGACTCGGCTCCGCCCCCACTGGCTCCGCTTAGTGGGGCGAATGTTGTGACCAAGGACGCCAGTGGACGCACCCTTATAATCTCGGCAGCCACCAAACGAAAGCTGACCATCGACGACGAGCAGAACAAGCGCCTGGCCCTGGAGAACGCCTCCTCCTCCGGCAAGGAGGAGCCCCAGGTGACGCCCTCAAAAAATGCCGCCAATCTGTATGCGGACCTGGCTGCCTCCATACTGGAGGATGAGGACTTGGATGACGTTCCGCCATTGGCCAAGCCAAGTCAGGAGCAGCCTCAGCAGCAGCATCAACAACAACAACAGCAGCAACAGCTGCAACTCATCCCAGCCAAGGTGCAGTCCACCCAACGTCAGCTGGTCTTCCCCGGCAGCAGTAGCTCCTCTCCCGGCCCGCCACCGCAGCTCAAGCTGGCCACTACGGCCACCATCAAGACGGACCAGGGCCTACAGACGGTGCCGGTGATCCTGCAGCCGAAAACGTCGATGGATGCCTCCCCGGCCCAGCAGACAACGCAGTACGTCCTGGCCACGAATCAGCAGGGTCAGACCTACCTGGTGGCACAGCAGACACAGCCCGCCCTTCCGCCAACCTCTCAGTCGGCACCGCCCACGCTGCTGGTCACACAGACGCCTCAGCAGCAGACGAAGACCATCATCATACTGCAGCAGCAGCCGGGCGGAGTGTCCGCTGCCAGTGTGCCTGGCACGCAGAAGATGATCATGACCACGGCGCAGGGCCAGCAGGTTCTGGTCACCACCACCACGGCCCCCCAGCAGCCGCAGACACGCCCCGCCAGCCAACACCAACAGCAGCAGATCTTCATCACGCCCCAGAGGCCAGTGGCATCACTGGGAGCAGGGCAGATGTCCCCCTCCCTGCTCTCGCAGCTGAATCAGATTCCGGCCACCATCAAGCTGCATCAGCCACAGCCGCAGCTCGCCTCGCCGCAGGTGACGGCTCAGCAGCGTCTGGCAGCCGCCAAGGCGGGAGCCACATTGCCCATACCGCAGTTGCAGCAGCACCAGTCGATCATCCAGCAGCACATCATCTCGGGCCCACCCGGAGCTCCAGCTGCTGCTGCGCCTGGCGAGAAGCGGCAGCTACTTCTCAGTGGCATGAAAGAAACGACTCTCATCACCCAGACACCGGCCACGGCGGCTCCCCTGCAGCAGAGCCAACTCAACTCGCAGACGATCATCACCACGCAGCCGCCCACAGCCACAGCCATGGGGGGCATGCAGCAGCAACACATCCGCACCGTTCTGGAGCAACAGCAGCAGCACCATCCATCCATCATTCAGCAGAAGATCACCATGCCTGTTGTGAGTGTAGCCTGCAATGGGGAATGAAAAGCTTTTCTAATCAAATCTTTATCTCCTCTCAGATCCCGGAGGCGACTAAGCCCGTTACTGGCGGCGCTATAGCCAAGAAGCCAATGCAGCCACAGTTTGTGCCCGCTCTGAAGCCAACGCTCTCACAGATAGTGATGAGTACCGGCGAATCCACATCGACAGTGTCCGGCAAGCCGCTTTCAGTCCTGGCCGAATCCAAGCCAGTAGAGTACACTCAGGCGGCAAATAGCAGCACCTCAGTGGTGATCAGCCAGGTGCAGACGGCGCCTCTGTACGCCACTCCGTCTGTGACAGGAGCTCCCATTGTCGCTGCCAGTCCCTCGCCCGTGCCCGTGGACGTGAATTGGCTGTTCATCTGTGACTGGCGCAACTGCCCGCGGCGCAAGTTCAAATCACTCAACGACCTCAAATATCATGTGGTCAATGTCCACTGCCCGGACCACCTGGATGCCGATGCCGACATCTATTGCCAGTGGGGCAGCGGTCCCGCCTTCTGCGACAACAGAGCTCGTCGTCGCTACTCCCTGATGACCCATCTGATCGATCGTCACCTGGCCTTGGATAATCTACGCGCCGGCGTGCAGCGTCGCCTGGCCACGGGCATACACAATGTGGCGCCTGCCCAGCCGCCCGTCACCATTGTGCGGAACGAAAGTCATGCCCAGAAGCTGGCGGGTGGCAGTGCACCGGCTCCAGCGCCGGCCCCCGTGGTGGGCAGTGCGGCGATGCAGGCCATGAATCGGCACACAACGGACTACACCAACTCCAAGGAGCTGATGGACGAGAACGAGGGGCCCGTCACCAAGAGTATTCGTCTGACGGCAGCACTCATTCTGCGCAACCTGGTAACCAACACGTCGACGGCCAAGCGCAGTCTGAAGCGCTACGAGCCCCACCTGGCCAATGTGGCCATGAGCAACGTGGAGGCCAGCGCCGTGCTTTCCCACATCATGTACGAGCTGAGCCAGTAGGAGGAGCTGCCGGCTCCCATTTATATCCTACCCATATATATATATATATACCTGTATTTTTGTACCATTCTCTCTCAAATGCCCGCTTCTACATATTAACCCATACCTGACCTAACGACACAATTAAATGTGAAAAACAAACCCGGAAAACCGATTCCTCCAAATGGAAACGCTTGCTTTACCAGAAATTTAAATTTCCCGCCGTATTCCAACTATCGCTCCACCCTATCGATGCATACTTTGTACGAGTGGGGTGACACTGGCACACGTAACACATGTGCGCTGGAAACACGTTCGGACGTAACACACAAATTTTAGCAACAAAGTTCGAAATAATCATTTTAATTTGGGCCACAAAATGTCACTGCGAGCAATTGGAATGCTGGCTCAGGCGCGTCACTTCAGCCGCCTGGGTGGAGTGCTGAGGCAAAGCAATCGATGTGCAGCTGCAGCCTTGAATGTGGCTCTGGGATCGCCGGCCGGTAAGTCGTCTGGTCTGCACTGCATGGCGGCACTCGGATTTTACATAACTCTGGGCGATGCTTTCAGATCTGTCGCCCTCGTACCGCCGCTTCGCCACGGAGACCAAGCAGGCAGACGCGCCCGTCGACAAGCATGAGTTCCAGGCTGAGACTCGCCAGCTTCTGGACATTGTGGCGCGCTCCCTTTACTCGGATCAGGAGGTTTTTGTGCGCGAGTTGATCTCGAATGCCAGCGATGCCCTCGAGAAGTTCCGCTACACGGCCCTGAGCACTGGCGAGGCGGAACTGTCTGGCAAGGATAGGGCTCTGGAGATACGCATCACCACAGACAAGCCGCAGATGCAGCTGACCATACAGGACACGGGCATCGGGATGACCAAGGAGGAGCTCATCAGCAACCTGGGCACCATCGCCCGCAGCGGTTCGAAGCAGTTCTTGGAACAGATGAAGAACGAGAAGCAGGCTTCTGATGCTATTTCCAACATCATTGGTCAATTCGGTGTCGGCTTCTACTCGGCCTTCATTGTCGCACAGCGCGTGGAGGTCTACACACGGGCAGCCACGCCCAAAGCGCCCGGCCTGCGCTGGTCGACGGACGGCAGTGGCACCTACCAGATCGAGGAGAGCCAGGACGTGGACCTTGGCACTAAAATTGTGCTGCACCTGAAGACCGAGTGCCGTGAGTATGCGGACGAAGACCGCATCCGCACTGTCATCAAGAAGTATAGCAATTTTGTGGGCTCTCCCATCCTGCTGAACGGCAAGCAGGCCAACGAAATCAAGCCCCTGTGGCTGCTAGATCCCCAGAGCATCAGCATGGAGCAGCACCACAACTTCTACCGTTTCATCAGCAATAGCTTCGATGTGCCCCGATTCACATTGCACTACAACGCCGATGTCCCCATTCTGGTGCACGCCCTGCTATACTTCCCCGAGGGCAAGCCTGGACTTTTCGAGATGTCGCGCGACGGCAACACGGGCGTGGCTCTGTACACCCGGAAGGTGCTGATCCAGTCCAAAACCGAGCACTTGCTGCCCAAGTGGCTGCGATTCGTGAAGGGCGTCGTCGATTCCGAGGACATTCCCCTCAACCTGAGTCGCGAACTCCTCCAGAACAGCAGCATCATTCGCAAGCTGTCCAGCGTATTGACCTCACGGGTCATCCGCTTCCTGCAGGAGCGCGCCAAGAAGCAGCCGGAGGAGTTCGAGAACTTCTACCGCGACTATGGTCTGTTTTTGAAGGAGGGCATCGTCACCTCGAGCGATTCAGCGGAAAAGGAAGAAATAGCCAAGCTCCTCCGATTCGACTCCTCAAAGGCGGAGGGTACCGAAGGACGCATGTCCCTGGAGGACTACTACACCTCTGTCGGGCCTGAGCAGAAAAACATTTACTACCTGGCGGCGCCGAACCGTGTCCTTGCCGAGTCCTCCCCCTACTACGAGAGCCTGAAAAAGCGAAACGAACTTGTTCTCTTCTGCTACGAACCCTACGACGAGCTCGTGCTCATGCAGCTTGGAAAGTACAAGCAGAAGAACCTGGTCTCCGTTGAAAAGGAGATGCGCGAAGATTCTAAGGATCCGAGTGCAACCACTGATTACGGCGAGGGCAGCCTGCTGCGCTCCGAGCTCGACAGCTTGATACCGTGGATTCAGGACGAGCTGCAGGGCCAAGTGGTCAAGGTGAAAGCCACCTCTCGCCTGGACACGCATCCCTGCGTTGTCACCGTGGAAGAGATGGCTGCCGCGCGTCACTTCATCCGTACCCAGAGCCACCAGGTGCCGGAGGCGAACCGCTTTGCCCTGCTGCAGCCGGAACTGGAGATCAATCCAAAGTGAGTGACTCTCTGTTGTGTGTTGGCCCCACAGGCTCGTAACCCCAAGGTTTCACCTTTTCAGACATCCCATTATCAAGAAGCTGAACAAACTGCGCGAGAGTGACACCGAGCTAGCCAAGTTGATTACCAAGCAGCTCTTTGCCAATGCCATGGTAGGAGCCGGGCTGGCGGAGGATCCTCGCATGCTGCTGACCAACATGAATGAGTTGCTCACGAAAGCTCTGGATAAATACTAAGTTAGGCAGCTAAATCCCCAAATGTAAATCTACACACTACGCAATATTGTTTAATTGATTTAAGGTTATAAATATAATTTGAAAATAGTTTTTAACCACCCTACCCTATCATTGTGTACATTTCGGTATATTTTGACGTCGAGTTCGAGTTGAAGGTGTATTAGCGGTATAGTGGTATATTTTATCCTCTTTTTGGTATATTTCCAAGGGTTCAGGGGGATATTTGATCGATTAGCCCGCTGCCACACTATTAACCACCCATCCGCCCCCGTGACTAAAGTTTATAAAAGCTAAGAAAAATATCTCGTTGGAGTTCAGTGCCGTTATCCGCAACAAAGCGTTAGTCGCCAAGCAGCCAGCAGCAACCCGAAAGAGGCCAGCCACAGAGCAGCACATTGCTTTTAATTAGATTTCTAATCACGTGAGTGTGAACAATTAAACCAACGATCAAAGGGTCATGTGAGGCCCGAAAACTATGAAAAGTTCATCTAATCTACAATGCGCCAACTTTCGAGTTTGTACAAGCTACAATTTACTGCCACGACATGCACATACACACACAAACATAACTCAGCCAACGGCAATGGGATCGTGTATGTGTGTGCGTTTGTGCTGTTAGCAAAAAATGAAGTAGGAAAAGGGAGAAAAAACAATATATAAAACAATATGAACAACGCGAAATTGTTAAGTTTTTTAAAGGAAAACCCAGGCTTGAGGAACTTCCATTTGCCTGTTCCTGTGTGTGTGTGTGTGTGTGTATGTGTTATGTGTGTGCGTGCGTGTATTTTTCCAGCCCATTGCCAATTGAACTTCTTGTCATGCGCTCACGCTCTCACTGACACAGGCACATGACACGACACACACACACGCATTCAGCTCTCGCGATAAAATTCAATAATCGGACGAGTCTCGTCTTCCTAGTCTCGTTTCATTTTGCGCGCTCACTCGTCGTGGAAGCAGCAAGCATTGTGGTTCGCAGATCAGCGTAAAGAAATTTTCTACATATACACCACATATATTGTATATATAATATAAATACTTTGTTCCGACTCAAAGCAACGCATACCCACCTACATATAAAAAACGCGCATAACATTTAGCCGTGCAAAACGCCGAAAGAAAACCAAGTGCAATCAGCAGCGAAACGAATTAAAATCTCGCTTTTCATTTTTAGCCTAAAACAAACAAAAAACAAAGCAAAATGTCTTCGGAAGTGACCAGCGACAACCCCATCTATGGCCCCTTCTTCGGTGTTATGGGCGCAGCCTCCGCCATCGTCTTTTCGGGTAAGTGTGAACCACTAAAATTAAACATACTCCTGGTCCGAAAAAAATCGAACATTTCGTGTGGCGTAAAAGGTGGAAGAGGAAGAGTGGGAGAAGCAGAGCAGGGAGCACCAGTAGCTGCTAAAACCAATGCGTGTGCTGTGTGTGTACCGCAAAAAAGCGGCAAGTGTGTAGTAGCCCCTTGAATACAGATAGATAGTGGTACGCACACAAAGAAGAAGTTCTTTGCGTCAGTATGCGCGTGACTGGCAGAAAATGTACCATGTTTTAGCCAGAAAAGTTAGTTTGACCAAAAAGGAAACACCATGATGGTTCTATTCATATTCATTTTTCATAGAAATTTGGCAGCTTGTAATTACGTTTTACTCGCAGTGGCCAAATTAGAAATTTTGCCTTTTTCTTTCCACATTACTCACACACCGACCCACACACACACTCACACTCACACTTGGTTAATGTGAGAGCAACGATTCTCTCTCCTCTCGCTCGCTTGCGCACTCTCTCGCATTTGGCATTGGATGAATGTGTGTGTGTGTGTAGAAGAGTTACTGTTTTTTGTGAAGTTTATGAAGCTCGCTTTCCTTTTCACACAACAGTCACAAGACCAGAACGACAGTGTTGCCACACGAAACTTTTTTTTTCACATTTATTGGTTAGAGTAGCAGCACGAGGACATAATGAGTGTGATTGATGTAAAATAAGGAGCCCCGAAAGTGGGGGCAAGAATAGGGCACGTGTCACAATCACAATGACATTGTATTGCATTTTATTCCTTCCCCTCAGCTGACAAATGTTTGGCCCCATTCCCCGTAATGTCCACAAACTTGTGGATCTATTGTTCTCCCCCAACACCCTGTGGGTAATCACATGCCAAAATCGCTGAATGCATGATCAATCGAATCCCTGTAGACATCACATGCTCTAGGGTATGATCGTTTTTTCGGGCTTATCAGAGACGAGACCATACCATTCATTCTGTATTTACCTTACTGATAAGTGGCTTATTTACCAATTGACTTGGCTGATAAGATAGCAAGTGCTCAAGCAATGTGATGTGCTTGCTGGTGGATGTGGATGTGTGTCGCAAGGCATCATATGAAAAGAGTAGCAGCAAAGTAGCACGCGCTCTGCCGGCAAGTGGCCCAAATCCCCCACCCCCCCGTCTTCCCGAACAATAGCAATGGCTTTCCACAAATCAACTCATTTGTGACGCAATTCTTATGTCATGCCTCGGAAACTTGTCTTGTGATTTGCACCTTCCCCCTGCCGTTCTGGTGGCTGTTGGTAATCAAGAAGAAGGTTGCCCGAATGTTTGCTCGGCCTATTATCATAGTAGGTCCGTAGATACGCTGTACAGGTATACATATGTACGTGCCCCGGCAACACAGATATCACTCTCATCCAAAGTGCTTGTGTAATTAAGTCAATAGCATAAATCAATTTTAAGCTTTTGTTCAACGATAATTTCCACGGTCTGGCAACTCTGCTTGACTGCACGATCACATGAGCGAGAATTTCGTGGCTCCTCTCTCTCCCCCTGCTCTCCAGCAACTGCAGTTAACTTTTTCAGCTGACTGACTCATTGCCGATTTCCAAGCGACCGAGCAATGGGCGTTGCTTTCCGCTTGCGTTTATCAGAAACAGAGGCTGATGTTCCAAATCCTCCTCTGTGGCTCGGGTCCAGAAATACCCCGAGTGACACGAAAATCCTTCACACAATGACACAGCACACACTCCTACGCCCGCCTGCGCAATCGCAGTGCCCGAAATAGTAGTAGATATACAGAGAACAGTAGTAAGCACAGGCGCCGTTTGTGGGTGGGAAGTAAATTATGTAAAAAATGCTATACCGACATAATTTGCTGCTACACGTGACTTACTAAGTATTTAATTTCTTTAAAGAAGCATCACAAAAGCTTCATTCTTTAACCCTGTCTTTATGAGACTATATTTTTTCATGCACCCTATATGTGTGTGTGTGTGCGAGCGAAAGCAAAACGTGGCAAAAATAAAGATGCCAATGTGTGCGTGTATAAGAGCATATCTTTCCTAGTGCATTTTAATCAATGAACCTGCCCCAGCCCCCGCGCTTCCCATGCAACACCCTGTCTAAAGTATTTCACGGAATTGGTTCTACATTTATCTTATCTCTTTATTACCCTATAATAATTTTGTCGCACCGACGATTGTGAGAACAAAAAGCTTTAGGAAAGACATTGACAGACAGAAAGACAGACGGAAACCTGCAACGGTAATTTGTACATGCTGTTGTCTCGCATGTTGGTGCATTCCTCTGGCCTCTGGCTCTGCCTTTGACTTTAACTTGTCTACAACAAAATGGCACTTGTTTCTCTCGACTATTCGGTTCTGGCTCTCCCTCCTCTTATTCTGCTGCCTTGCTGTTCGTTCACTCAACTGTGACGCCTTCAATTTGTTTTTGTTTTATTCGTTTTTCACTTGATGCTGTTTTTCTTGCTCTCTCTCTCTCTCTATCCCTCTCTCTATATCCCCCATTTTTATAATTATCTTTGAATGTGCTGGCAGTTGTTGTTGATTCTTGTTCTTTTGTCGCCAGTGCCTATTCCCCTCCCTCTTACTCACAATTCTTTGTATTTCTCGACGCCCACAGTACCGTCTGCGATACCGTCTGTCGCTTGATAAACGCTATATGCACACGTATGTGTATGCATGCACATGTGTGTTCGTGGATGTATGAATAATTGAAATTCATAGCAGTAGCTTTTAACAAAAAAACAAGTCAATGCCATTCCAACTTTTTAAAATTATTTGCTGATTTAACTGCGGCATCGATACACAGCTGTGCGTCAATGCCAGTCGCGCGCGATAGTACTGTTCACATTGTGTGTACACACTGGCCCATATTACGGTTGAGGCTGCGCTTGCTTGCACGCACTGTGCCTACAATCGGGACTCGAAATATTGTTGCTAGATGAAAACTAAATCAATTGGTTCATCGTAAATCTCGAAGTCCACTTTTATTTCCATCTATACCAAATTATTCTACAATAAATTTTGTCTTTATTAATTGCAATTGAGCGTAATGCGGGGCCAGACAACGCACATTCAGATGTGTGTGTATGCTCGTATAGAATATACCAGTTTCATTTATGTGTGTGCGTGTGCGTGTTAAGCGCCCCGACCTTATGAATATTCGAAATAAAATGGTTTATTCAAGTTCATTCTGGTTTTTTTTTATACCATACTCGACCGTTTTCCTGTTCTGTGACGTAGCTAGCTACAAATTTAGAAATGAAAATGTGTAAATGCTTCGATAAAAAACTGTTTCCATGTCTTCTTCATGACAATTTCCCCTCTGATACAATACCAATAACATGGAAAATAACTTGGAACAGAAAATAAGTTAATTAACATGAAATCACATGACTACGATGAGTAGGGCCCGCTACTGTGGCTCGTGCCGTGCTCTCCCGCTCAGATATGGATTGCTTTCGCACTGAATACTACACACCCATATAGACGAGTATGAGTGTTTAGCCCACCATTATTGCGATTGTATGTGTTGTGTTTTAATTCGATTTATTACCTCTCACGCTCAGAGAGACAAACACACACACACAAAGGCAAATACCATTGACCGCCATTTGAAACTGGTTTTGTACTTCAATTAATGCTTTGCAATATACATACATACAATCGCTCCCCCATGAGACCTACCTGATCAATTGGCACGGCACTCTCGCCGCCCAGCCTTATCAAAAGTTGCCTGACTCTCGGAATTTGACAGCTAGAGAGCGAAAAAAAGCAGAGCGCGAACGGTGTACATACTCAGCCCCAAGGGAGAGCGGAATTTATGTAGAGTGTGGAGCGTAGGGTGTGGGGGGTTTTTTTCCAGCGAAAATCCGTCAGTTATAAACGATCATGTGACTGCTAACTGGTATGTTCGCGATCAGAATTGCTCAAACGAGGCAATGGCCATTAACTTTTGGGGAAATCCTAAAATGTTGCTCGAAAGAGTAAAGTTACATAAGGTAGTTAAGACAGTGTTACCCCTTTTTGTTTAGTTAGGTGAAGCGTTGCCACACCTTTCTTAGTCGCAGAAAATTGCATCTGATCAACTTTAAACTAATTTTATTATTCCTCTTTATTCTTATAGCTCTCGGCGCTGCTTATGGCACTGCCAAGTCTGGTACCGGTATTGCTGCCATGTCGGTGATGCGTCCTGAACTGATCATGAAATCCATCATTCCTGTTGTCATGGCGGGTATCATTGCCATTTACGGCCTGGTCGTGGCTGTGCTGATTGCCGGCGCGCTGGATGAACCCTCAAAGTACTCACTGTTCAGGTAAATATTCATTGGAATTCTTCTGCTCATCGGATTTCTAACCATTCTAATCTTGTGACTATCCAACAGAGGGTTCATACACTTGGGAGCCGGTCTGTCGGTGGGCTTCTCCGGTCTGGCAGCTGGCTTTGCGATCGGCATCGTGGGAGATGCCGGTGTCCGTGGCACAGCACAACAGCCCAGATTGTTTGTCGGCATGATCCTGATTCTCATCTTCGCCGAAGTGTTGGGTCTCTACGGTCTGATCGTGGCCATCTACCTGTACACGAAATAAATCAATCAATTCAACCACACAACAACAGCAAATAGACAAACAGCCCCAGCAGTCTGCGCGGCAACACCAGCAGCCGCGGGAGGATCAGGTAACATCAATCTTAACATCAGTCCGACAGCAGTGCGCGTGCGGTGGCAGTTCTGGCGGCGACCCTTTGTATATAGCAACAAGATTCAACGGAGAAGAATAAAGTTCGTCGCCCGAGGATTGCAAGGGTACCGCCGCGTGTTGCACCATAGGACACTGCCTGTTCGATCCACTTTGGGTTGCTGGCGTCTGGTTTAGCTTAGTTATTTTCCGTTCAAATTCAACCTTTAACAAGGAAAACAATCTGCAGTTAAGTTCGTAAAGTTATAATAATTATGAGTTTTGCTATATCAAGAAATTCTCCTCTTTTTATCTTATTATTTTGCGCTCCACATTTGTGTGCTCTTTGTTATTTGTTTTTTCCATTATTATTATTAAATAATGTTTAGTGTATATGTAAAGTTCGTTAAACAAAAGAAAAACTGTAAAGAATCAACCAACAATTGTCAAAAGAAACTTGTACATTTGCAAGCGGCTTGCGGCATGTGGCACATGGCCACGCAGCCGCACCAGATGAACAAAATTAGCGAAAGGGCCCCGACAACAACAAACAAAACAAACAAGCAGAAAGCAACAACATCTGCTTCCGCTGCTCCGATGCAACAAAACTCGCTCTGCCCGTCCGATTAACTTTCCGGCTGTTTGGGCGCACCTGCTTGCACCTTGTGCTGGCAGAGTGGAACCTCACAACAGTTGGGCGGTGCATCACATGGGTCCAAAAAAATTAATAGGGGTTCTGTTGCAGCTGGACAGCGATAATATACTTGGCAATACTTCAACAACAAAGGTCAACTGCAACCAACTACAACTACATGCAATCATTCACACACACACACGCACTCACATAAAGCCACCACACACACACACACACATACAAAATACAAACAAAAACGTAACTAAGTCCTATGTTTATTTTTAATTATTGTTCAATTCTAAGAATAATACATTAAAAATTAATAATAATAAATTATATATATATATAATTATGATTTTTTGTGATAAGAGACGGTAATACAACAATTACGGTATTGATATACATAATATATACAGAATATATATATATATATAAGAAATGAGAAGAGATCAAGAAATCATTAAACTTATACATATTAACATGAGAAGTTGTTATAAAAACGTACGAAAAAAGCAAGTCAAGCTAAAGCAAAAGCAAAACAACCAACCAACACACACCTTTTCCGCTGTTATTGTATAGTAAAGAAAATATAATTATATATATCAAATATATATTATGTATAAAATATTAACGAGAAATTGTAGTAGCAAAATTATAAACCAACAAACAAAAGTCGTGCAAGCAGAACCCAAAAAGGCGTAGACGGCGGTTGCAGATGGAACCCTCATCCAACCAGAACAACCGAAAATCCAATCATCCAAAACTAAAGTCTACGAGAAAATCCAACAAAAAAAATTGTAAAATCCCACAAATTAGAAGTTATGTGAGCAACACACATTAATTAGAACCTATCGACAGCAAGACCATCAAGCGATCGATTTGTATGTGGCATGCGGCAAGCACCAACAATAATTTGTTGAGGGAGGCGCCACAGGCGGCTCGAGCATCATCCCCGAGGAGGCGACATCTTCCCCTGCCCGTCGCTCACCGATGCATTCATGATGCTGAGAATGCGGAGGTGTCCGACCTGTGCGGGGGCGTCGGCTTCCCGGGGCGGTGGTCCTTCCGACTGCATCTGCCTCCCGCCCCCACAATAATGCAAAAACAACAAGAAAACATGCACAAAAAGACAAAAGCAAAAACACACACACCTCGAGATCTACACAATTAGCATTTGTATATAAGAATGTGTCGTACCGATGATCCATTCCCAGCTCTTGCCCCGTTGCTCATCAAAGCTGCAGCGTCCGTGTCGCGTTCACTTTGTGGAGTGGTGGCGGAGGTGTCTGGACTTGGAGCAGGTGCGATCGATCCATTGATTGGCAATTCGAAGAACCTTTCGAGAACCCAACTGTTATACGTGTAAATTCTGCGTGGAATCCGTTTATACATATGTATTTTGTTAGATTAATGCGATCAAATTGTGTCACGAATTATTATTGTTATTTGTGCGTATGTGTTCCCCCGTATTCCCACTCTGTATACACACGAACCAACCCCATACCTACCTATATGTAACCCATATGCAATCGATGATTAGGTTTTAGAACTGTAACTGTGTATTCGAAACAACATCCGAAGCAAGCAAACAACCAACAACAGACATTGTATGAAATAAATTGTAATTTCTAATTTCCAAAAAAGCTTTATGCGTTTTCTAACCTTGGGTGGGATCTTTGGGAAACGTTTTTTTTCAGATCTACACCCGGATTGATTCCTTGATAAGATTCCTATTAAGGATCCGAAAGCCATAGCACGCCCAGGTCGTCCCACAAATAACGGAGAGAACAATATATGTATGCAATCGAAGGCCAAAGCCGTTGCGCCGTAGCACATAGTACGGGTATTTTTGTACACCATAATTTTTGACTGAAGAAAATATCCTTGATCCTTGAAAAGGACTTTTGGGTCAAAAATTGAAGGATATTTTTTTGTTTTTGTTGTATTGTTGTACACAACACCTTAATTTTGGCACTCAAAATCCTGTTGCATACTTTGTTATGCACGCCCAGATCAGTCCACAAATAGCATAGAAATAAAAGAAAACAAAACTGGCTTGTCAATTTTTGTTGTTGTTGTAATTGTTGTACAACAACCACCATTAGTTTTTGTTGTAATTGTTGTACAACAACCACCATTCATTTTGTGGTCTTCAAAATTGTGTTGCATACTTTTAGTTACAATTGCATTTTAAATGATAGCATAATTTTGGGGTTGAAAAACCTAAGTTTTCCGTCATTTCTGTTCGCCTGGTTCAGGATGGTTAAATTTTTCATCATTAAATTTGCCAAATAACGACATCATTTTCGTAATCGAGATTTCATTAGCAATCGACAGTCTGGATCCTCGGTATCCTGGGAAGTAGGTCCTTCGCTGATTTGGCCCCAATTTGACGAGGAGAGGCCCCTGAACTCTTACAAGTCCTATAATACCACCGGTTGTATTCGGAGTAAAACTGACAATTGAAAATTTTTTCTTTCTATATATTTTCATTGCTCAGCGCGTTTACATGTTCTTCGGTTTCAGTGTCTGTTTGAGTCCACTTGTATATACTATGCCGTGTGTGTTCTGTTCTGTTTGTGTGTATATATAGGTCATATAATATATATATATATATATTCTTTTGATTACATTAGTTACATTTGAATCAACTGCATTTGCGGTCTGGCTCTGGGATCTAAACCTGCATCTGCATTTGCCCGTACGGATACGAATGTAAACTCAACTGTTGCTTGGCCATAACCGAAAATGTTGTTAGCTTCAGAAACACACGTACACGTACATGTGCGTGAGTGTGTTTGTGTGTGTGTATACATATAGTACGTCTGCTAATGATGGATTCATAATTGATTTCCCTCTGCAATTCATTAAAGCGTTTGTAATATTAACGTTATGTTTATGATATATCGAATACATGTATATATATTTCGCACTGGATAAGTCCCGTCCCCTATGTACACAAACTAAAACAGGACAAAGCAAAGGTTAGGGCAGGGCTGCGAATCTCCCAAAATGATTAAGTCAAATGAGAATGGATATAATCATACTCGTACTTGTACTGATAATGATAACTGGATAACTGGAGCTTGGCTTATTCTACACACTGTATATAGACTGACTGTACGTTATATTAGCAAAATATGGAATTAGCCTACTTTTGTATGTGTGTTCCTACGTGTCTATGCTTTCCCTTGTTGTTGTTGTTGTTCGTTCGTTCGGTTCTATCGTTTCTATCGGTTCCTGAATACACTTTTTTATGAACTGTACATATACAATACTATACAATACTTTGTTTGCTTTAGAAAATTTGTCTCGAAAAATTCTTGTTTTGTTTTTTTTGTGTTCTTTGCTTGCAAAAATTTGAGGTAGTTTTATTTTATTTGAATTTCTTTATCATCGTTTTTATTTTCATCTTAATCTTTTTCCTTTCCGTTTTGGTTTTAGATTCTCTCGTTTTGTTGCCAGCCATACAAAGCCTTGAACAATTTTGGGTGAAAGGCATTTAAAGTGGAACCGAATGGGAGAACTAAACACGATCAGCGATTATAAAGTATTATGTAAAGTATTGCTTTCCATACGATCAGGTTCTATAAAAGCCAGGCGGAGCCATATACTCATACTCAGGGGCGCACATAGATTCGTGTACATATGTTTGTATGTATATATATATTTGATTCTTGTATACAATTATCGGCTAAAACTAATTAGGGCACAGAGACGCATCTACACTATCTTTAGACAACACTCAGATACTCAGATGATGATATATGTACGCACTCGTATATGTAGTATTTGTAGCTATGATACACATCTCTCTTTTTTTGGGCAGTTTTATGGTTGCAAAATATTGAAAAAGGATTGCCATTGGGAAAGGAAGGACCTGTAGTACAGTCTACAGGCTGTGGGCCATAGCCGACTCCTTGCACACTAAATATATCAGTCGTTCCTAACAACTGTGGTTCATGTTGTTCCATTACATTTTTGGCAGTGTTGAGTACTCGTTTTCGTTTTCGATTCAGTTTCAGTTTCTGTTTACGTTTTTGGTTTTACTTACTTTAAATTCACTTATAAGTTCATTGGCGTCGAACAAAATATAAATTACGTTTACTGTTAAGGCGAATTTTGTGGTTATATGTATGCTTCGAGTGTGTATGGGGGGGTGTGTCTGCCTGCCGTTCAGATATGTACATATGTGTGTATGTATGCATGTAAAAACAACAGCAAAATCAGTGAAAAGAATTATATAATGTGTGTGTATGATGTGTGTGGCTCTGCTGCTCCTTTCGATAACTTTATTTGAATTGGATCTTTGCCTTGGCTAGGTTCTAAATGATTCGTTTAGGTGTAGGTTGTTAAAGGGTTTAAGAGCGAAACTAGTTAATGATATAGAGTATATATATATTTATATATAATATTATGTACAGACTGCTCCGCTTGGAGACGAGTTTTGCATGGGATTTGCACTAACTTAAGGGATATTCATCAATCGTCTGGGGCTTAGGCTTACAACTGTTTGCATTGCTGTTCGAATTGAGTACAAAATGTTTTACAAATATTTGATGCAGCTTTGTAGCTTTTGTAAATGCTTCAAGTCTTGTGTTCTTCTTTGCTTGTTTATCTCCACCTTTGCTCTCTCTCTCTCTCCCGCTCTACTCTACTTTAAAGTTAACCCTTTGACCACCGCGTCGTGGGTTGTGTGCGTGATTGGAAGTTTTGGCCTGGTCCTAAAGTTACGACTACAACAATGGAAACGAAATGAAACGGAACGGAAAGCAACGAATAAAAAAAAAAACGTGGATAAACGAAAAACTAATAAAAATACATTAGAAACAAACAAGTCTTGTCCACTCCATTATCCATACTCCCTACTAAATATGGGTCCTATCAAAATGTACATTTAACTAAACGCTAAAAACCTACAACTAGAGACGTTACAACTTAAGACATTTGTTCATAACAGTTGCTCGAACGCGCGGGTGGGTTGCGATAAGGTGGCCACAGTATCTGACTCGGATTTCCTCTTACTTATAACCGAAATATATGTGTATGTGTATGTACAATGTACAGCGAACGAAGGATGATCGATCAAATGGTAAATATATGAAATGGAAAATTGGGGGGGCAACTAACTAACTGAACAAAGCGGGGCCCTGTTTGTCTGTGGGATCTGCACCCTAGATGGTGTGTGTGTGTGTGTATATATAGATCTATATAGTATATGGTACGATGGCTTAACTTAGATCGTAGAATATCTATTCTAGTTGTCACTGTTTACTCGTTTGTCGCTTGTGGTTTTGCATCCTGCGTGTATGCGTGTGTGTGTCTGTGTGTGTGTGTGTAATTACTTAGAGAATACTTTTGCTTTTCGGTTGCTTGTGGTTCTGTTTTCTTAAATGGGCACCAGAGCATCCGTGGGCGCCACGGGCACCATCTTGGGCGGCTTGCGGGGGTGCTTGCGGCGCTGCTGCATCTGCAGTTTGGCAATGCTGAGCACCTGCTGGTAGCTGGACACGGTCCCACTGCTGGCAGTCCTCGAGCTGACGGTCGCGGAGATGCCATCGTCCTCCTCCTCGTCGTCCTCCTCATCATCATTCTCCTCCTCCTCATCCTGTTCCTCCTCGCAGTCACTGGCGCCCATCTCCTGCAGTTCGTTCACGTTGTAGTCGTCGGCAAAGAGCTGTGCGTCATAGCGCAGCCTGAAGGCCGTGCTCAGAAGGCTGTCCACGCGGGTCTTTTCCGCTGGACGCATATGCTTGATGTGCAGCACCTTCGTGTGGCAGCGCGTCCGGTTCGGACACTCGGGCAACCACTCGTCCGATATTCTGTGGAAGAGAGAGGGATTATGCTTGGTCTAGCACAGATAACAGCCAAGATGCACTTACATCTCGCGCGGGGACCAGCGCACGAAGCAGTCGTGGCCGCCCTGGCTGTTGCGCCTTCGCATCAGGCACTGGCCCTGGAAGGTGATGGCCTGGGCGCCGTTGGTGAGCGTGCTGATCTGGCGCAGGCGGTGCTGCAGCCCCTCCATGATGCCCGTGTCGAAGAAGTCGAACATGCGAGCTGCAAGGGATTCGGTTAGATGTCGAACAGTCTTGGATCGCTTAGCGGGAGACCCACCTGAGAAGGGCTGTCGGCGGTAGCGCAGCTTCTTGCCGTTCTTCCGCAGCTGCTTGGGCACGGGCGGATCGGAGGTGCGCTTGCTGGTGCTCTCCTTGACGTTGTCCGTGGCATTGAAGTGGTTGTTCACATGCTTCTGCAGTGCCAGCTGGACAAGACGATGCACAGACGAATGGTTAGAGGGAATCTCCATCGATTGTAGAGAGTAACACTCACCTGTGAACCGAACCTTATGCCGCAGCCCTCGACAATGCACTTGAACTGCTTGGAGCCGCCGTGGGAGAGGACGTGGCGCTCCAGCCAGCGGCGCGAGCACGACTCCTTGTTGTACACCTTGCAGCCCACCCAGAGGCAGGCGAAGGGACCCGTCTGGGTGTTCACGTGGTGCGTCTGCATGTGGTCCAGCAGCTTCGAGTTGCTCTCGTGCTTCTTGTTGCACTTGTCCCAGTAGCAGACGCCGTCGTGCCGCTTCCCGCCCTTGCCGCCGGCCCCGGCGCCTGCCGGGAACCGGATGGTCTTTGGCTGCGAGAGTATCGGCGAGATGGCGCACTTGGGCAGGCTCTTGCTCGCGGATTCGGCCAGGGCCGTGTCCACCACCGTGTCCGTGCTGCTGGCCGGCGTGGGGCATGGCGAGATGGAGTCCGGTGAGTCTGGAGCGGCGGGCGATGGTGCGTTGCTGGCCAGGGAGTTGGTGTCCGAGGCGGAGGCGGACGCGGATGAGGCAGTGGTGGGCGGGCAAGCCGATACCGATTTGGTAGACCTGCAAGAAAGAATATAAAAAGGCAGTTCTCGATCCACTCGGAAGTCTACTTACATGCCATCCGCGATGGAGTTGCTGCTCTCGCTGTTGCTCAGGCTGCCCCCGATACCGGACTCGGGCGTGGGCAGGTCCCGCAGCCGCTTGTGCGTCGGATGCGTCTCCAAGGAGCCCACCGACTTGTCGTCCTCCTCGTCGTAGTTGCTGCTACCGCTGCTGCTGCTTCCTCCGCTGTTGCTGGCGATCGGAGACGGCGTGGCTGTGGGCTCGCTCTTCTCCGGCGGCGGCTGTGTCATGTCTGTGGTCGTCTGGGAGCAATCCTCGCCCCCGCTGGAGATGCACGACGAGGTGACCATCTCGCTGAGCATGTCCGTCTGACTGGCGGCCCTCCGGCTGCTGCTGCTGCCTGCTGAGGGCGACGGCGCCGGCGAGGGAGAGCTGAGGGAGGCGGGCGTCGAGGGCTCCAGCGAGAGATCCGCCGCGGAGCTGACGCTGTTGGAGTAACTGCTGCAGGAGTTTGAGTTCGAGTTGCTGTGGCTGTGGCTGCACTCCGGCAGCAGGTCGTGCTTCACCACCACGTCCGTTCCCCTGCTGCTGGGCAGCTGGCCAGCGAAGCTCTGGGGCTTGGGCGAGGCCAGGGAGGAGACCGAGGAGCATTGCGAGATGGCTGCCACGAGGGCAGAGGCCGAATCCTCCGAGGGCTCCGCCTTGATCTTGCTGAAGGCCGACAGCGTGCACGAGTTGGAGTTGGACAGCGCCGGCGAGGATCGCAGGAGGCTGCTGCTGCTGTTGCTGCTGGGCGAGCTGAAGGGCAGCGGCGTCAGCGGATGGTTGCTCGCCTTGGCCACGATGCTGATGGCTCCCTGCGAGTTCTTGACCAGGTCAAAGAGATCGGGTGTACCGCCACCGCCTCCGCCACTGCTGCTGCAGCTGGTGCTGATGCTAGTGGCCCCAAACTTCATGGCCGGCATCTGCTTGGCCATGCTCAGAGTGGGCGTCAGCTTCGGCGTAGCAATGCTCACCAGCGGCGGCGTGGGATTACTTGTGGTGGGCGCGGGAACGGGCGTGGGTGTGGTTACGGCTGGAGTTGTGCTCTTCCGCAGCTGACACAGTTCTTTGGTCGCCGATGTGGGCACTAGTGGCGGTGGCGTCGTGGGCGTGGCAATGATGGAAGTCGATCCCGTGGGGAACTTGCCGCCCTTTGCCGTGAGCCGCTTCTGGTACGGCTTGGCGCTGGGCAGGGCCCTCTTGGCGGCTGGCGATGATGCCGGGGAGCAGTTCGGTTGCGCCAACGACGAGGAGGAGGAGGAGATGGTCACCAGCGGCGGGGGCTGGCTGGAGCTGAGCCTCGGAGGCTTCACAATCGCACGGTGTTGCAGTTGCAGTTGCTGCTGCTGTTGCTGCTGCTGCTGGTGGTGGTGCTGCTGTTGCATGGTAGTGCTGTTGATGCTACTTAGATTATTCGAGGCATTGTGGTTGTTGTTGCTGGCAGTGATGAGTTGTTGCATCTGCAGTTGCTGCTGCTGCTGCTGTTGCTCCGTCGATGGCTCGAAGATGGAGCTCAGAGCGGGAATGGGCTGCAGGGCTGGCAGGGTCTGGTGTTGCTGTTGGTGCTGCTGCTGGTGGTGTTGATGATGCTGCTGCTGCAGGGCCAGGGAGGCGGCGACTTTCTGCTGCTGTTGCTGCTGCTGCTGGTTGTTGGCCGCAATGGCTGCCGCCGCCTGGGCGAGCATGGCCGGCAAGGTGGCGGCGTTGAGCAGGAGTCCTGCCGGCGTGGCCATGAACACGGGCTGGGCCGCAGCGGCGGCGGCTCCTCCTTGCACCAGGCGCTGCAGCTGCTGCTGCTGGATGGCGGCTGCAATCTGCTGCTGGAACAGTTCCTGGAAGTTGGCCGCATTGTTGGGCGAGGGCGTGGTCGCCGCTGCCTTCGCTGCCGCCGCCTGCTGCAACTGGAGTTGCTGCTGCTGGAGCTGTTGTTGTTGCTGCTGCTTCATCAGCAGGTCCTGCAGCTCGTTGGCGCTGAGCAGACCGAAGGGATTGCCCGTGGAGGCCGCTGCCGTGGCCGTTGTCGCCGTCGTCGTGGTGGCCGTGGTCACCTGCTGCAGCTTGAACACCGTTCCGTTGAGGAAGTACTGGGCTGCTGCTGCCTGGGCAGCTTGGGCCGCCTGGGCGGCGGCCGCATTGTTGTTCGCTGCGGTGGCCATGGCTGCCTTGGCCACGTTGTTCAGCTGCATGATGTTGGCGGCGGCCGCCAGTTGGGGCGGCAGCTGGACTAGATTAGGCAGCTGCACGGGCAGCTGGTAGAGCGTGGGATTGGCATTGGGATTGGGGCTCGGGGCGGCCGTTGTCGTCGGATGCGTGATGGCGGTGCACGTGGCCGTGCTGCTGGCCTGGGAGATCTTCTGCTTCAGCGCCGGACTCGTGCCCGGCGGACGGTAGGCCATGGCTGCCTTGCCGGCCTGTGCCTGCAGTTGGAGTTGTTGTTGCTGCTGCTGCTTCATCTCGGGCGTTCGCGGAGCGATGGCCACGTGCTTCTTGGCTGGCGACTTGCCCGTGTGCTGGGAGCTGTTGGAGCCGTTCGAGGAGCTGGACGACGAGGAGCTGGAGGAGGAGTTGCTGTGGTTGCTGCCGTTGTTGGGCGTCTTGCGCAGGTTGGGCGCCACCTGGGCGATCTTCGCCGGCTGCTTGGTGCTCCGTTCGATCTTCTTGAGGGCGGGAACGGGCAGACTCGTCGTCTGGCTGGCGGGCACTGGCAGGGGCAGTGGCACAGGTGCCGGTGTCGTTGCACTCACATTCGGCTGTGGCGGCGCCAGGGCAGCCGGGGTGGGGGTGGGAGTGGGCGTGGCCTGCTTTGCTGCCTGCTGTTGCATCTGCAGTTGCTGTTGCTGCTTCTGCTCCTTCAGCTGCGACAAAATGTTAAAGTACTTGTTCAAGGAGGCTGTCGTGGCGGGCGTGCTCATGGTCAGCGTGTTGGCCGGCTGCAGTCCCGGGGCTGTGCTGGAGTGGGCCTGGGTGCTGGCGTTGGGTGGCGGCGACAGCTTGCCCCCCGGCGTGGGCTTCATCTGGGACTTGAAGAAGCCGGTGATCTTGGTCTGCGACTCCTCGAGGGCCGCCGCCTTCAGTCTTTTGCTCGCGTCGCTGCCTGCCTGAGGCTCGCAGCGACTTTTCTTCGCCGCCGCCACTGCCGGGCTGCTCCCCTCTGCGGCGCCGGCGCACGCTCCTGGTCCTCCCGCTGGGCGCTTCTTGTTGGCCGCCGCGGCAGGCACGGCGGTGGAGGTGCTGCCCAGGTTCGTGTTCCACGGCCACTGGAGGGTGGGCAGCATGCTGGGCTGCCGCCCCTGGGAACTGGACATGGCCATCGGCATCGTTGTGGGTTTGGCAGTGCTGATGCTGAGGCCGTGGATGTGGGCGTGGCCGTGTGTGGGAATGGCCGAAACTGGAGGCGCCGCCGCTGTCGGGCCGCTGCCGTGGGACGTGGAGGACGCTGTGGAGGAGTTGTTGCTGCCGCTAGGAGTGCTGCTGCTGCTGCTCCCGCTGAGTATCTGGGGCGGCATCTTGGTCAGCTGTTCGTCGCTCAGTTGCGAGTGCGCACTGTACGGGGAGCCTGGCTCGGACGCATCCTCACTGGAGCCCGTGCTGGAGTCCGCGCAGCTCAGCGAAGTGGCAACGCCGCTGGAAAAGAACACAAAGAGAGCACACGATAAGTAAGCGTTATCACATGGTAGGAAATGGAATGGCGAGGGCTTAAACTGTGTGGTAATCAATTCGCTGGGATGCATTGCCTCCTCTGGCCGCAGCAGCCACACCTTCTTTCCAGGCACACACAGCCCCTGCCAGGAGCTGTCTTCTTCTCTGCTTCTCTGGGCACCCACTCCACTTCACAACCACTCGCACAATCGCGTCTATCAGTCAATCAATTTTCAATGGAATCACCTTCGAGCGCTTGTTTTAATTCATCAATTTTGCAATTACATTGCGTTTCCGCCTTGAATTTGTTTGTGTGTTTGTGTTTCTCTTTTCTTCTTTTTTTACACGCTTTACTGTTGTTTTTTTGCCCCCTCTTTTTTTTCCACGGTTGTTTATTTGCCTGCCAGTGTTGGCCAGGCGCGAAATATCGATATCGATGCATCATAACAGTGCGCTAACAGCTGTGAAATTTCCCAAATAGCAGGCCCACAAAAAGCTGGCTGCTTTGGCGCGCATTTCAGTTTTGAATTTAATTAATGTGCTAAATGAAAAGCATTCCTCATGCTTCTCTTCTACCCCCTCGCAACCACTCTGTTCTGACCTGACTGTGGCCGCTAAAAGGTTAGCTGGGCAAAAAAGGCAGGAATGTGTCCTTTCAGCGCAGCGTAAAAACAACAAGAATTATGTTGCGAGAGAACAAACCGCAAAGAAAGAGAGAGTCGCAGAGAGAGGCGGACTGACATGTAGCACATAAAACGGGTCGATAAATAAACGAAAGCATAAAGTAAACAAAAAAAAAAAAAAAAGAGAAGTGAAGTGAAGAAGAAACACGCAAAGAATACAGCAAGAAAAAAAGCACGAGAGAAGAAAATAAAAACTTCAACTCTCTGCTCTCGCGTCTCTCTCTATTTCTTTCTTTCTGATTGTCTGTTTGTGTCCGCGTGCAACATACTAACAGAAGCAGTGGCAGCAGCATTACGGGGCAAGAGACTCAAAATCTAATGCGGGAAAATGTTCAGTTTTCAGGTAGCGCGGTAGGTAGCGTGGTTCAGTGGTATGTGGAATGGGATGGATGCGGCATGTGGGCACGTATGCTTCTCGTCTCGTTTGAGCGGACAAAGGTAAGGAAGGGCATACTTCGGTCGGTTCAAGCATAAAAGGAAATTCTATCCTGTTGTATTCCTGCACATTTACTCTTTAGTGGAATTAACAGAACGAGCGCGTTGAGAGCGTGCTCTTTTTTCACACATTCATTTCTATCTCCCTCCTTCACTCATTCCCCTTTCTATCTCCATCCTTTCATTCTATCTCATTCTCGGTGCATTCTTTCGTTTTGATTTGCTTTAATATTCGCTTTGTATGCATGTGCTTTCTGTTGCACTTGATTTTCTCTGCTCTTCTTCTCTGCCGTTTTCCATGTGGTAAACAACGCTGTTTTTTGTGGGTCTTTGCTTCGTTATGATTTCCAGGAATTTGTAATATATTTTATTAGCTTTTCATATCATCATATCATCCAGGGGTGCGGTGGCAGGGGCACATTCCACCTGCCCCGTCTTGTTAGTCGCATCGTTAAACGCGGAGATTATGCTTAAGCTTTGCTCTTGGAGTTTGGGTCGGGATTTGGGTTCTTTTGGGTTTCTCATCGGGTCGAGGGTTACACATCGGACGGGACTGGGACGGGTACGAGGACGGACACGGACACGGACCAGTGCTGAATTTTATGTTTCTTTCTGGTTTGTCGCCCTAACAGGGTACACATTCGGCGATGGCGACGGGCTACCTACGGGAATTAGAGATCTACACAAACACACACACAGACAGAGAATGTTGTCCATAAAACACATGAAATGGAAACACTTTGTGAGTTTTATGTTTGTCTACTTCTACCCCAAAAAAGATCTCTCAGATTACGACCACGTTGCACGTTGCACGTTCCTGTTTTTGTTGTTTCTCATGCGATGATAAGCTGATTAGAGAGATTGATGTTGGATGCATTCATGTCCATGGGTAAACGAACTGGGCTGATGAATACAATCCAGTAATAAACGGGAACAAAATACCATCCCAAGTTTATTAATTTCTCTTATATCTTACTATAAACAATAATAATTATTATTATTACCAGTTCCCTCTTTTATAATTGGGAAATATAGGAGATTAGTGCTAAATAAATATATTTGTTTATGGTTTCTAAGCATTTCTCATAGTTTTCTGATGGTGAAATGTGTGATGAAAAACAGATAATTAACGTTTTTAATTTACCGACGGCCCTTTGAATTTCAAGTAAATATTCCTAATATAATATAATAATACATATTTAAAATGTCCGCTGTGGTTTTTCCTTATTTTTAGAAGGCTACGTTTCATACGTATGTAACATATTTTTAAATTATTTGGCTATGTTTTATTGCTGTCAGCTCTTTAATAAAATTAATTAAAGGATGATTCCTTTACCAGTTCCTTATTTTAAGAGATATGCATTAAGACTGCCCGACAATTGTGGAATTTGAATGCTCGTTCATTTGCAGATGATTCTTTTCAATTTCCAGAAATTTATTATGCATGCAACGGCAGAGTTTACTCTTGAATTATGCACTCTATTTAATTTTCCAGCCATAAGCAAGACTTTATCGCCCCTATCCATGGACATACACGCACACTGACGCTCGACGCTCGCCCATAGAAGTACACACAAACACACACACAGTTCATATTAAATTCATAGAATGAAAGCCCAGCAAAAACGGCAACAATTTAAATTTTATTAGAAAATCCCATTAGATACACACACACACACTCACAGAGGCACACACGAACAGGCGAGCGACTTCCACTTCCGCTTCAAGTGTGCTTTTGTGTGAGTGTGTGTGTGTGTGTGTATCCAACACTCCCACTGCCACTACTACCACCCAACCGAACACCCTTCGCACTCTGCACTTTTTCCTCTTCCCTTTGCCCTCTCCACACCCTGGAGCCACAAACAATTGAGCACGCTTCATTTGCAAGGCATGAATGAAAGCAGCGCGCCCAACGAGAGAGAGAGAGAGAGAGGTGGTGGTGGGGGCGGGTACAAAAAATCATTGCATATTTGCTTGGGCAAACACAGAGAGAGAGAGTGGAGAGAGTAAAATGAAAAGAGTGACAGCGGAATAGCAGCGACAGCTAACAGTTATTTAACACATGATGTAAACGCGAATGTAAACTATGCTGTAATATGAACAGCGGCTGGTGTGGAGGGAGGTAGTGCAGCAGGGAACAAAAGCACAGGCAAAGACAGAGAAACATGCGCAGCAGCTGAGTGGGGGGAGGGAGCAATAGGAGCAATGGGAGCAAGAGCAATGCACGCGACGTAATCGCCTGACGCTGCTTGATGTCTCTTGATGACTTTTACTTAGAGCACAGAGCAGAACACTACACTACACGACACGACACGACACGACATGGTTGTTGTCATTACACTACACTACACTACACTACACTGCATAGAGTGTTTGTCTTTACAGTAAAATTCTTGAGCGCTGGGCGCTGGTTAAGCTGTTTGCTTCTGGTATACTAACATTTAAGGTTATCCAAAGTAGTATCCGAAGCAGTATTCCAAGCTGTATCCAAAGAATGTATCCAAAGGCAGCAGCTCCCGCTGGTTTTTATCCTTTGCTATTGGACTTTTCACACTGTGGCACCACATGGACCGCGGGGACCAGACCTCCGCCGCTTCACACACTCACTCGCTCGCTCACACACGGCGCGCTTCGGCTTTAAGCTTTTCTTTTTCCACTGTCGCCTTGGCGCATTTTGTTTCGTTTGGGTTAGCTGTTTCGGCGGAGGCTCCTCCGCTGCAACGTTCCCACCGTTTATGTTGCTCTTGCTGTTGCTGTTGCTGTTGTTGGTTTAATTATCCCAAAACACAGACTGGCACACACGCGGAAACACACCCGACAATACACACGAAACACACGAGCGCGTAGCATAAATATCCATATCCAAAAAGGGGCAGAGCAGAGCAAGAATCGTTCCCGTCCGTCCGTCTGTTTCGTTCTATGTCCGAAAATTCTGTTGCGGCACCACGGTCGTCGTCCGCTATGTTGCATGCACCGCGTCCGTCAGTGTTAAGAGAAAATGGCTGACTGAATCGACTGTATATACCGACTGATTTATAGAATCCAAAAACCTGGCTTCTTCAAAAAGGGAAACAACGGGAAAACTGCAGAGTTTCCGCTCTCTTTGAACCACTCTCTCACTCTCTCTCTCTCGCGCTCTTTGAAGTGCGGCTCTCTCAGAAATTCCCTGTATAAAAGGGCCCGAATGGGATATTCTAACGGCAACTATTGGCTGCATGTGAGAGCCGAAGCGAGCCGAAGCTGCCACACGACCTGAAACGAATGCCACACTGCACCCACACGCACACAAGCGCAGGCAGGCACGAGAGCATAAATGCTCTTCGAAGCAACCCTCGAATGTATACATGCTCTTGGCTCTCTCTCTCTCACTCTGTTCCCTACATTTCTGCCCATTATTATTATTATTTTTATTTATATTTCACTTTTGTTGTTGGCACGTTAAATATTTCCTGTTTGTCGTCGTCGTCGTCTCTCTCTCTTCTCTGAGAGTGGAGCGGAGAGGAGAGTAGTGGTGCAGGGTGCAGGAGGGGAGTTCGCTGGCAGCCAGCAGTTCATGTTATGGTCACGTACTCCTGGGCACCCCCCTCCTCTTGCCATCCTCAAGCAACTTATGGACAGCTTCTCCCCGCACACTTTGCCGTTATGTGTCTGCTGCTGTGGTTTTCCCCTGCAGCCTCTGCCAACACTGTCTCCTCCTCCTACTGTTCCATCTTCTGTTTAGGCTTCTTGTCACTCTCCTCTGCTCTCCTGACTTTACTTTCTTTTCTCTAGTCCCTTTCGCCGCTTTCTTAAATGTTTATCTAATTATTTAGACGTTTTCCCGCTTTTCCATCTTACTTCCCCGTGCCCCCTGCAGGGGTCGGTTGT